TAAAACAACCATTACTTAATGCCTTTGTTACTGAATGTTTTATGTAGCGTAATTGCTCTTCATCGTCACAACCTGTGATGAGATCGTCGATATAAAAGTCCTTTTTTATAATGGTTTTGATAAGTTCATCATTCTGCTCCTCACCGATTTGCCAAATACATCGAGTGCTTAAATAACTAGCACTTGCAGTCCCGTAAGTGACAGTATTAAGACTCAATGTTTGTATGGGTTCAGACTCATCTCCTCTCCATAATATTAGTTGCAGCGCCCGATCATTTTCGTTTACTTCAACTTGGCGATACATTTTCTCTATGTCGCCACATAAAAGATATTTATATTGTCTGCTTCTAATTAATATGGAGAAGAGAGAATCCTGCATATTTGGACCCACCATCAAAATATCGTTGAGAGCATATCCTGATGATGTGGAAGCAGAACCGTCAAAAACAACACGGAGCTTTGTGGACTCGCTACTTTCCTTCATGACTGCATGGTGACATAAATAGTATGAATTAAGTGATTCTACAAAATTTAAATTTGATAAATGACCTAACTCTGTATACTCATTGATAAATTTTGCGTAATCGATTTTTAGAGATGGATTTCGTCTAAATCTTCTTTCTAAATTTAGTAGTCTCCTTTTAGCAAGATTATAGGAATCTCCAAGACAATCGGGAGTGTCATGTAAAGGTAATCTGACGCAAAATCTACCTGTATTTAGACGAGTCGTGTTTGATACGAAATGTTTTTCGCATAGTTTTTCGTTTTTACTGAGAATTGGCCTTTTAGGAAGCTCTTCGATTTCCCAGAATTTAGGAATAATATCATCTATATCATTGTATGATGATTTAGTTAAAGCATGATTGCAATATATTTTGTTATATTTTTTATTTTTAGAAGGAATGGGACCAGATATTATCCAGCCAAATTTTGAATTTATCAATTTAGGACCCCTTTCACCGATACACCGAGTTTCATTACCTATTATTTCCCAAAAGACATCAGCTCCTAGCAGAACATCGATACAGGCAGGTTTGTGAAATACAGGATCGGCCAGAGGCAAGTTTTCAGGTAAGTTAATATTTTGTATATTTATAGGAGCTTTAGGAATCTCACTTGTTATTTTGTCTAAGACTAAGCACGATAAATTTAGTTGATAAGAACTGTTTAATGATTTTAGTTGCGTTGTACATGTTTCTATAATATTATTTGTACAGTTATTACCTATGCCAATAACTCTTATAGTATCTATATGATTTGAATTTAGAGATAATTTTTCCTTTAGAGATTTACTAATAAATGAAGACTGACTTCCGCAATCCAAAAGCACACGAATTTTCTCTGATTGGTTTGTAGATGGATTACAAACTTCCACTAATGCTGTAGAGAGTATAACTTGATTTGGTGTTTGATTATGAAAGTTAACTACTGTATCATTATCTCTCACAGCGGCGTTACTTTTAATCTCTTTTAGAGGATTATGAAGTAAACTATTATGCCTTTGCTTACATATTCTGCAAGGTCCCATACGACAATCACTTAATGGATGGCCTTGTCTTAAACAATTTGGACATAACTTATATGTGGACACTTCCGTTAATCTATCTTGTATGCTCTTAGATTTGAATACGGAACAATCATATATTTTATGATTTTCCTTACATATGATACATAGGTATTTATTACTATTTTGATTAATACTAGTAAAAGACTTTGTATATGAAGTACGATTATGATGTGAGCTTGGAGAATTTATTTTATTTGTATTATTAATAGGTATAGAATGACGAGAATTTGTGGGTATATTTTTATGAAAGTTATTATCATTTTTATTATGAGTCAAAGACTCCAAGACATCGGCACGATCATTTAGAAATTTATAAAATTCTTTTAAAGTGGGAACATCGTCGAGAGTATTTCTATGTTCCTCCCATTTAATTAATGTTATATTGTCTAATTTAGTAGACAACATATAGATCAATAATATATCCCAGTGATCTGTCGGTTGGTCTAAGCAGGCCAACGCACGCAAGTTTTTAGTTACATGATCCACTAAGAATCTCAGCGACCTGTCAGATTCGCGACCGAGTGGTTGTATATTAAATAATGATTTAAGATGATGATTAATTAATGATCTTTTGTTATTATACCTATCGCAAATAATTTTCCATGCCTCAGAATAATTAGCAGATGACACTTCGAGATTAGAAATAATTCTAGCTGCATCTCCCTCTAAATATGATGTAAGATAATGAAACTTATGAATGGGTGAGATACGGCTATTGTTATGAATTAAGCTTTCATAGGAATCACGAAATTCTAGCCACCGCAAATAAGAACCGTCGTACTTAGAAATTTGGATTTGCGGGAGCTTAAAGCTCGTTTCTTGATGATCGTGAAAGCACTGAGACTGATCTTTAGCATTATCAGTATGAGCCTCGACTAAAGTTTTAGCAGTTGCGATGCCAATTATAATATCACGTTCAATATTGTCACGTTCTTCAATTTCGAAATCAATATTATCTGCATTTAAAACTTCAATGTCGCTTTGTAAGTTATCAAATTTTATAGACAACCCTTCAAATTTAGTAATTTTGATGTTTAATTCTGCTAATTCTATATTAGAAAATTGATCTTGATCTTTTAATTGTGACAAATAATTTTTAAATTTTGTTATCTGTCCCTTTATTGAGCTACGCTTGGTAACTAATTCCTTTAAATTACTTCGTATTGTACCTAATGAAGATTGTGATAATGGCAATGCATTTGTCTCTTTATCGGTCATTTTGCAAAACAAGTATTAGTTGTTATTATATTGAATTAGGTTTAAGTATAATTTGTGACTATTTATAATTATTGTAATCAAGTAAGAAAGAAAACAAATAAAATTCTCACGCTCCTTGCTTTGGCTACCACTGCTCAGCGAAACCGGCGATGCTCACGCAGCTGCTTAACGTCGCGCTGTCACTCAATGCACAGCTCAACCCCGCGCGCAGCGATAGATGTCACTGGAATTAGTCGGCAAAATTACGTTAGAACATTGTAATAACTGACCTAAATTTTAATACGGATACCTACCCGTTTAATTTGCTTAATATTGGAAATCAACTATTTTAATATTTATTGAGTTTAAATATAATAATGTTACTAGTTTTACGATGTTTATAAGTCGACATATAACAATATTACATGTTCTATAGCTGTATTTTAAGTTCAACAATTAGTTTGCACAATAAATTCACCAAATAGCAGGAATGAATTGTAGGTTACACAATTTTTATTCTTTATATAATAGTCTCTGTATACCCAAAAGAGAGACAGTTTTAATATAAGTGGACAGAAACAATATAAAATGAGAAATAAGAAAATATATCAACTAATTACTCATTTATGTGTTAAGCAAATTGCATAAAAGTTTATTACTCACTTTTGTTCGTGGTTTCTTACTTTTTATTTTATGTATTTACGTATATTTATACTATTTTTTGCAATAGTTACCTATAAATAATATAACTAACTTATAATTAATATATATTTTATAAAAATAAGATAGATTAAATATGTTTTAGCGATTTTGTATGAAAGTAATTTGGATAATTGTAAAGGAATGAGGGAAGGCACTTATCTTTTAGTCAGGACCGCTGTGTATGCTGTGATGCTTTTGTTGCTTCACTGTTCATTACATGAAGACGATTCCCAGATAATCTTGACTTCGATTCAATCCTCGTGATGATTTTGTGATGATATACGACGTAGTAGAACACGTCCGCCACGTTGCGTAGTTGTATAGGAGATTTTGATTTACGAATATCTTGGTAAAATTTTGTTCTTTTCATGGGCCACCATAATATGTCTTCGCTAACACATCGGAGTTTCAAATGAAACCCAAATTTGCTTTTAATATTGAATTTTAATAATTATTTTTAACAATTTTGAGGAGACCGATTGATTTTTGTAGACGAAGAAAAAGTGAGAGAATACAAAATAACGCAGGTACATCGAAAACAAATCCAATACGCCTGTGAACATTTAAATAGCAACTTTTTGCAGTTAAAATATATTGCGTTCAAGAGTGTTGAAGGAGTGCCGGAACAATGCATTTTAGAGATTCTGTGAATTAAAGCTATCTTAAATTCAAAATTATATGTAATACAACATGTGCCCAAGTTTGTTTATCTGAACGACGAGTTTCAATAAACAAGTCGTACGAAAAACAAAGTCGGGTCAACATAGTCAGTATAAAACATATATAACAAAATGGTAAACACCAACGCAGTGTACGCTACATAATATGTGTGTCCACCTTCCACGTTGGATTCAAATATATCGAGCAAGATACTATAATATAGATATGTCAACTATTGAGTTCAACACAACATCGTCAGTTGATAATGGTTCTGACTATCCCATTTAGGATAACAGTCGTGACTTTATATACGTGTGTACTTGCTGTTTTTATGAATTCCTACTCACATCGAATACGCAACATAATATGCACGGAGCGGAGGTGCGAAAAGCTTGCGCTAACTGCACTGTCTTGAGGCAATAAACTTTTGTATTGACCTAAGGTATTATAGGGTCGTTATTGTTTGTTATAACTTTTTGTGAAAAATGATATCTTGTTACATGGTAAGGCATATTGCCTTATAAGTGAACAATTACAATAAAAATATTTATATTGACTTCCACGTTCTATTTTGTAAAATTGTTTATATACGGAATAACACAGTGACATTAGCAGAAATTATGTAGATAACTCGTTATACATAATTACTTAGTGCTGATAAGAAATAAATATTTAAATCGGAACATGGGAAGTTACACGTGGAAAACTAGATTTTTAAAGAAATATAGTTTATTCCAACATTACAGTAAAGACAAAGATTTTTTTTAAATACTCATTAAATAAATAGAATAGTATGTAATATGATTATCCTACATTTACTCACTTTCCCTATTATAATTCCTGACGATGAATTATAAAATAGTTACACACTTACCGCGCTATATCCAGCCATGTCGCCCTTTTAATATCTAATTTAAACTAACAACCACCTTTGTTCGTATTGGTTTCGCGCTGCTTGAGAGTGAGATTTAGACCGATGACACGAGACTGCGTCTGCGGCCGCAGTAGATCGCGCACTGAACGATGAACTTTGTCGACTTGCGGCACTTGCGCCCGCGCCGGTTGCAGGAACGGGTGAACGAATGCGCTGCTTGTTATGACTTTTGATGTACGTGTACACTAGATCAACATTCCAAAGGGTTGAAAGTACCTTATTTTTGGACACTATCGTTCAGTCAACGGTGCTATGGCGCAGTGCAGTAATGGACTACTATACGTGTAGGTACGCACTGGATATAAAAATAATTCTTCATTTGATTGATAGAGTCGTAAAGAGTATTCTCAAGACAAGAACCAGAATAATCATAAAAATTAACCAAAAAAAAATATAGCGGAATGTTCAGAGAACATAAATTATGCTTTTTTTTAATTAAATTGATCATGGCGCTTGACCATGCTTTTCTGAATTATATTAATTCTGGTTTTAAAAAATATTTTAATGTTCTATTTTACCGTTTGTGAAAATTTCAGCTACTTAGTTTATTTATTAGTTAATTTATTTTTTTCGGATTGCATCCATATTACTTTAGTCCTGCTATACCCTATATATGATATATGACTAAGAGAACCCTGCAGAGAACTTGTTAGGAGGACATTAGAATCTGAAGCAACAAATGTCGTGGAGGACGTTGCTCCTCGATGTCGGTTATGTCAATATTGAGGCGCCAAACGTTATCAACTAATCTCCATAATATTAGCACACTCTTTGCTTAATCCTTTTAAGAGTTGCACATGCCACATGGCTTATATTCAGTCGCGCCCAGAAAATAAATTAAAACGCTTTCATAATACTGAGGCTACTTTGTAAAGCAAAATGTATGTATGATACATACACTTGTGATCGTTTGAATTACAATATATTTTAATATCCCCAATAACTTTGAATCTTACTAAAATTCCATAGTAGTAACATATGAATATTTATCAATATATCTGTGAGTTAGAATCCGATAGAAACAGTACAAATGCTCTGAAAAGTTAAATAAAAAGCTGAAAAAAAAGTTTATCATACTGTTCTAGCATAATAATTCTTTGAGAACAATCACTTAATAATTATCAGGATAAGAAACCGCCTATTTAAAATCTAGCATTGATAAAAATATTCCTTTAATTAGTATCTAACAATTATTTAGTCTTAACTCGCATGTAGCTTATTATATTGCAAATACGAATACGGATTTATAAAATGGACTGTTATTATCTATCTAATAATTACGTTGTTTTTGCGGTCATTCTTATTAGACAAGTTCAACAAAACAAAAACATTCTGATAACAAATAAATGTAAATAATACCAATATATAAATGACATTAACAATACGGCTTCTAATAAATGTCGTAATCAAACGATACAGTTGATAAACTTACTACAAAAACTTAATACGAAATATGATATAAATTTATGATCTTCATTCATAATCATGTCACTCTACTATATTTTTTTTTTCGAGAATAAAAAAATATTTATAGAGAACATATTTAAACACTATATTGAAGACGGAAGGGAGAGTATGTGCGAGGTCGGTAGTAAGTGGAAATAAATGTAACAGTATATACGGCCAACAGTACACCATATATGTAATAGTAATTAATGCATCAGGTCGCCTCCACGCGGTCTCCTGTTATCCATTACGGTTAATACCTGATAAATTCGCCACGATTAGCTAAGTGAACCAATTCCATGCTCATACAATCATTCTTCACTGGTGTCTCGCCAGCAGTTATCAGCGTAGGCGGGTGCACCTACCATTTTTAGGCTAAAAGACTATACTGAAAGTCGTATCTATTGGTTAATAATTATTTCATAAATTAAAAACATCTTGAACAATTATTAAAATTTATTAATATATTTCATTTAACTTTAATATTCTTATGTACAATTTTCTTATGTCTACTCACACAGCCGGCAGTCCTGAACGTCTTACCACACTCCTGGCAACTGAACGGTCTTTCGTCTGTGTGCATTCTGTTGTGTACTTTCAATATGTCCATCGTGTTGAACCGTTTCCCACAAGTCTCACACTCGTACTTCCTTTCGTTTGCGTGGTACACAAAGTGCCTCCTGTACTGCGCTAAAATATGAAATGTTTTCCCGCAAACCTCGCAAGTCTTCCGCGGCGTGGGGTCGTGGATCGCCTTGTGTATAACCAAACCGCTTTTGAATTTAAACTTCTTATCACATAGATTACAGGAGTAGCGTTTCCCCGACACATGCATGTCCAAGTGACTAACCAAGTTCCTGGTATGCTTACCACAAACCTCGCAAATCTTCCAATAATCGTACTTTTCTTTACGCACTTTCCTCCTTTTCTGTACAACATCTTGTGTTTCTATCTTTACTGGAGATTGAACTTCCCTTGTTATATTTTCAACAGGTTCTGAGTCATCGTAATGTGCGTCCATATCGTCAGAATCCGTTCTTTCTGGCTCGTTTTTTGTGCTATCCACATTGTGTTTCGCGTCCTCGTCTTTTTTTTCTAATTTAATTTCCCGCATACCTGTACAACGTAATTGTTTATCGATTTCTTGACATTTCCGTCTAAATTTGTATGCAACATCGAGATCTCGTAAACAGTTGAAACAGATCTGTGACGGCATATTATCGGATTTCTCCACCTTGAACAAAGGACAATGATAATAATTCCCTTCACGATTCACTCCAATACTAACATATACATCCCAACTAAGATTAGCACTAAATAACACAATTTGTTACATGTTCACAAGTTCTTATAAAGAAATTTGGCATATAAGTAAGTAGAATTAGAATTTTTTGACAGAGTAGGACACAGACTACTATTTAATTCCGGTCAGAATGATAACGCAGTCAACGTCGTGGGCAGAAGTAATTCAGATAATACACAAAGAAATAACGCCATACAATTTAATAACTAACTTACAATTATTATCTAAGACTTTTAAGTTATAATTAAGATAAATAGTATAATGACTAAAAATACGACTCGAACCTGCATCTGGTAACAAATACTGTGCCTATTTTCAGAAACATTTCCATGAACCCTTTCATATCTTATAGCCCAAGAGCCCACGACTGCCAGACATACGTCATTTTAGTAAACGTGAAAGTTCTTGTATGTGACACACATAATAGTATAGTTTAGGGGGGTCCGACGGGGGGTTGGCACTACACTAAGGATCTGGCAACGAGCAGAGCAAGTTATAATACTGTTGGAACCACACTAAGGGTCTGGAAACGAGCAGAGCAAGTTATAATACTGTTATATATATATAAATATGGAGTTTCTTAAAATAACGAATTTGATATGATTTTTTTTACACCTTTGTTACCTGGTACCTGCCAAAGGAACCACGATCCAGGTTCATGTTTGGGGATCGTTCTTACCTGTGTTGGGGACTCACATACAAGAACTTTCACGTTTACTAAAATTACGTATGTCTGGCCGTCGTGGGCTCTTGCTCTATTACATTATTGATGTTGTGTGTGTGTACACAGATATATCCAGAATTACATAATATAATATCTTATTTGTCAAAATATGTCCACCGATTTAACAGTACACGCCAATGTACCTACATATTCGTTTGATAGAAACATGAAAAAAAAACTACTTGTACATAACGGTTATTTTTTTTTAAATATGTACATAGAAAACACCCAAACCAACACAAACCATCATACTCATAAATGCAAAAGTTTGTGCTGTGTGAGAAATGTAACCCACGACCATTGGAAGTAGGGCGGTGAACTAACTAGCGACCACCGAGGCCGTCAAGCAAATAAATTTATTTGGAGGAAAATCTACTCACTTCGACTCCACTGACGAGCTTTAACTTATCAGCGAGGTTTGGGTCGCCGTCGGCGCGTTCCTCGAAGATATCAATATTGCCATGTTCGCTGTAGCACGTACGACACTGGTTCAGATCCACAGCCTCGTACTTGGGCCTCGCCTGCGGCGGTTAGAAAAGCACCAGAAATTTTAAAGATCTAAATAATAAACGCACAGCTACTTAACTGTACAAAATTATTTTACTTATACAAAGCTACATTACCAACAACATGTGTTGTAACTTATTTTAAAAAATGCATATTCCGACAATAGTTGGATCCTAGTGAAACCAGAGCGGATAGAAAGGCATTTGTATAGTAACAGTAATAATTTATATGCAGTCGAAGTGAAACTGAGATATATCAGTGAAATCTCTACAATCTTCTATAAGATTTGAACCTGTCTAGAACTACAGTGGATTCTATACTAGAACGTGTGCCTAAAGCTGATTTGGTAGGCTCCTACTAGATTTGGCTGGGCAGGAAGAGAAACACTAGCGGTGAAAGTGAGTGTTAATGTACGTCGGCAAGAGGGCTTAAACCTACACCAGGGTCACAACTCCTGGGAACTGATCGCAGTTTCCCTCTCTGTCACACGATAGACCCGGCACCCGCCCGGTGAATCCATCGAATGCTAAAAAAATCGTCTCACGGTCTTGTATTACCTGTAACATTTGCTTCAGGTCCATCAGCTTGATGTCGTCCTCGAGGTCGTCATCATTCGCTGTGTCCTCGTCAGGCTCCTGCTCCTGCTCCTGTTCTTCCTGCGTATGTTTCCTCAGCGGCTGGCGATGCTCAGTTTCTACGTACCGAGCGATTGCATCGTAGTATGGCCATTGCTCGTTTAGAATGCCTTTGTTTAGGAATTTCCGTTTCCACTGAAATATTATTCTAAAATATAATGGCGCATATAATAAAATCAAAAGTAGATTACATTGTTTACGTTCGGCGAAATTGTAAAGGCCAGAAACTGCCAACAGAATTAGGATACTAAGAAAAGACATTTGTGTCATAAAGTAATAACTCGTAGCTAATGACAAAAATTAATGTTACATTACAACAAAAATGTAACTGATCGCTGTCTGTTCTTGGAAGATGACAGAAATTAAGAGCATAACAATTTACCTTGAATGTTTTTAAAAGATACGTCCAGATTTCAGATAACTCTAGTAAACTATGATCCAATGGTAACCCGATATTACGCAGTCTTTTCTCGACTTCCCTATAAAAAAAATAACAAAGAAATTATATTTGTCATATTTCCAAATATAAATAGTGTTCGACAGTTTTGATTTCTGCCAGTTTACTTGACATACTAACTGTGCCCGTGGTTTCACCCGCGTGAAATTTATATTTAGCCTATATGTTATTCTGATGTATAAGCCATATTACTGTAAAGTTTCATCAAAATCCGTTCAGTAGTTTTTGCATGAAAGAGTAACAAACACTCATCCATACTCAAACTTTCGCGCGTATAATATTATTTAGATTGAATTCGCTAACTAACGTTTAAGTGAGGTAACTACAACAAATACGCTTATTAAAAGAATAGTAAAAAATAAAATTATCAAATATGGATTCTGAATAAAAACTGATTGTCAGAATAGAATTATACAAATAATACCTATATTAACAAAAACCTTAAAATTTTAAAGAACTCATAAGTAAGTTTAGTTTATGGCTATTATCCTAGTATCCGTCGGATACTAAACATAAATATATTAAATTCTGTAATTAAGATGTTGTGCTTACCTCCACCCGTGGTGTGGATCTCTTGAGAATTTGAACAGATGTTCTAAGTCACTTCTTGCACTTATTAAATTGAAGACCCATTCCTCTTGCCCTATTAAAGAAATATGCTATTGTAAAGTTCATATAATTATAAGATATACATATACATATATAATACAGCAGTATTGTATTTACACCAGTGTTTTCCAACGTGGGGCTCACAGGCCACCCACAGGCGGGCAATTTGATTGTTAAGAGAGGCAATTCGAAAATGGACTCTATATTAACATGTTAAAGACCGCACGCCAAACGGTGGGTCACTCCGCAACGAAAGTAAATTTACACGTTGGGACCGAGAGATCACCCGTGGGCACTTAATATTACCTTAATAATTTAATATTTAGGGGTTTAATAATATCTAACTCAAATAAATAAATAAATTAAAAATAATATAATTAACAATAAAAAAAATGCCGATCCCTATGTGAATAATAAGATTTTTGATTGCGGTCTTCAACGTGTTAATGTGTAGAAAATTTACTTACTGTTTAATTAACAATTGCCTAGTAATTTTCTAAGGGGTGCCATTTTAGAAAGGCTAAGGTGGAGCATGTTACTGAAAAGGTTGGGAAACACTGATTTACATTATGTAGATACCTCTTATTTCATTATACTTACAACCAATTACTGGATTTAGACTGAGAATTCTATCCCCTAAGTAAAGTTCAAACAGACTGTAGTATACCCACGCTTTGTTATTTGTAGCTTTGGATTTTTGGTATTCCTGGGAATAAGTATTAATGTTAATATTATATTATGCCTACTCTCTAATATTTTGTACTATATTATTAAGTTGAATATATTTTTAAAGAGATTTAAATAATTTTTCAAGGCTTATAAAATTTCTTATAGAATATATTCTATAATAAATATTTTTAAAAGATATTACATAAATGTTTACATTTTCACAATTAAAGAAAATTTTCTTCCTGGAGAAAACTGACTTCTTTTGGGCGAGAATTAATATGGGACTAACAAGAGGGCAGTATTCTTAACTGGCTGGGAATTCATCAAAATTAGCGAAGCCGTTCCGTAACATACACAAAAAAAGTATATAGTCAAATTGAGAACTTCCTCTTTTTTCAAAGTTGGTAGAAAATGTAAAATTTACAATTTTTTTAACAAAAGTAATATTATCAATCATTACGCTTAATGTGGTAGCAAAGAATGTATTATTTATCAATTTCTATGTCAATTGAACATAACACGTGTAATTTACTATATCTATAATGTCTGTATATACTGTTTATGTATGTAATTTATATAGTTATATATATATATATATATATATATTTTATCACATTTACAAAGTATCAAAGCATACTTACTGCAAATGTTGACGCCCATTTCCTTGAAATTTCCCTGCTTGTTAACGTTTCTGGGAATCCATATTCATCAATCATAATAGCGCGTAGGTCGCTGAAACACATAATATAATTATTTATGCTGATTAACTATAAATAGAAAGACAATGTAGCAAAATTCGCTCTACACTTACTTCCACCCCCATTTCCTTTGCTTAAATATCCAGTCATTTTGCAAACGAACTTGTATAAATGCCTCCGTTATATGTCTTGACCCTTAAATAAATAATTTTAATTATTTCATCTTTATTTTTACATATCTTTGTTATATTTCTTTACTTCTAACTTATGACTTACATTGAAACTCGTCACTTTCATTATCATTTCTGTCCGTGTCTCTTTTCTTTTTGCAGTATTTGCCCTTGTTCCTTTTTCTCGACATATAATTGTTAGCTATTTCGGTCTCTAAATTGTGGAGGTAACCAGGTTCATAGACTTCATAATATTTTATCATAGCGTCGTAGAGAGGCCAGTCCGTTAATGCGGCACCTTTTTTTATTTTCAACCGATGTTTTCTCTAAAATATTAAAAAAATCTTGTATATTGTTGTTCTGTGTGTCTTTGTAAACACTAAAATGGTGACGGACAGGCTACATACTTAGAAAGTAAAACAAGTGAACCAAAGAAATCACAGAGTGAATAACTCGCACACCACACTACACACGAGATGATCAAATGATAATAAACTGTGGCTCATTATGGACGAGACTTGCCAAAGAAAGTGGGATATAGAAAACAATAGAAGTGTCGTATGTGTCTAAAGACGCACTGAACAGGGAACTGGTGAGACAATAGAAATATGTAAAATATGCCAAAAAATTTGTAAATAAAGACTAGAAATTGAAATGAGAAATTTATATGATGTATAAATATGATGCTATGTTACATATTTACAACAAACAGAAATTAAACTGGTGTCCAGCTAAAACTTCAAAGTGTAATACTGAATGATAAAACTCAATGATACAAAAATGAAATTAATACAAAAAATTATATTGCGTGAGAATCGACCTTGACCATCGGGAGTAACAAGGTGTGTTAAATCGCTACCACTGAAGCCCTCAAAATTACTAATAATAATATTTATTTGATTAGTATATAATAGGAATAAGAATTTTGTTGTTTCTTCTTTATTATAACCAAAATTATTTTCATTTAAACCATTTTATTGACAATTAAATTATTTTATGTACTATTAAACCACACTTTTTCCTAACGGTAACCAAACTCACGGGTACATTGGAAGCTATACTGACGTAATATAGAAAGTATTTCCCATATAGTATAGTTAAATACCTACGCAACATGCAACACAATTTTACTTACATTAAAAGTTGTTCTAATATGTTGCCACAATCCCTTCAAATCCTGTACACAACAATCATTAGGCAAATCTTGACTTCTCATTGCACTCTCCACAGTTCTGTAACAAGGAACTCAATTATTAGGCTATGAATGATACATAAAAAAGTGCCTTTTCTATTTATAACTAGCTGTACCCGCAACTTGGAATATAACTATTATATTTTTCTAAAATAAAAGTAGCCTAAGTTAGTCCTTATTATTTCAGCTACCTGCCAATAAACGTCCCGTCAAAATCAGTCTAGCCATTTCAGAGATTATCCAGAACAAACAGACTGACTGACAGACAGACAGACAAAAATTGTAAAAAATGTTATTTTGGTGCATGTACTGTATTCATATTCATATGCAAGTAGTAAAAAACGGTTATTTCAATGTTACAAACAGACACTCCAATTTTATTTATATGTATGTATAGTTAGATGTATAAATTACTATCTATCAAGGATTTCAGTATAAAACTGTCAGTTTGCAAGAATATATGCTATTATTAATATTATTATCATTTTGTTTATTAATATAACCTACTAAGGGCCCTATTATGATCTAGTTACACGGCAACTCCTATTCTAAGAAACTGCTTTTAGGTCTTTTCTTGAGCATATTATTACATATCCTCAGTCATTTTAATTCAATGTTAACTAACACAAAAAAAAATTATTTATGCAAAAGTACTATTACTGTGCATACACACCTCCACATTTTCAGGAATTCTAGTTTCATTTCCTTTGCTTCCGACATACACTTAATTAACCTTAATCTCCATTCATCACTCCCTGCAAGTAATGATTATCTTAGTATATGGTCAGAATTGGTTGTGACTTACATATCATACATGAACATTCAAATTCCAAATAATTTATTCATATATAAATTCTAAAAATATCTGCTTACAATGAATAAAAAATGTTGTTACAATTCACTTTAATTAAAAAAAATTGTTTACAGTACTGATTTAACTAAAACTTAAAATACTATTATTCAGTTGAGAACTTGTAACTCAATATTTTTATGTATGTTATTATTTTTTTAATCTATTATCAATCCTAAATAAATATTAAAAAATTGGATTAGTCTCAGAACAAACAAGTTTCAAAATAGCATATATGTGGTTCATAATTTGTTTGTCCAAATGCACAAAATAAAATTCTGACAATCATTGATTTTTTGGGTCCCATTTTGTTTGTAAAATCTCCCAATAATAGTTTTTCTATACAGACTGATCAAGTGATAGCAATATTAATATAATATAACTTATTATTATTAGGTTTTTATTATAGTATATTGTATATAGAAATGATAGAATATTGCTTAAAAATAAAGATGCTATGCCCTATCACTTGTTTCAGTATAAGTAATAGTATTAATAATGAAAATATTTAAACATGACCTCTAAAACATATGTAACTTAGTAATAAAATTTTATTCTTATAACATTGTAATACTAATCCATTTTAATAGTATCATTACATGCAATATTTGTTATTGCATTACTTACAACTTTCATACTTATCCAACATTTTACTTTTAGCAAAATGTTTGTCAAACATGTTGAAGTAAGTCCAACTACTGCTTTTTGTTCTCTTGGCAAGTTTGTACATCTGAAATATAAGCTTTTATGATCATTTATTGCAATAACAAAAATATAATGTTAATGGTAGATGAGCCTATTTGTGTTATCACTGGAATATCTGATAAAGACTTATATAATACTACATAACATCATTTTTATATAATACTACTTAACAACTAATTCATTTTTGATCAATAATCTGCCTCAATACTTAGCAATACTCCATCAATTAAATATACTTACATCATAACAGTAGGACCATTTTTTCCTAACATGACTTACTGTCATTTCCTCTGGAAAACCATTATCCAATAGTATTTTGCGGAATTCCCTGTACAAATGAAATTAAAAATAATAATAAAAGTAAAAACAATATTTATACATGTAAATTTGTGTGTAGGTTTATTTGCATTTTCCATAACTGCTGTACCAGTTGTCATAAAATTTGGTTAGGACTATACATTTGGGATGTAGATAACATATGCTATTTTTCAGCTTGAACCTTCAAAATGGTCCATAAGGCAGATAGATGCAGAATGAGAAGATAGTATGTATGTTTAATACACATGTACTTGATTATGAGCCTTCTACAACAGACTAACTTTTATACAATAATATCAGGAATTAGTAATTCATTGATATTGTCTATATAGGATTACAAAACCTAAATTATAATTTTCATGCACACACGAATATATAGAATTGAATGATGGTACACACAAATAAATATACATATAATGCACTACACTTTTGTTTATTAGTTACTAACGCTTACCTCCAGGGTTGTTTCTTTTTTTTAAATAAGCAATCATTAATAAATCGTAATTCCAATAACCGTGTGATAAGATCTGATGTCCCTGTAATTATATTATAATATATATATATATTACAAAATACAAAAATTGATTTACAACTCATTCAAATTTGAGTGCTATCATATAGGTACTAACAAACAAAAGTTTTATCTTCCATGATTTTGTTAGAATTTTGATATTCTTGTTATGAAATTATCCTGACAATGCGCAATATCAATAGAATAAAAAACTGCATATTTGGAGTATTTGCAAGATTTGTAAATAAAAGAAATACAATTATACAAATGTAAAAACATAAGTTAGGAAATGTACTTCGTAACTTTTTAAAAGTAAAAAATATATGATCATATAGATGACATAATGATGACTTTGACAGCAACCTCACAGATTCTTTTTTTCTCTTCCATCTTTCACCAGTATACAACATTAGTTACTAGGTTACAAATTTTATTTCTACTATTTACTATTTGTTCCCCACTTTTGTATAATCCCTGCCAATCAAGAGGCTATTCGTCCAGTCCCTCGGAAGTCTCTGTCCCTGAAATTGATGCCAGAGCAAAAAACTTTTTCCCGAGGTCCCGTGCACAGAATAGGTCTTAGCTGTGATTTTAGTAAACAATAGGTTAAAATGGATAAGCATTTAATTTTATAGTTTTGAAATTTTTATTCTACCGCATTATTATTTCTTAAAATATATAGTTAGAACTTTTTAATGCCGTTATTAAACTTTTAATTTGTCGCTATTACAATTTCAATTTGTAAAAAATAGCAACTCTAAATCGCTGGCACTAGCTGTCAGTCAGTCATACAGGCCTTCCCCCCAAACTTCCATTTCACCCAGTTTCTCACCGGTCACTCATACTCCAAAACATATCTAAGACGGTTTGGTATCACCTCGGATGACAAATGCCCCTGCAACGAAGATGCTCCGCAAACTATGGAACCTCTCGTTAAGGAGTGCCCGAGGTTTGGTCCCACGAGACTCGACCATGAGACGGTCTGTCGCATGGTTCGGGTCTCGGAACCATTCCATCTCCCATCTATCATCAAATATCAATCAACCATCGACACGTTCACATCACACATCTCATACATTATCCACAACCTGAAACACTTTAATCAAACATAATCATTAGCACCAACATTCCCATACCACCATTATCAACACTCCCATACCATCATCATTAACATTCTCATACCATCATCATCAACATCTCCATACCATCATCATCAAAACCACGAATATCTTCATTGTTTTGTTTTATTCTTTTATTTTTGTTTTATTTGTCTTTGTTATTCTTTTGTCTTCTCTTATTTATTAAATCAATTTGTTACTATAATAATATAATATAATATGTATAAAAAATTATAGGTATGTTCTAATAATATATTTCAAATTCTATACCTATGAAAAACATAAATATACAATTTTTTTTAACTCTGCTGACGTGAGCGTAAACAGTAGGCGCAAACGCTGAATGCGCTGAAGCATATAGAGTACTTAAAACTTCTCAGATCTTTAAAAAAAAAGTTGGTCTATAATTGAATAACAGTGTCAATCAGCAGACAGTACCTAGCAAGGATATCGGTGTTCTGTGGTACCTAGTCAGTACCATTGGTGTTCTGTGATCAGTACTCTCTGGCTTTTGGTTGGTGTCAAACTAAACAATTGTTTGTCTGTGATTTGGTTTGAAATATTTTTCACGTGGTTTCTAATGTTTTTACTAAATAATTTATTCCTATGAATCAGAACTATTTACACCAGTTATTAAATTAACTAAGACAGCATGCATCGAATCGCTTCTGCTAGGAATATGTACCATAATAGTTTATACGGAATTTCATTGCCATCCAGTAACTTACTTCACAGTACAAACTTTTCCGAAATTAAATGTTCATTTTGTCAGAAAAATATTTTTGGAGCCTACAATACAGGTAGTATTACCATTTACGTACCGTTCTTGTTGGATTCTAATGTTTGTATTGGTGTATAATTTTTATAAACATAACCTAAATTCTAATTGCGTAACTTTTCGGTGCCGTTCCAGAAAAATATAATCATGTTAGACATCAATCAACGCGGACTGTTAGTGCTTTGAAATCGCTAAGGAAAAAGGTGAAACACAAAAGTTACAAGAAATATGGGGAATTATTGCAAGGTTTGTTTTGTTTATATATTGTTTATTTGTAACCTCTACATAGTAATGTTTCATAAACATGAATGGGGAATAAAATGGACTATATTTACATTATATTTCAGTTGGTGAGAAAGAAATGACAGAAACTAAAGTATCTATTAGTAAATTGCGTGCATCACAACTATCAAAATTAGCTGCTAGTCCTGTATCATTAGGTCAACTTCATCAGTTAACAAACAATGCAAAAACAGAAACTAAATCACCAGGTATAACGCAAGTTGATCCAGAATTACTGCAAAGTGTTAGAGAGAAAATACTGAAGCTGTCATCTCCACCTGTAATTAACGAAATTTTGTTAGAAGATGATAAGTGTGCCTTAGTATATACAAATCTCACAATACCGCGGTTAGAAAACAAATTTAAAACAAAACATGATATAGATATGGTGAAGGCAAGTTACTATGATTTTAGAAAGACTACTCTGTATGATCAAAAGTTGCAAGACCTTAGGTATGCTATTAATGAAGGTTTGAATCAGCAGTTTGATATTAATACATCTACGAAAGGAATTATAGGTGTGGAGAACAGTTCTGAACTACAGTCCCTACCAAAGAGTCCTCATGCAGTCTTTAGAGAGCTGTTTATAGAAAATCAATTAGATAGCTATGACCAGGAACTTATGACACACATATCAAACATGCAGTGAGTACATTATTTGAATTAATACAAGTGTAGAAAAAGTACAGTTTTTTTTGTACTTTGTGTTTATAAATATATAATCATAATTTGTTTATTATATTCACAGTGTTAGAGTTTATTTTTTTGTAAAAATTATGTAAATAAGCGATCAAATATCTGAATGTAAATGCCTAAAATTAAGCTAATAATTTAAATTACAGAGCACAGGGATTAGCTTATCCAGTTTTGGATGATTTTGGTGATGATGCTGCATTACACAGTGAAGTAATTGAGGGTCATGAAGATATGGACTTTGATCCTGGAGATCCTGGAGAAACCCCAATGGTGAAAAGTTTTAAAGTCCAAAAAGCGTGAGTATATTATTGAAATTGTTATAAAAATATTAATTCAATTTCAAATTGAAATGAATATGTATATTTCTATAATATACATAATATAAAATCAAATGTTTTCGATATAAATTTATTTGTATCATAATTCTGTTATTACTAATATTTGAAAAAATCATAAATCTAATTAATTGCATAGTTGTACACTGTAGTATTTGAATAAAGCCTTTATACACAGGCCATAAACAATTATATTAATCATATTCAATAACATCTATTAAAAAATAATCAAATGAGAAAATGACCTATTTAATGTTCACTGCTCCACATGATAAGAGGATAAGAGAGATCAAGAGGTTTGATCCTGTGTACTATCAAAAATTTGTTCTTTATAAAAGTACTTTTATTTAACTAACTTTGTGATAGTAAAGTCATAAAAAGTGTTGTATTTACTATAACAGCCAGCCATATCAATGACTCCCACATATTAATTTGCATTATACACTCCTAACTCCTTAGAAACAGTCTATGTATCTTTTTGCTAGTCCTTACTAATAATGGAAAGTGGTGGAAAGATACATGGATTGCCTCTATATCTAGCTGATTCATTCAACCAGCCCTATCACTTGAAAAGGATATAACTATTTCAGTAAAATAAGACACCTTAGATTGTAATATAACAATATTAGCAGCATAAAAAAGGAAAAATTAATAGATTATATTATAAGGTACTGTTAAACAAAAAAATAAATTATTAGTGGTATTGTCACATTTGACACATATCTTGTTTTGATAATTAAAAAATAATAAATTAATTATTAACAATTACATCCCAAATGAGGTAGATGAAGGTGGCAACTTTACTGCCATCTATCGGATTATTTCTGTTACATCTCTGTCTGTTGTACATCTGTGATTTTAAAATTTACTGCTTCTTCTTTACAGAAAAGAAGCACAGAAACGTAAAAAGGAGCTCCGGGAACGACGTCGCGCCCAGCAGGAGTTGAATATGAAACAAGATAGGAAATCCCTGCACCGCCGCGGTCGCCAGCTCGCGCTGCATTCTACCCTTGCTGCGCACCTCAATGTGTTATGCTCGCTACGCATGGTGCATGAGGTTAACTTTACTACTTACTTACTTTATTTTACTAATTATTACTTTATACAAGTATACTGTAAACTAGTAACATACACTAAGACAGCCAATCTGAGGGATGCATTGTCTTGGTCCATACGAACTACCAAATGTGCAGAATTAAGTTTTCTGAAGTTTCCTAAGATTCAGTTCTATTTTTTTCATTTTTAAATATCAAAAAACTTGGTGAATTAAGTTAATTTGTTTTCATATAAAGGAATGACTAACGGAAATATATTTTTATATGTTAAAATGAGGAAAGATTTTAATTTATATATATATATTTAAATATTTCATGTTCTGTAACTCCATAGAGCAGAAACAGATATCGAAGTTGAATATGCCATAAGTTTAATAATAATGTATGCAAAAACTATATATTTGACCCAGATTGTTACTGAGCTGTTATCTAGTTGCTATCTGCAAATCATGACTGATAAGCTAGATATTGTATGCTACATTGTACTTCTGATAAAGTTCAAATTTGGTATCATGTTATTATTATCATGACATGATGTATGTATTGTCAACCAACTTACAAAAAGGGGATTACTATTCGATATTCTCTAGTAAGATAGATTTTTTTTGTATTATAACGTAAAATCGATCATAGGAGTGATATTTATTAGGAAATATCATTCTAAATTTTGCATCAATTGTGATGACCTCTTGCAGTAAATACTTATTAGTTTTATCGTGATTGATGTAGCTTTATGTGAAACATATTCCCTAAATTATACTCACTTAGATATAATGACTATTATAGTCGGTACAATATACTATAATAATAATTGTATGTATTTATAAACAATTTCTTGTGGGACTCAAGCAGCCCTATATTATGTAAATTAGAATTTAATTATAATAATAATAACAAATTTTAAATCCTCTGATAAATGATAAACGTTTGTTCCATTATGTATGTTAGAAAAATAAAATTCTTTTAACAGGGTCGTAAAGTTCTTCAGTATTACAGACAACGGGGTTCTAGGGTACCAGACCATCCTAAAGTCACTGACGTCAAAATATACAACACTCTCTTGCATGGATATGCTTCAATGGTAAGTACTTTCTACAATAAATATATGATTATTTCATTATAAGGCAGTTATATTGAGTGATCAGCTATAAAGTACATTACACTCTCATGAGATAAATATCTAAATTGGGACAAACATTATCTTACCAAAGACCCATAAAAACAAATTATTTATGTGAAAATTATCGTTAATATAATATAAAAAATATTTATCAAATAATTAAATGTAGCTGATTGTTTATAACAGTATCATTGTAATAAATATACAAATTATAGAAGCAATATGTTCATGATATCTTATGATATTAATAATATTTATTATATTCTTCAGTATCATGTTGATGTTATGCTGTGGTAAATGTGTTTCTATTCTGATGATGATGATAAACCTAACCGCAGCTGTCGTCATTATATCTGTAATCATTTAAAGCAGTGCTGTCCAAACCATGGCCCGCGGCTTAATTTTATATGGCACGCAATTTTTTTTTCTTTATTTAAATTTATGTACATTCAATTTGATTTTTTTGTATTCCAAAATGATTTGATGACCAAATTATTTTCTTCTCTGCTCTTATAAGCATGTGCCGCATCTAGCCAATATTCATCTTCATGTTGACTTAATTGTAAAAGATAAATTAATGCAGTAATAAAGTAATATAATATATATACCTACATCTTGTTTTTACCCACATTCTGCGGCCCCTCAATAGATTTAGTAATTTTTATTCGCTTAGATAGATAGTTTGGACAGTTCTGATCTAGTATAGTATATTAATATATTTATAAAACTAATATTATTATCTTTATAATACTAAAAGTTTAGATTTTTTTATTTTTTTCGTGGATCGTAAATTCGTAATACCTATTACAATTTTCTCAGGGCGAAACAGAAAATATGAAGGAATTACTCTCATTTATGTCAGAGGACGGGATAGAAAGATCTGCGCAAACTTACGCCGCGGTGTTTGAGTGTATAGAAAGAAGTAGTGTGGAGGACAAAAATTCAGTATTGGAAAGTTACCGTGGACAGATGGAAGATAAGGTATTATAATCTATTGTTTTAAAAATTAATATTTTATGTTAAGCATATATGTTTTAAGAAAATAATATTGTATATTATGTTTATACAACTATTGGCGCTTCTAATCATTAAAAACACAATGAACTCTAGACACTATATTTGTAACAATTCTTTATAATAATGGAAACTTAACATCAAACTATATAAAGTTCTTTAGACTTCATGTTACGTAGTTATTTGAAATGTTTATAAATTATTTTATTTTAGGGGATACATTTAAATGACTTAATGGATAAGACTAACTTTCTCTATGATCAACGAGAGATGGTTCTACAAGCTATTCAAAGGATACAACCTGATTTTGAACCCCAATACACCCCTCCTATTCTTGACTATAATTGCGCATTGATGGAGAGATTAAAATTAACTGAAACAGAAGCTAGGGAAGGACTTAATAGTTCTCCAGCTGAAGGTGTTGTGTCTTTGGAGGAATTAATAAAAATGGGCAAAGAGCAAATGGATATCGAAATAAAGGGGGAAATAGAAGTACAAAATATTGATATTAAAGATGAATCATCACCAACTGTTAAGTTTTGTGTAAGTTATTTATAATTTAATTAATTTGTACATCGAGTTATGAATTACAGCAACATTTGGTCTCCGAAAGCAATACTTGTTAGTATTGATTCCGGTAACCAAAAGATTTCAGCCTAACAAATGTTCTTAAATTGACAGTAGCTTTTTTGTGTTTGTTAGTCAATATCATTGATTCTGTAACCAAATGGCTTTTGCCTGATTTATGATCATACAAATTCTGTTAGGAGTAGTGGTTATTTTTTAGTGTAGATTTTTTTAATTCATTGGTGGTAAAAAAATCCCAATCAATAGTATGTATGAAGATGTTGTTTTCATTATTCGTTTATATTATTTAACGATTCTGTTTGTTCTCCATGATCACATATAGAGAGAAAAACTAAAAGAAACCGAAGATCGGTGGCGGCAGGTGATCAAAGAAGCTTTTGTGAGAAATCTAGGAACTCTCAAATCCCAAAGTGTTGCATCTCATACTGCTATCACTTTATACCCTTACTTGAAGGTTTTAGAGGTAATCATCAATTTATTATTACTTTCTTACTGTTATACTATACTATATTTACAGAGTTTTGTGCCAAGACATTAACTACACAGACTTGATTGGTCGTGAGTTGAAATCTGACCGGCACCAAGAAAACTGTTAAATAGACTCTTTCTACGAAGGTGGGACCGTTTATATCTAACTAAAGTAATTTGACAGACTATGGTAGGCTCGCCTGTCACGATGAATTCAAATAAGACGAACGAAATGTTACATGTGTTACGTTCAGCACGACATCGACTGAATTTACCATCTAAGAAAACAATCATGAATATTTATTTAATCTATACTTTGGTTATAATTAAAATTATATTATAATAGTAAATTTTGTCCTTCAGGTGGACCAGTTTGTAGATTTAATAATGGGCGAACTAAGTAAGTTAGTGGATGGCAGTGAAACATACAGTCCTACATTTAAGTTGCTGCAACGTGATTTGGGCACACAAGTTTATCACAAGTTAGTACCTATTAGTTATTATTATGTTACGATAAATTTACTATTTTTTAATAGATTATTTTTCTGTCACAAAAAAAAAATAGAAATCACGTTGACAAAATTTGTGTAATTTAGATCTTTCCTAACATACGAATTTAACGACAAAAAAAAATTGCTTCCTGAAATGCAGGTATCAAATCGATCAATACCGTAAGAATGGGGCGTTGGCAAAGATCGAACGGATCTACGAGAAATACTGCGAGTGGTACGTGAAGCGGACGGCGGTCGACGAGAGCGGGCGCGCGTACAACTGCCGGCAGGCCTGGCAGGCGCTCCTGCACCGTCACCGCGACGGCGCCAGCCTGGTACGTACACTGCATACTTGGGTAGTGGATAGTCTGCTAATTGCTCATTACCCACTGCACACGATACACTGCCCACTGCCTATTACTATTGTAGTCTACTACCAGGATCTCGTGTCTTCGGTGGAGAATTTTAGACGGCTACGGGAGTTCGCGCATCAGTGGCATGGGAGGCGGAGCGGGTCGGAGAGGATGACACGTGGAGCGGCATCAGGAAGCACAGAAGACATTCGGAAGTATCCGGAAGAAGATGGAGTGCTGCCCGGCACCGAAGTCTCAACTGCTGTTGCTGTGGAGTCTACTGCCCCAGAAAGGGGAGAATGTGCACTAGGGACAAGGATTGTAGATTAAATAACTTGTCGGGTGTCAAGAGCGATGCGCGAAAGCGCACCTCCCGCGTTTCGGCCAGTATAACCGTGAAGTTGGAATGGCCATGGGTTGGTTGGAGAGTTTGCCTATTACTATTGGACAGTGTGCCCCATGCACACAATAGGTGTACTGTGTGTATTACACTACAAACTGTCCACTGCCCATTGCTCATTGCTCACTGCCGACATACAACACACTACACACATCTAGAATAGAAAATTAATTATTTCTAGAAAATTATTTATTTAAATAAACTTAAATTTAAGTACTTTACACTTACAGACAGTTCTCAATTCAGCAGCACCACGGATTTAGAGGTATATATAATACGCGGTACAGGTGGTCGTGTGCAGTTTTAGCATGCTATGGGTAGTGTGGGTATCCATACTACACTTGTCACTAGATGTCGTGGCGATTAGACGAATTTCAGGGGTTTTAACCATTCGATATTGTGATTCACAGGACATGGAAGAGATTCAATGGCCTTTGGAAACGAGGCAAAATGTTGGAAAGTTCCTTTATAACATTATTATCAACGATATCAAGATCGACGTCAATATGTTTAAGTCGAAAGCTAAAGAGTAAGTACACTTTTTATTGTCGCAATCAAATCGCAAGAAGTATATAACAGTGGTTAATAATGCAATACTAAAATGCACAATTTGGTGTCTGGGTTACAGGCGGTTGTTGCCGGCGGTGTACAAGGTGCACCGGCCGTGGGGCCGGCTGGTGCGGCTCGAGCTGAAGCCGCACCCGGTGCTGGCGCGGCTGTGGGCGGGCGGCGCGCGGCCCGGCCTGCGCGTGCGCGCCGCCCTCGCGCCCGCCCTCGCGCCGCCCGCGCCCTGGCTGTCCCACGCCTCGCGCGCCCACCTGCTCACGCCCACGCCGCTCGTACGGTACGTGCACCCCGCCCTGCTGTCCCACGCCTCGCGCGCCCACCTGCTCACGCCCACGCCGCTCGTACGGTACGTGCACCCCGCCCTGCTGTCCCACGCCTCGCGCGCCCACCTGCTCACGCCCACGCCGCTCGTACGGTACGTGCACCCCGCCCTGCTGTCCCACGCCTCGCGCGCCCACCTGCTCACGCCCACGCCGCTCGTACGGTACGTGCACCCCGCCCTGCTGTCCCACGCCTCGCGCGCCCACCTGCTCACGCCCACGCCGCTCGTACGGTACGTGCACCCCGCCCTGCTGTCCCACGCCTCGCGCGCCCACCTGCTCACGCCCACGCCGCTCGTACGGTACGTGCACCCCGCCCTGCTGTCCCACGCCTCGCGCGCCCACCTGCTCACGCCCACGCCGCTCGTACGGTACGTGCACCCCGCCCTGCTGTCCCACGCCTCGCGCGCCCACCTGCTCACGCCCACGCCGCTCGTACGGTACGTGCACCCCGCCCTGCTGTCCCACGCCTCGCGCGCCCACCTGCTCACGCCCACGCCGCTCGTACGGTACGTGCACCCCGCCCTGCTGTCCCACGCCTCGCGCGCCCACCTGCTCACGCCCACGCCGCTCGTACGGTACGTGCACCCCGCCCTGCTGTCCCACGCCTCGCGCGCCCACCTGCTCACGCCCACGCCGCTCGTACGGTACGTGCACCCCGCCCTGCTGTCCCACGCCTCGCGCGCCCACCTGCTCACGCCCACGCCGCTCGTACGGTACGTGCACCCCGCCCTGCTGTCCCACGCCTCGCGCGCCCACCTGCTCACGCCCACGCCGCTCGTACGGTACGTGCACCCCGCCCTGCTGTCCCACGCCTCGCGCGCCCACCTGCTCACGCCCACGCCGCTCGTACGGTACGTGCACCCCGCCCTGCTGTCCCACGCCTCGCGCGCCCACCTGCTCACGCCCACGCCGCTCGTACGGTACGTGCACCCCGCCCTGCTGTCCCACGCCTCGCGCGCCCACCTGCTCACGCCCACGCCGCTCGTACGGTACGTGCACCCCGCCCTGCTGTCCCACGCCTCGCGCGCCCACCTGCTCACGCTCACGCCGCTCGTACGGTACGTGCACCCCGCGCGCTGCTGTCCCACGCCTCGCGCGCGCCACCTGCTCACGCCCACGCCGCTCGTACGGTACGTGCACCCCGCCCTGCTGTCCCACGCCTCGCGCGCCCACCTGCTCACGCCCACGCCGCTCGTACGGTACGTGCACCCCGCCCTGCTGTCCCACGCTGTTCGTACACCGTACATGCATACCCGCCCTGTGTCCCACGCCACCTTACGAGTGGCGTGGGACACAGGGACACAGTCCTAAACGAAATTACAATACTGTATTTTGAATTAATAAAAATCCTCTAATCCCTAGTAATTTTAATTTATTTTATTTATTCATTTTCTCAAAATTGTAATCTTTATGTAACAAGCAAATAAATAGAATTAAAATCTTTCGCAGAATGCCATTGTACGTGCAGAACCAGTGGAAACGCTTAGAGGAAGCGCCGCCAGAGACACTGTATCCGGCACTGGACAGCCTCAACCAACTTGGCGAGGTTCCGTGGGCCATTAACAAGCGGGTACTCGACATACAGCTCCATGTGTTTAGGTATATACACATTGAAACTGTACACTATTTGTGATCCTATTCTCTCTATTAGTCATATTCTGAATAATAATGAGTTCAAAATATTTGTGAAATGTGTGAATAATGTAACTTTACAGATCGGGTGGAAACAAGAAGCTCGACATTCCTCCTCCGGCGTCGTCACTCAACCCGCAACAATTCCGGCTACCAGGTGAACGAGACGGAGCTGATGCGAATTCACCGGCGAACGCTTTCAAGCGTCGCATCGCTATAAACCGCGCCCGCGCTGAAATGCACTCACTTTGGTGTGACGCGCTATATAAACTATCACTGGCCAACCACTTCAGGTGAGTAATGGAAGAAAATCTCCATGGGTCGGATTAGTACAATTATATTAAAAATTGACATATTTTAGTATTCCGTGGTAATAAATAATAATATCAGGACTATTCCCACGGTGCCGTCTAGACCCAAGTTAAGCTAGCTAAAGCTTGTGTTATGGGTATCAGATAACGTGCCGTGCGAGGAATCGAACCCGCGGCTATCAAGCGGGTAAAAAAATAAGGTATGGTGTGTTCGTACAGGGACAGTCGGTTCTGGCTGGCGCACAACATGGACTTCCGCGGGCGCGTGTACGCGTGCCCGCCGCACGTGTCGGCGCTGGGCGCGGACGCGGCGCGCGCGCTGCTGGTGTTCGCGCGCGCGCGCCCGCTCGGCGCCCGCGGCCTGCGCTGGCTGCGGCTGCACGCGCTCGCCCTCTCCGGCCGCGCCAAGCGCTCCACGCTCCAGGAGAGGTACTCTCCGGCTTCCTGCTTGTATCTTGTATATGTAGCACATGAGAACAGTGAAAATATCAAGTTTTTCAACTTGTCATTTCCTATTTTTTTCCTTCGTTCTTAACCACTATTATGAGTAATATAGAAAACACTTGTATTACGACTTCCTTTTTATTTACAGATTGGAACTTGCGGAAAAACTAACTGACAAAATGCTGGATTCCGCGGACCATCCATTGGATGGTGAAGGTTGGTGGATGGAATCCGAGGAACCGTGGCAGACTCTCGCCTGCTGTATCGAGATCGCCAACGCTATAAGATCGCCCAATCCGGAAGGTAACAATAAAACTTGATTATATTCCTAATTTTGTTTACATGAAGATTTGGCTTCTTAATCTAGTACAAGTAAATAGTAGAAAAACTTAACAATATATCTAAAGTTTATGTTACTAATATACTACTGAAGCTGATCATGAGCTTCTAAGAGGACGGAAGGCTTTCTGTACTCTTAGAAGCCAAGAATGATCGACTTCTTCTTCTTCTCTTATAAGTGTTATTACAGCCTCATTCATAAATTTTCTACTACCTTAAAATTATAATAAAAAAACTTTTATGTTTGTCACTGAAAAAAGACATGGTGCATTTTATAATAGTTGAAATCGTCGGTTGTGTTCAGAGTACATGTGCGCGTTCCCGGTGCACCAGGACGGGTCGTGCAACGGGCTGCAGCACTACGCGGCGCTGGGCGGGGACGCGGCCGGCGCCGCCGCCGTCAACCTCGCCGCCGCCGCGCGCCCGCAGGACGTCTACAGCGCCGTCGCCGCGCTCGTACGTCACTTATACTACCTCACTACCTCACTCGCGCTGCTCACACCGAGGTCTACAAAATTGCGAACATAAATACATAATGTAAGCAGGCATACATAAATATAACAACAGGTATAGCAAGACATTTATGTCTCCCATGGTATATTACAGGTAGAGGAGGCTCGCGTTCGAGACGCTGCGGGCGGGTTGACTGCGGCACGTGTGTTGGAAGGATTCGTGCGGCGGAAGGTCATTAAGCAGACAGTTATGACCACAGTGTATGGCGTTACACGCTTCGGGGCCAGATTGCAGATTGCGAAGCAACTTAAAGGTAATACTAAGAAGAAGAAATAGCAAAAAATAATAAATAAGTAAATCGAGCTGGTATTTTATATTATACTAGATTTATCTATTCTTTAATATTTCCATGCTTCTTTTGGAAGAATTAGAGTAGTATTTAGAGTAGAAGAGATATAGTCTTTATCGAAATGAACTTAATATAATAATTTTGAATAGTTGTATAATATTACTTAAATTCTACCATTAATTCAGAAAGCAGACTCATCACAGGAAGAATGAGCAAGAATCTTGTTGTTGTTGCTCTTTTGAATAAATGTTGTTTTCTATAATGAACAATACATAAGTTTATATATGTATTTAAAAAAGAAAAACTGCAATTAGGGTAAAATTTATATAACCGAAAAATTAAACTAAAAAAAGACACTAATATAACAACTTCGCGTAATAAGGACAAAAAATGTGTAACAAAACCTTTTATTACAGATATAGATGAATTTCCAAAGGAACATGTATGGACATGCTCACAATATTTGACCACGAAGACCTTCGACAGTTTAAGAGAGATGTTCACCTCCACTAAACTCATTCAAGATTGGTTCACTGATTGCGCAAAGTATGAATTATTCTATTCTATTATTAAAGATAAGCGTACTTACGTATGACGTTGATACCTATACAAATTCTATATTACCTATGGTTGTTTAAAATATTATTTATTATGTTCCCATTTTTAGGGGATATGTGTTAGGTCTCCAGGCGTTGTTATTTCATTGCTATTTTATTTAATTTAAATACGGCTTGCAGAGTATAGTATTCTAAAGTAAGATTATTAATTCCAGTCAGTAAAATGACATTTCCGGTGTTGCAGGTTTTTAGTCCCAAATAAATAGTGATGAGGTACAATGAAGTTTTAACAATAAAAGTTAGTCGAGACTAGATTTTTTTTATTCAATATCAAATTGGCTTTATATAAATAAAAATTCTAGTGTTAATTCCTCTGAATCTCTTTATACATTTATTCCCAGCATTTGTAATAATGTTATAGTGAGATATTTTAATATGCTGGTAAGGTCCATATTTCTAAAATCGTAATATTTAATACGGTATTTATTAAATATTTAACAATAAAAAAAAACGCTTTGATACCTAATAAAATAAAGCATGACTAAATGTCTAAGTCTATTGATTGTCGAACATCACTATTGTAATGGGTCACCCATTTTTGAATCAGTGACAGTTGCACTTTCATTTTACTGACTGGAATTAATAATCATACTTTAGGTGCGACTGAGGTGGGACAATTATAGTTTTTTGATATAATTGGAATGGCAAACAAGCTAACTCTTAATGGTGAGTGGTAACTTGGTGGTATCATCTGTCGTCCTTAGTACAATGTTGCCATTTCAGAGGACCAATTTTAAGATGTAGTGGTGCTCGTAACATAAACAGGCGGGCTGATCTAACAATAACATGGAGCCGGCCCTACATGTGGAAGTGTTGGAATTCGTAGGGTGATCTCGAGCGTGTGCGGGGAAAACGTGGAGTGGGTGACGCCCCGTCATCATCCCTGGGGGGAATCGTCTTTTAATATTTTTTCTATATGATATAAAAAATGTGGTCCAACTCTCGGCTCGGGCCGTCATAAATTCGATCCCCGCTTGAATCGGACGGGGAGTCGATCGCTCGGAAAGTATCAAGGGTGTGCTAACGGTCGGACGGCGGACGGGGATCGATCGGAGGGTCATGGATGTGTGGTTGTCGGCAGGGTGATCTCAGGCGTGTGCGGGGAGAGCGTGGAGTGGGTGACGCCGCTGGGGCTGCCGGTGGTGCAGCCCTACCACCGCCGCGCGCCGCCCGCCGCCGCCCTGCGCGCGCCGCTCGACCTCCACATGTAACTCTACCACCTATTTAAACATAATATATTATTACTATATAAGTTACCTTAACACTTATGCTCTTTCAAGCGCGAGTGTGATTTCATGCAGGAAAGAATGTACGTGTAAATGTGGAAACAGCACATTCTTCAATTGTGCGTACTTTAGCATCTTTTTGTAATAATTAATTATAATTGCTAAATGACAGACATCTCAATATGAAGCAAAGACAGAAGGAGTGAGCATGAAAAATAAAATAAAGTTATCACTTAAGTGTTTGTCCTATAATACGCCGCTTACTAACTTCTCAGTTTGCCTTATGGTTGACTGAAAGAGAACGCCCTAAGATGTTAAGTTCGCCATATGTACATTTATATATTGTATTTGCATATTAAAATTTAAATAAATACTAGCTATCCCGGCAAACGTTGTTTTGGCATAAAATAAAAAAAAAATTAGGGGTGGACTACCCCTAACATTTATGGGGATGAAAAATAGATGTTGGCCGATTCTCAGACCTACTCAATACGCTCACAAAATTTCATGAGAATCGGTCAAGCCGTTTCGGAAGAGTATGGGAACGAAAACTGTGACACGAGAATTTTGTATATAAGATATAAAAAATAGTTAAATGCAATCGCCCTGGTTTTCCCGCGCGCGCGTTTATGAACGTGCCTTGTAAAGGCAGCTGTACTCATATTGAATACACTTCAACATATTTCGATCCTAACAAAAGTGTATGTCTAAACTTTGATTTTTTTGACTGTAGAATTTAAACAAAGTTAGTTGTTAAATGTATACAAATTCTTAAGTCTATATTACTCGTGAAACTGATTAAAGTTTCATAAGAAATAATGTATTCCACATTATTTTTCAATACCAATTTTCACTTTGTTTCTTTGTTAAAGTGTTTTATGAGTATAATAAGAATACTCATAAAACACTTTGGGCTTTTAGGTTAATATATACTTTATAACTAACTCTGTATATAAAGAAAAGGTAAGGATGGATGTTGGGAGGACAAAGGATTAATATACAATAACCAACCACGGTAACACGCTGCATATTTATTACCGAATCGAATATTAAGACAGTAATGACTATTTTCAATAATAACATGTTTTCAATTAACTTTATATGCCCTATATTAGCTGCCAATCAGCCTGTATTCTAAGCTGTGTTTCAAAGTGAAGGTTGTAAAGTGAAAATTATGCAGTGAAATTACAAGATAAGAGTCAAGACATCTTATTCTTCTGGAATGGCAACACATGAGTGGTACTGCGAGTGGCACATGATAGATTACATTATGTACATAGTGCCTTTATATTGCCTATATATTAGCTATGGTTACCACTTACCATCAGGTGGGCCGTCAGCTTTACTTATTGCCACGCACAACCACATTGTGGAATCACTTTCCAGCAATGGTATTTCCGAACAGATACGATACTCTACCTTCGAGAAAACAGCTTAAAAGGCCGGCAACGCACTTGTAATTTTCATTTAGTTTTGCGGTTCATGAGCGGCAGTAATTACTTACCATCAGGTGACCGCTCATTTGTCCCCTATGCTATAAACAAAAGCTTGTTTGGCATTCCAACTATATAACAATACGTATATGTTGTGGTGCAGGCGTCCATGTACGATGAAACAGCGTAATGCGTTCCCTCCGAACTTCATCCACTCGCTGGACTCGTCGCACATGATGCTGACGGGGCTGCACTGCCAGGCGCGCGGCATCACCTTCGTCTCCGTACACGACTGCTTCTGGACACATCCGGACACCGTCGATACTATGAACGAGGTAACCATTAACAACTAATATTAAAGACAATCATGAATTACGTCACACGAATGCTTTACATGGTTTTTTTGAGAGACCCCTCCGGTCTCTTTCTCTTTAAGAATTCAACTCCAATCGTAATCACGGCTGATTGATTACATTTGAGAAACTCCTACTCCCTAGTTGATATTCATATATTTGCAAATTTATTAATGTTATAGATTTTTTTCAAGTAAAATTAAAACAATTTTCGTTATTATGTAGATAATTATGTTTATTAGATTTAGGAATAGAACGTCACATCACACTTTGTTGAAATTCCCAAATGTGAAAAGATCTACACATAGAGTGTAATGTTAATATAGCAGTGACATTACTAGGCATGGAAGCCATCTTAATCCACACATATGGGAACCCACAAAGGCTACTACAGTTTATTTTATGATGTCTATGGTGCTGACATATCGTTCTAATGGGGTGAAGGAGATTATTAGTAATGTGGTAAATCCACCCATTGCTAGCAGTAAACCTTGTCAGGTTGACCTCTACGTGTTTCTGCCTGTACACCGTTGTGATAAATTTATGGCTAATTCAACACTACGGACTAACTAAAGTGACCTCACGCTCATCTTATCATCCTCCACTAGTGCCCCAATAGCATTCCATTATCATTCATAAGAAAAAAAATATAACGTTATATTTTTTTGCTTTCAGATTTGTCGTGAACAGTTCGTCGCCCTACATTCTCAGCCAATATTAGACGACTTATCGGAATATCTTGTCAAGCGATACAGTTACGATTACAGGTATGTGATACTTAATATATAAATAAAAAATATACCTGAATACTTATATTTAGATGCGTTAGCACAGCGCCATCTAGCTCCGAAGTTATATGTTATGCTTATAATATGTTCATATGTAATATAATGTGCATAGAAAAATCTAGACTCGTACAAACAGATACATATATATAGATATATATATATATATATATATATATATATATAATATATATATATATATATATATATATATATATATATATATATATATAAGTAATAAATCCAAGGTTTGCGTCATTTGATCAATGATATTTCTTATATTCTAACCGCAGGTTACTTTCAACTATGATTCGTAATACAACTTTCATAACCATCTTAGAAATTTTTAACTAGGAAGAAATTGATCTCCTAGCTTGCGGTCCCTTAGAATAAATAGCTGATGGTCTGTTCTTCGTTTGTCAAAGGGTAAAAACTTTGGTTTCGTATGCTATATCAATTATTATGTATATATTTTTAGTGAGCTTCAAGACTCCGCCCCTGGCGCAGCGAACAAGAGACGCGTCAATAACTTACTGAAGAAAGTACCAAGCAAAGGTGACTTTGATCTCAAGAGTGTGCTCAAGTCAGTTTACTTCTTCAGTTAGACTGTCATTCAAAAATCAATTCTATGACATTCGTGACACGTTCCTTTTTATACTGTGTATACATTGAGAATAGCTTTTCGTAGGTTGATTGTGTGTCTTAATATGAAATCGTGATGGATATTAAGGACCTGCTTCTCTGATATATATGATAAAGCCATGGGTAAGATTCTTAAATTAGTTTGTATGCGCAATTTATACTATCATGTTATGTGACTCTCTTAATGTATTCCATAACTTTCATCTAAATGATATATGACATTTCTATAGTTTTAAATTCAACATAAAATTGAAACTGGGAATAGTAAGTAAACAATTTCTACATATGCTTTTATACTTGAATATGAATGCTACAGAGGTTATAAATTATCTCTATAAGATGTGAGCCATAACCAGGTTCCATTTCTGGCTATATAAATTATTAAAGTATTATTTGTCATTAAGAGGGTACTTACAATAAGAAGTGTACTAGATAGGGGTAAACAAGTTATCGATAAAGTAGCGATCACTACATTAATATAAGAAAGACGCTGGACATTGTGATAACATGGATACAGTAGTTTTTTTTTCGGACTACTGTAATGCTTTTGGCTGTAGCTGGCCTTTACACCTACACCAAATGATAGGGGACGAGTGCAGATGGCACTCCAACACGCGGAAGTACTTATGGAGCGGCTGAAGGCCAACTCTCGCCTCACGGATACGATTTTTGTAAGAAGGCACTACTATGGGTTCGTACCTCAGCTCAGGCCGTCGTAATTTCGATCCCCGTTTGATTTGAACGGGGAATAGATCTGACAGGATGTTTGATTTGCTATCTATATATACGTTTGCCTCCTGTCTAAGTACACTGTATTTTTGTCATTGGTAAGGACACACAATCTGTACTTGATAGACTGATAATATTAGGATTCGTCATAATATAATGTTACTGCCTCTCATGCTGCTTATTATATTACTTTATTAGGTTATTTTCCTTCCTTTTTATGTATTGTCATAGAAATGCCTTTGGGTTCTAAATGTTATGAGTGTTTTTCAGTTATAAACTGCCTTATGTAATTAATAATTTATGAACTAAGATAAGATGTTGCACAACACGAATTGAATGTATTTTTTTTATATGTAGAAGTGATTAGTGGTATTTAAAAATATGTAAACTCGTGTACTTATTACTTGTTATGCTACATCGTACTGTTGACTGGGTTCGTATTCTTTTATAAATAAAACCACGGTTGCTCATTAGTAGTCTATGTCACAGTCAAATAACTCTTTATCGTGTACTATTTCAGACCAGTTGGCGCCAAGATTAAAACTGTGATTAACAATGCAATTTATAAATTGTATAGTAACATTTATGTTCAAAATATGACTCCATAGTAAATGTGTGGCAGTCATTGTTAACACATTCAGTCCAGGTTAACCCTTTTAAAACGACATATTTTTTTATTGGTTACATATATACTTTTAAATACCAACAATTGCTTCTACACTCGACTAGAGTCAACCAGCCATTAATATAATTAAGAAAAGACCAAATATTTCAATATTATCTGCTCAAATGACGTTAATGACGTCATTGGTATTATGGTATGCTGTATTTACATAGCAATAATTATTCATTTGAATTTGAATGTAGCAGTTGTCGAGTAAATTTATTACACACCAGTGTAAATATTAAAATTGCATTACTAATAAATTGTCGTATTATAATAAAAAGTGAGAAATTACTTTAATGTAATTCAACTATAATCTGTTTGTATAAGATATATTGTTTTTTATTGGAAGTATAATATATTACATATATATGAGACAAGGTCATATACTTACTTTTGAGTATGTAATGAATATTCTTTAGAAAAGGTATACAATTCTTATAGACGTGTAAAGGTTTGTGACGAAAATGATTTAGCAACGTGTGACATACTGTTGCACTGCAGTAGAAGAAGCTGTGCATAGGCACAGTTTAAATATACTTTATAGAAGAACTTTGAATCATATTATAATATATCATTTATGTAGAAGTTTTACGTTTGCCAGTTATTTCCTAAGCGTGCCATACACAATGTTACAATGATTACAAAAATTACAAATTTCATTTTGCTTCAATTGATATGAACTGAAATGTTTGTATAACTAGAAAGTTAAAATATTACTGATAGCACAAATGTTAAATAATATTTCATACATATTAAAATGCTACTTCAGCAACTTTCCAAAAGAAATATGTGATTTGATTCGTCAAACAATTATATGTCGTAAGATATAACGTTACCCCTTATTCATAAAAAATTAAAATCTAGGAATATTTGAGTGCTTTATTATTTATAAATAAGGGGATTAACATATATAAAAAATTGTGCATATATGAAAATTATTCAAAACGGGTACATATATAAAAGAAATGGAAATTTTTATTCAAATAAACTCATTACAAGCACTAATTATTCAAAACGGCATTGTGTGTTTTTTTTAATAGATGTTTTTTTTTATATAAATAATTACAGTATAACAAGTAAGAGGCATGCGATAATCAACATAGAAGTCGCTACGCACTCATTATTAATGTAATCAGATAATATTGTCAGTGCTATGGATTTAAAGTTTTTCAACGAATTCTTCAATTTTATAGTAAGCTTTTTTGCAAAGGAACTGTTTTATTTGACATTTAAATCTTTTTTCTGGCAGATTTATAACATACTCTGGTATTTTATTGTAACATTAGTAACATTAGTAATATCGCTGGCAAAACTAAATAGCCTAAGCTTGTATCTACCGTTGGTAGATCAATATCTTTACAAAGTCTAGGCTATATAGTTTTGACTATATGTTTGTAAAAATCTCCACTTATGGCAGACTTGTTTTACAAGAAATATACGTTATCATAGAGGGGTGTAAGGAGGTGTAAGGCGGAGTGAGGGGGAGCTGGATAGTCGATTTTTATGACAGTTATTGAATACCAAATATATTTGTATCTTGTATTGTAGGTTGTCGGGCCGGTAGCTACTGTGCCTCTGTGTATAGTTTAATAAACAACCCGTCTGTGATTTGTTAGTTATCTAACAATAAATTAAGTTCAATTAAATTTGCTCTTTTATTTATATTTTAATACAATTTACATTTTAAGAATTGTTCAATTTTCGTCGTAACGTCTTATATATATCTTCTCGTCGTCTTCTCTCTCGTCTTATTTATATATATATATGAAAATCTGTACTGTAAATTACCGTAAAAATACTTAATTTCCTTTTCCGCTTAGTTTATGCTCTTACGTAGCTCATGCTTCAATTCATATAAATTCAGTTGAAAGATACATTTTATTCATCTTATCTTATTTCGCTAAGATTTTATATGAAACGATAAGAGAATGAAACAATATAGAGAAAGATTCTAATTTATTTTCAGTACAAAACATTACATGACATTGTTCACCCAACAATAGTAATTTGACTAGCTACATCACTGGCATCTACCATCGATCTTGTAAATATAAACGTATACCAATGTATTATCTTTTATAATGCCTACTGTTATTTTCCAAGTTATTTATGAAGAAAATAATACAAACTCATATACATATTGTTTTAAGAAAGTACACTATTAAAACAATCCTAAATACACTATTAATATTTTTAGTACACACTTTTATGACACTGACTGTACACAAACATTGAACAAATAATTTACATCGTTTATTTACTCCATGGAATCTCCATTACAAACCACAAACATTTAGAATTTAATAAAAGTTTTGAGGAACTACCTAAATATTTGTGGTTTACATATTTTACTATTTATACATTTATCATGCGATTATTTAAATTAAATTAATTTAGTTTGGCGTGCGAGCAGTCTACGGATTGTTCTGATTTCTATCTACATAAATGATTTTAATCCATTAAAGTGCATACCTACAAACATTTCATGCAAACAAATACAATCTTATGCTACATTTCAGTTTACATACTGTTTTAATTTGACCAATTACGCTAGAACACAGGACTTAACGATTTCTAAATGTACATTGATCGTGTTATATATCGATATTGGGGCATGTAATATTGTACATAATTATGTAATAAAACTCTGGGCGATTCACCAGCGCAATCTAGACAACAAGACAGTCAACTGTTACAAATACAATATACATAGATATAAATCATGCAGACCAATACACTAATAAGTATACACTGTGCCCTAAGTAATAGTTAAATAGTTTGATGTAATGAACACTATTATTTTTATACGATTTTCCTTTTTCAATATTTCAAATTATTTCATAATTAAATAATTTGAAATATTAAATAAAATTTTCAATACTTTAAGGTACTTATTATTGAATAGTTAGTATCTTTGAAATATTAAAAATATAATCTCAGTGGTTGTGATATGGTCGTATATCGTATGTCGCGTTGTCTTGTATCAATGGCGCTGAAGGTCGTTGACTCCGGTGTGGGGTCGCAACCGTGGGTCGACCTGCGAATGTGACCCACTCGTTGTGCTCCGCTGATTCACGTCCGATGAACTGCCGTTACAGAGTGGTTTTATAATTCACTAATTAACAAAATCCGGTGTAACATTGACAAATCATGAGGCATTTTTGCACGAAATGCAGGTTGACAGCAAAATCAATACCAGAAGCAGATTTTGTACAAAATCCCAGTAGGTAGCTAGGAAACCATTTTTAACCCCTCCTCCCTCATATTAATGATACATGGTGAGGTTTAAGACTTATCCCCTTATCATCAAAATCACGCGTATTTTTAATAGGTACACTACCTACACAGAATCTTATATAATAATATTTAGTATATTACCTTTAAATACAGCTATAAAGTATAATCTAAATATAATTGATCTAGTTTAAGTAGCCACCAAATAAAGTAGAAGTGAAATCAGAAACTACTCACCTCGGGGATACATTGTCGATATCTATATTCCGCAAACATATCCATTGAGGTGATAATGTATCACTATTTTTGGCACAGTCCAAGCTTCCATTATAAATCAGTAGGTCATCCATTAATATCTATATAAATAAATAAAATTGAAGTGTCTGTTTGTAATTAACAGCTTGTCGCTAAATGTATATTAAAGTATATACCTACCTTACTTACACAAAAAAAAACTGTTTATCTGTATATTCTTATTAATGTCTGAAACGGCTGGACCAATTTTGACGGAATTCATAGCCAGATAACTAATGTTATAAGTTAGTTACTTGTTCTTAGTTACTTTTATTTAAGTTAGTAAAAAAAAAGTTAAATTTCCCGCGGACGAATTCGCGGGTAAAAGCGTACAGGTATTTTAAAATGAAATATATTTGTAGTCCCTAACTTTGCTACGCCATAGAATATCTAAATATATATTAAGAACAATGTGAAAGGTGGTTATTAAAATTATACTTACTCCGAACTCTTTAACACCTCTTGTGGGCGTTTTGCCATAGTTCCATATCTTCATACCATATACAGATACGGGTGCGTCAAAAACAAAAAATATTCTGAAATAAAATATAAACATTAATAACTCTAGACAATCCACACAGCCCCATGTAGTCCCAAGCTCAGCAAAGCTTGTGTTAAGGGTAGTAATATAAATACTTAAATACACTTTTTTGTAAATGCACACATAATATACATATGTAGCAGACACTCAGAACATTACAATCATTTTTATCAATACAAATACTTGCACCGTGAGAGGAATCGAACACGCGACCACCGCTTGACCACCGAGGCTGTCACAATTCAATAGTAATTTCAATCATTACAAAGATATATATTTTTTACATAATTTTATTATGTTTTGTTAAAGAACCTATCTAAAAAATTTATGAATAAAATTTAGAATAGTAGAAAGTGTAGAATAAGTAGAAACTCACTAGATTTTCTAACGGGCATGATGTTTCCGTGGGGATCATATTATACGACGGAAGTAAGGCGGTGTGCTATACCTAGGCTTGATTACCGAGGCCGTAATATAAGAACCAAGACACAGAACACGGAAGTAGTAGGGGCCAAGATATGGTTTTGCTACCATGACAAGCTAGACAATCCCGCAAACCTTGTTTTGTCATATAATTTAAAATCGCTATTAAAAAAAATTGCGTTGATGGGAAAAGGGTGAGATTCGAGTTGTATGAATTTTGTAATGCCACATTATAAAAAATCAAAAATAAAATAATTACTAAAAGATTAGCGGGGGACAACCCTTATCACTTAGGGGTATGATAAATAGATAGTAGTCGATTGTCGTCGTCGTCGACTGTCTCAGAATATGCATACAAAATTTCATAAAAATCGGTCAAGCTGTTTCGGAGGAGTGTAGTAACTGACATCGTGACACGAGAATATTATGTATAAGATAGTAGTTAGTTATTGCAGGAGAGATACCTGTTGAGCGTGCGTGGCAGGACGGGAGCGAGCCAGGAGTGTGAGGCGTCCCCGACCCTGTGGTTGCGTCCGTCCACGAGCTTGTCCGGCGTCCGGGCGTCCGGCTCGCCGCCGGACACCACGTTCACACTCGCCGGGTGAGCGCACACATCTACAACCAACCACAAGTCTAAACACTAACAGGTTTACCGATGCAGACCTTGTATATAGTCGTTTGCGTGTATTTCACATATTTCAGAAACCAAGTCGTTTCGTTCGTTTTTTATAGCATAGGGGGCTAGCAAAGAAGAGAGAGCACAAGCTCTTTTCTGGAGGTTTCAATATTGTACCTAATAATAGAAAATGTTGAATAAGTAGAAACTCACTAGATTCTGTAACCGGTATGATATTCCCATGTAGGTCGTACAACTCTACTCCGGTGAGACCAACATAGTAAGGGTCACCCCATGTGGAGAATATGCTAATTTGTAGCACGAATCCTGTAGGCGTTTCCATCGCCAGGTCACCGCCAAAAGTAAAGTAATCCATTGGAAACTTTTCATATTCCTTTATGTCTAATCTGTAATTTAGGTAATAATAATATTGTGTGATGTGTCCACATCATACAATGCCATCCAGTTCCAAAATAAGTAGATAGACTATGTTATGGTACTGGACAACTTATAGAAATACTTGAATATAATTTTTGCAATGTACATAGGTATATAATATTCAACGAAAACACCTAGATCGATACAAACAATCGTATTCATGAATACATGTGTTTGAGTGCTGCGAGGAATGGATCCTGCGAACATCGGAAGCAAAGCTGTGTGGCCTGTATGATCAGGGGTGAGCAACCCGCGGGCCTGCATAAGCATATTTAACGGGCAGCGAGCCTGCGGCCCGTTAAATATGTTTATGCAGCCTGCGGGTTTATAATTGAATACATTTTTTCATCATTTCATCAATATATTGTTATAAAATTAATTATAAATATAGTTTTCTAACACTTTTACTTTAAGGCCCGTCTAAAACATTTAAAAATTAAATTGGTTCGTTGATGGGTGGACAAAGACAAAGATTGAGCTTACCCTTCCCGGGGCGATGATGAGACGGCCAAGTCGATCTGCTGAACATAATCGTAACAGGTGTCGCCGGGCGCGCGCCGCAGCAGTACCGACTGATCGCTACCATACCCCTCCACAGTCAGACGCGCCTCGCGAGTACCGATGTACGACAATTCCAAATTCGCGTTGTAGTTCCATATACGTACACCTGTTTTTTTGTAATGGATGATAATGGTATGGTGCTCCCGCCTGCGCTAAAAAGCTACCTTTACACAACACGACAGTAAAATTACAGTAGTATGGAGACATAACTCTTAAGAATGGAAACGAATGCCCATGGTTTTACTCATCACTTGAGTCATTAGGCCGTTATAATTTCAAAATACTCATAGATAATTTTAAAAAAATGACATTTATTTTTGAAAATTCCGCATATTTTTAAATTTGCCAATAATTTTAAAAAATTGCCACTTATTTTTAAAATATTGCATATTGTGTTTTTCGTTTTGTATCGTTTAATGAAGTTTAAATAGGACTACGTTTTCACCAATCGTATAAATTTAGGATCATACACAGTATTTCAATATACATATAGGTATAAATACCTAGTCAGGTATACTCACTGGTGATTTCAGTAGGTTCTCGTAACTCCATCACTATATGACAGTACCTGTCGGCGGGCAAGCTGGTGCACCACATGTCGTCGTAATCTGTCGTAATATTCCTGCCATTAAAGAGGCTTTTGCACTCGATTAGATTATGCTCTGCCGGCTGTTCATCCATATTAATGAGGGCTGTATACGCAAAAGCGCTGTGCACGTTTATCAATTCATTGTATCGGAGAATATTAATTCCTAGAAACCGAGAAAAAATGCTTTGAATTACCGGCGAAAAAATATCGTTCTCTCTCTCTGCCTAGCCATTTCCCATTTCATTTGGGGTCGGCTCTCCTAGTCTTTCTTCGCCAGGCACATCTGCCCGTTATTATATTTCATTAATTTTATTTATTTCTTTAAATATTTTGCATTACCTTCTCGTAATGCAAACTATTTCAAGAAGGTAATAACGAGTTTTTTTCGTTAGTTCTGATTTTATATTTATTAGATATATATTCTATATATTTACACTTAGGACATAAGACATTTGTCTATTTTGGCATTACTTTTCGGGATTTTAAATACTTCATGACCTGTTTATTATATATATTTAATCTAACACGCAGCAGCGTGTCAAAGCCGAGTTCAAGTACCGTTTTCATATACGAAACATACTGTAGCCTTCGCAAGTTCTAAACCATGTTACTATTTTATTATTAGTAGTAACTAGCCATCGAAAGTAATAATTGGTATATGAGAATTAGCCAAGTCAGACCTTAGGCTACAATATATTATCCTAAGTTATAAGAAGAAATGATTTTTATATTGTTATAAATACATTTCAGGACAGACCATTGAACTTGGCACCCATTTAGATCTCACCTCTTTTGTCGTAGAAGCAAACAATCAAGGCTTATATCATAATATTGAACTCGGCTATCATTTCACACTTATGTTTTTGATGGGATCACTTCTAATCCAGTAGAGTTGTACTCAGGACTTCAGGGGGTCAGAAAAGAAGAAAAGTCCCTGCTTTCACCTTTATCAATAACCTTACCAGTCAATCCAATAAGATTTCTCTGTCCCCAGTTAGACATCAGTGTAAGCTTGATCCTCTTCACTACGTACTTAGTGTCCTTCTCACTTTCTAACGCCTCTAATAATTCTGTGGGGGTGAGGTCGTGACTGCTGTCGTTTGCTGTCAGCGGTCGTTGCTCAGTGACACTCGAATCTAACATCGGTTCGTTGTCTTTTATGAGTGATTGGAAATTCTTATCGTTCTGCATTATGGATTCAAGTATGTGCGAGTCTTTGGTGAAAAGTATTGTCTGCAAAATTGATTTAGTTAAAGCAAGATTATTTCTGAATAATATGAAGTTTGTTTTTGTAGTGCTCTAGCGTTATATGCGTTACATGTACTTATATGTTATACATATATTTATTTCTGTTACTTACACTGCAAATCTGTGCTAATTTTAGATAAATATAATAAAGACAAGTAAAGTTTTTTATTCTAGAAAAGTAAAATTAAGCTAAACTAACATCACCAAACGAGGGTAATGGTCCCTTGAGTTCACCGCTCGATCTGGCAATTTCACCATGAAATATAACCTGGTCATCTAATTTTATCTGTACTAATCGAACACCACGAGTTGAATATATGCGGGATTTGTTGTAGTTCTGAAAAAAATATATTATTATTAGAAACAGAAATTTCAAACCTATGACTATTACTAGTTTACTAACTAACTTACATCCAGACGGTCGTAAAATTCTACTTGAAATAAAAAAATAACTGTGTCAAATTATATTTCTACGGTGAAGAAAACACCGTAATCGAAACCAAAAAAAATATGCGAGAAACGACGGTAGGCTCGCCTAAGCTAAGCAAAGTCTGTGTTATGGGTACAAATGAACAAAAACTCTCTGCTGGCCAAAATGTAAGTATATATATTTTTTTATAATTAACAGGCTCGCCTAAGCTAAGCAAAGTCTGTGTTATGGGTACAAAACAAACGATAATATTTTTTCTGTAAATACATATACATGTAATCACCAAAAATAAGACTTGGTGATCTCCAGGGTAACCGCGTGGAACTTGGCCTACAAACACTAATGGGGCTACTAGACTAGTCTCCATTATTAGTAATAACCCCGTAAGTTTTTATTAATTGGGTTGCAATGTAATCTACTTTGGGAACCAGTGAACAATCATACCCAAATCCTGAGTAAAGCAAGCCTAGTACATCTAGCTAGCAGTACACTTAATGCTATTGGTAAATTTCTGGGAGTGGACGTGGTCCACGCGTGCCTCTCGTCGCGAGTTCGTACTATACCGTCGACTATATTTTCCACGCAACCATGATGCGACTGATCCCCCGTGTCAGAATCTGTCCACACCTGAAAAAAGAAGCGGTAATTTTTATTAGATAGAGTCATTCAAGAGGAAGGTTTATATGTATAATACATGTACACGCGGGCGAAGCAAGGGCGAGTAGCTAGTATTTTATTAGATTAGTATACAATTTGGCCCTGCACATATGACAAAAAAACTGTTCACCTTTTCAATTAGTACTCCATTCCCGTCGGAATCAAATATTTCTATACCATTCAGACCGACTAAATATTTGTCACCCCAGTTTGAGTAAATCTTTATTTCCAGCAGTCTACCTTCAGGTAGTTCTGGTATAACAAACTCGTTTTTTGATTTCTCTTTCATACTCTTCTTGCTAGATACCGAAGTTAACGATGCTGGAGTCTTCGTCGTACTTTTCAATGACGATTTTCTGCTCAAATTACTTGAGTGTACACTTATTGAACCTTCTCTAGTGATGAGTTTTTTTCGGAGCTTGTTAGTTTCTGGAAATCCTGAACAAAATGTTGCTATAAACCACCAATGGAAATATTAAATTTAAGTCGCCCCGGCGCGGCTTCGGGCTGGTCTAATAATTGTAAGGAGGCCTAATTGTTTAAAGATGTAGATAAAAGAATTGATTTTATCATTTATCATGTTATTATTATATTTAGATACTAGTCACATAGACGTTTACTTAGATCACATATTCATATAAAATTTGGAATAATTTCAGACTCTACAGGAAAGTAAGTATTGTAGTAATCCTGCTCGAAGGACCATTAAATATAGATAAATATTAATTTTTAATCGACATTTTTAATTTAAGACCACTTACTTGAACCCAAGATAACGTCATGGAAATCTTCATCAATTACATTAGATCTTCTGTGCCTCGGTGTAACGTAATGAGGTAGCAAGTCGGACATAAAATCGTTAGAACTGCAGTCTGAGGAATCCGCCCAGTCCAGCTTATTACTTCTTAGGTACTTCCTTCGGCCATTTTGCATTGTGTAACCTGTTCATTTATTATGCGGCTTAATTACTACAGATACCAAAGATAGACTGTAGAATGTTGTCTGCATGAGTATCTTGGTCTCACTTATTTTAATTGTTTAGTAAGATGTGCTCGTTAGGCAATGAAATTACAGGTTAAGAGGCAGATTCTAGATGAATTCCTAGTCCGCCGTAATGGCAACAAATGAATGTTATTGAGTCTTACATGATGTAAGTCTTGCAAGATGTAGAATGGCATCATTTATGTATGTATGTATGTAATAGATACCACTTACCATCAGGTAGACCGTTTGACCGACCGCTATTCCAATGATATAAAAAATGTAACCGAGAAATTACTTTAGTATATTATCGGTGTTAAATTCCACCGTAAATAAATTTAAATGATGACAAATTCAAATTTTCAAATACAAAAGTAGTGATATTAAATTTTAATAGGTTCTTTCATGATTTGAATATTGTTACATAATATCTCAGTAATGTGTCTGTGCTGTGATGACCGTGGGATGTCACATCAGATTATTTGCTATTTTAATTTTATAAAAAATGTATTCATATTCTGAGCTACACACTACACAACATAGTGAAACACTGAGCGACCTATAGTTTTATTTCTATTTCTTATTTTATTTAGCTACCATTGTTGTGACGAATGGTTCCCGCTGATAGGGCCAGTGGTTGCATCTGTGGTTTCATTAACATATCCAAAGTACCATCCAGCGATGTCCTTCGCGCTCTAAATATTATAAAAATAAAATGTATGTGATTAGGTCAAAATCTCATTTAATAATACCTACTACTGCGTCTATGAGACGCACCTATAGTAATTATGGCACGCATATTAAGTAATCCCATTAGGGTCGCCCCGTGAATGTACTGCAAAAAGTAAAGTGCTTTTAAAATATTTATGTTATTGTATAAAAAAAGAAGCTACAAGCGCTACCTCCACGCCTTTCCTCCTGGAACCCATCGTAATTTCCAGCAGGAAATAAAGATAAATTCATCATGACGGTCGACAGATTAGTTAAATCTGACTGAATGCTTATCTTATCATCATGCACTAGTGAGCTACCAGCTAATGCCCTTTGCGAAGACGAATACATTATTCCCTGTTCACATAATATATATTTTAAAAGATGCTTTAACGCAATGGTGGGTGTTGGTGCACAAATCGGTAGTTAAGTAAATGATTTATAGAGTTCATAGACGACACGATTTCGCAGAATTCACATTGATCATAAGCTTTTCATCCCACGCAGAGTTCTGCTGATATGTTGAATTGAATTGAGAATATCGGATCGATTGCCGACAAATCTAACGGAGTCCTTACATGCCTATAGGTCAGGAACTGAGGAATCCTGAGGATCTGACACACTGGCGGCCTAATATTATTCGGTATAGTATTAATGCGTAGAGGCCATAAAATTATAGGAATCTATTTATCTATAAAAATAATGAAATAATCACCTGTGGTTATCTAATTTCAAACTGCTCAATTTTATGTCAGGGTCTTCAAAATTTGTAGAGTCGTTGCTTATGTGCGTCTCTTTCATCTCCCTGAAATAAAATGATTTAGCGTATGCAAAATAAATAGAACGAAAGTTAGTGACCTTGGACTGTGGGGGCTGTTCAATAGGTATTGAACCTTGACGGAAGTGATTACATGTATTGTACTCGTCCTAACAATTCAACTCATTAATCATTCAAGACATTTACACTCACTGGGTAATGTCTTCGAGCCAGAATGGTATTTCCCTATTCTTGTTTGTGTATTCATGTCCATTTTGTTGCTGTGCCATCCTTCCGCCATCAGTGTTAAGTGCGATCTTCGTTTGATACAAATACTCTACCTATATAGGATTAATATAAAAACTCATGTTATTATAAATGAATGATTATGAACTTCTGTATAATTGTTAGTTATGTATATTACAATATACTTGTGTGCGATATAAACTAAAAAGATTTATACATGAATATAAAATACACTTGCACTTTTGAAACATATTTTTGCCGCTGTTTGTTTGACCTTGGTTGCTAATAGTTACCCAACTACAATAATCAATGAAGAAGCGACTACATTAATATAAAAATACTAATGTTCGCTTGCGATACAGAATTTTTATAATGTCAATAACATATTCAGAATAATTGAAAATGCATGTGTTCAATTTAAAAAAAAATTATTAGCAGTTTTTTCTTATCTTCATTTACTTGAACCCATACTTTAGCGTGGAATGGAATGTTAAGTTGAATGAAATGTCAATTATACTGTCTTTGTCACTGTCATTTCATGTAAATTTTTGTCCAACTTGTCCAAGTAAATATGAATAATCGACTGACCGTGCTGTTAATAACCTAGAAATTTATTCTTTCGGAATATTATTTATTTACAAACTGAATTAAAAAGATTAATTTATTATAATATCCCTATACATTTAATTCAACAATTCTCTCTGTTTCATACTAAAATGTCAGATTTGGACCAAAAACAATTAGAACAAAGAACTACCAAGGCAGAGAGGGAAGTCAATGCCATCGAAGATGAATTGCAGAGAATTTCTGAAGGAGATCTGAGTTATACAGGTGATCCGCAATTGGAAAAATTACTTACAGATAACGAGAAATTGAAACATCGCTTAGCCATACTTGAGAATGCGATTATCGCGGAAAGTTCGGGTGTCAGTGTAAAACATACCAAAAAGGAGGCTCGGAAGCGGCCTACACTCATTACGGATATCAAGTCTGTAGAAGGTAACGTTTGCGTATTGGATGAGTTGAAAAATGTTTTTGAAGCAGCTATAACTTCGACATATCCTGACCTGGTGGATCCTCCTATTGTTATCACATTGTCTGGAAATAACCCCAAGTTTGGAGATTACCAATGTAATTCTGCTATGGCTATATCACAACTACTGAAAGCAAAAAATGTTAAAACAAACCCTAGGGAAGTAGCCAACAACATTTTAAATAAGACTCCCACATCACCTCTAATTGAAAGGATAGAAGTAGCAGGAGCTGGTTTTCTGAATATCTACTTAAATAAAGATTTTGCAGAGCATGTTCTCAATTGTATTCTCAGGTTTGGTGTAAAACCACCACCAGTAAAGAGAGAAAAAATTATTGTTGATTTCTCATCTCCAAATATTGCTAAAGAAATGCATGTTGGCCACTTAAGGTCTACTATTATTGGTGATAGTATTTGTAGAGTCCTCGAATTTTTGAACCAAGATGTACTTAGAATTAATCATTTAGGTGATTGGGGCACCCAATTTGGTATGTTGATTGCACATTTGCAGGACAAATTTCCAAATTTTAAAACCCATTCTCCACCAATATCTGATTTGCAAGCATTTTATAAGGAGTCAAAAAAGAGGTTTGATGAAGATGAGGCATTTAAAAAGAGAGCTTATGCCTGTGTGGTTCATCTACAATCAGGACAGACTGATTACATTGCAGCTTGGAAATTAATCTGTGAAGTATCTCGTCAAGAGTTTCAAAAGATTTATGACAGGTTGGATATAAAAATTATTGATAGAGGTGAATCATTCTACCACAGTAGAATGAATACTGTAGTACAAGAACTTAAGGATGGTGGCTATCTTGAAAATGACGAAGGTAGATTAATAATGTGGGGAGATTCTGAAAAACATGAAGGCATACCTTTAACCATTGTTAAATCAGATGGTGGTTATACTTATGATACATCAGATATGGCTACTATAAAACAAAGAGTGCAGGAAGAGAAAGGAGATAGGTTTATTTATGTCACAGATGTTGGACAATACACACACTTTGTGATCATTGAAGCATGTGCAAGACGAGCTGGAATCTTGAAAAGTGGGCAAAAGGTAGAACATGTAGGTTTTGGTGTTGTACTTGGTGAAGACAAGAAGAAATTTAAAACAAGATCTGGTGACACTATAAAACTAATTGAATTGCTTGATGAAGGCTTAAAAAGGTCTCTTGATAAATTAATAGAGAAAGGCCGTGATAAAGTATTAACACCAGAGGAATTGAAACAAGCTCAAGAAGCTGTTGCATATGGTTGTATCAAATATGCAGACTTATCACATAACAGGGTCAATGATTATGTATTTTCTTTTGACAAGATGTTGGATGATAAAGGAAATACAGCTGTATATTTATTATATGCTCTCACTCGCATCAGATCAATTGCTAGAACTGCTCAAATTACAATTGATCAATTATTAGCTGAAGTTCAAAAATCTGGATTCAAATTGTCTCATGATTCTGAATGGAAACTTGCCAAGGTATTGTTAAGATTTCCAGAAGTCATTTTGAAAGTATCAAATGACTTATACATGCATAGTTTATGTGAATATTTATATGAAATATCATCAACTTTCACAGAATTTTATGACAAGTGTTATTGTGTAGAAAAAGATAATGAAGGGAAAGTTGTTAAAATTATTTATGAGAGATTAATGCTCTGTGAAGTTACTGCTAGGATCATGGAGAAAAGCTTAGATATTTTAGGTATCAAAACAGTGTCAAGGATGTAGAATTTAAATTTATAATATGGTATACACTAACTTACATCTTCTTTATATTTATTATTGTATTGTGTTTAAAGCATGGAGAACATCTGAATATTTGTTCAATACAAATAAAATGCAAAATATAATTTGTAAATGTTTTTATTGAGTTCCCAAAAACCTCTACAAAACTATACCAGGGTCCATTATCAAAGGTAACATTCAAGAAACAACACTATTTACTTTTAAGAAAATTATTTCGATAAATCACTGGCTAATAATTTATATAAGTATGTAACAGAATTAATGCAGTTAATACAGTACTAATGCAAATGTCAAAATTTTTTAAAAATATATTGTTATGACTTTTATTGTGTGAAAAATGTGGACACATTATATCAAACTCTAAATTACTGTAATACGGTTCAATTTCGTGTAAATCTCTACTATGGCATTAAGGAAATTAAAAAAAAATAATCATGTGACATTAAAAACAAAAAGAAAGGTTGGTTCTGAATATACTAAATTGAAGGATTGTGTTAATTCTGTTACATGTAGCAGTACTATGTCTTTGATATATATATTACATTACAATCTACAACAATACACATTACAATACATTAAACACCATACAGACAACAATTTAACATTACTTTCAGATAAGTGTCATAGTCACATATTATTTCTGAAACAATTTAACTAAATTAATAATTGTATTAACATTAAACATATTAAAATGTGTTGTATTACAAACATGAAAAATGTTCTGATGTACAGAATAGGAAATGAGGTAGCATAAGTCTACCATTGTTTATGGGATTAGTTTGCAACCGAACGAACCGCAAGTTTGGATATATTTATGCCGAAAAGCAGTAGGTACAGTCACTAGCACTAGTATATCTACACATTACCTCGTCATCATTACAGATGAGGTAATATCCTCAGCATACATTTTTATCCCTTAAATAATTCTAACTAAGGGAAATTTGTTATAATTTGTCCTTCGCGGAAAAACACAAATATAAACGCTCGGCTATAGAAGCCATTATGAGAACATTTACTTTTTAATAGTTCATAATGTACTGATAAATTTAAAGTGCTTACATATCAGTGCACGCAACTGTACAAAAAATAATAAATATGACACTGAAGTGGAAATAATTCAAATCGCAACTTAATATTACAATATACTTTGTAACAACAAGAAAAGATCACTCTATAGTTATTTCTGAGAATTAATTTTAATATAACATTCCTTATTGGATGACTATCATTTGATGGAGCACATACATGTATTATAATGCTAATGAAGATCTGAAAGTTGTCTACTAATTAATTACTAAAATCTATAGGTACAGGAACAATAATAATATAGATTGGCACCGATTCCAAATGTCTACCTTTAATATTTGTTAATACTTATTATCTCAGTATAATTAAATACATCTAAGTATAACTATTATTACAGCATAGCTTTCAACTGTAGACAAAAATAAAAGTATTCCGATTGAAATCATAATACGGCTGAATTTTCGGAATCAGCGCCACTGTACTCTACTTTTATGTTTTTGTAGAGTTACACTTAAACCATCATTTGGTTATAGTTCGAAATTATTTAGAAGACTATTAGTGGTTAATAAGCTATATTTATTGGTATAATCCAGCGTCTATCTAACCATACAATTTCTTCAAAATACATAAGAGCTGAGTACATATACGAAATTAATTTAACTACCTAGGTAAACATATAACAAAGAAATACTAAACTATTATATTTATTCTTTATATTATTTATCAATACAGAGAAATAAAAACAGCAATGGTTTATAGGTATTTGAGATTCATTGAAACAATTAGTTTTTCTTGAATAAATAAGACTTTTTCTATGAAACTAAAACTCTTTAAGACAATTATTTTATTATAGTTCTAGGTAGAAAGGAGAACTACTTTCGGTGGGTGTGAGTAGTAACATATATTATCAATTTCCGTCTACAGACACTATAGTTTTCCAAAACATTTTTAATACTTGGCAGGTTTATATGTGAATTCATGACAGAGGACCCCAATCACACCTGGATGTTAAATAAAAAGTCTATCACTCTACCCTCTCCTACACTTATAAATACTTTGCACTCTTTAGACATTAGGATAGTAATAAAATATCTAATCATAGGAAGGTAAAATTTCCTTATAATTCAAGTATAAATTATAATAAACCCAATGCCATCTAGTAATAAAATAAAGAAATCTTTTAATTTAAAAATAATTTGTAGACATTAACAGGTATAAAAAATACCCAATTATTACCGAATTGGTAAAATTATAATGACCCCATGTAATTTTGTGCACTCGTAATGTTTTTATACCAAATTACCCTGTGGTATCCTTGACTAACCAGTGTTACATAATGAATTCCCTAACAACAATTAATTTAATATTAATCATTACATTAAAATCACATAAAATAACATTGTAGAATATCATTAGAATAGGAATATTACTTTCAGTTACAGATCTCTACCGGTGTATACAGATTAACTACTATTTAAAATTTTCAACCATTAGAATTCTCCAGACAGACTTCAATTTCAAACCAAGCTTATTCCGTTTGACGCATTAATTGTAGTATACCTGTATACACCCTAAGCGCTTGTAGCAAAACATATGACTAGAAATAGTTAAAAACTGCCAATTTCATTGTAGATTCCGTAGCATCTACATGCCGCATCCACATCACATTTTATCTCCTTTATGTTATAACACGGGCCCAATTAAAGCATTTGTTAAAATGAAATTAAAATATTTTGTTGACTTAAATAAATTCACACATAAGAAATATTTGGTATATCTCATTTTAAAAGCGGTTTCAATATACGAGTGACACCTAACGGGGAAAAAATATATTTTTATCACGTGTACACATAATTTAAGATTTATTCCACAGATTAAAATAACACAAATAAATTGGTATGAGACCAAAATGATATTAAGGTCTCCCGAATAAAAAAACCAATCTCTATAATCGGTTCTACAATTGGCAAATATAAGGCATGTGTAACTTATAAAAAAATATAAACAAATAAGATCTGGTTAGAAACTATTTATAAGAGGCTTTATGTTACATTTTCTTTTCAATGTGCGGTATAGGTCATTTCTACAACAGAAATGTATTTTAATAAGCCTCTATTATTTTGAAAAAGCCAATGTTAATTTACAAGTCCATATACCGGGCAAAGACCGAAACCGAAAGATTAAAGGTCAACGCGTCAGTCATTAGAATTATCTGCAGAGGTAGGGTAACAAGCCAGCCTATACTGGAGTTGTCGCGATGACCTACTTTTTACTGAGTCTCTATTGTTTCCAACGCGAGTAGGCACCCATCACACGATAAAGCGAACTTCGGCAAACAATTGAATAGTAGTATTGATGTTTATAATAATGCAAACATGATGAATTCAGTAGCTCCGTTCTCCAAAATAAAATTAAGATATTATATATCAGTCAAGTACAGTTCGAATGCAGCTCTTAATAACAGTTTTGGAAACAGCATTTAACATTTATACAGTAAAATAATTTGGTACACGAATTTAAAAATTTGAGAATGGCGCATTAAACCATAGTTGATGTTCTCAAACCTGAAACCGCTCATTAAAACAGATATTCTACTCTTACCATTTTCAGGTAGGATTTGGAAGTCTAGCCAAATTATCTAGTCAGCACAGGAACAATTGAGCAATTCTTAAAAATCTAATTAGGAATAAATAAGTTTAGTAGATAACATAAGAATGAACAGAAGGAGTAAACTATTGTAAACGATCAGAAAACATTATCTCTTAGATTTATACATACATTGCTACGCTAAAATGTATACCGAACTAATCTAAGGAAAATTCACATTGAGGTGTATAAAAGATCTCGCTGAAAAAACTGGATTAGTATAAGTATAGAGTTATAAACATTTCTAAAAACCCCCAATATTTTATATAGGTACTCTAAAAATGGTTGGATTGGTCTCGAGATTCTGAGATACGACTACATACGCTACAACAATAGGTACAATAAGTTTCAACAATATCTTACAAAATATACACACAATTCGTACATTTGTTAGGTATTTGGCCAAACGTTTCCACATACAATGAAAACATCCGTCCCTCGGACTAAAATATTTACTTATACACAATTTGGTATTTAACATCATTATTCTTTTCAGATTTTCGTTTAGATTCCATTTAGACAGCACATTTTTTCATCCATGCTTCAAATAGATAAATAATAATTTCATTATAGATAATAAAATATTCAATATCAGATCTTTACAACATAATATTGTGGAGTATTTTATAATTTCCAATGAGTCGATATCAGACTTGATATTTACATGTGCGTCGAAATTGAACATCATAAAACATGTTGACAACACTTGAAACAGCTACATCTATAAATAAATATTTATCCGTCTCTCTGCTTACAGGTTGTGACAATACAGTGTCCGGCGAACAAAGCCACAGACGACAATTTGACAAAGGTATAAATTGTCATACTAGTGGTCAATCGTCGCATGATTGTAAATCTGTGGCCTTGTGCTCGAGTTAGGATATAATAATAGTTAGAGAGCGCAAATAATTGAGATTCAATGGGATAATAGGGCAGTCTTCATTGCGATTTTAGTTCGGGGAACAGATGGCGGAGTATGGCTAGGTAGTGAACTGTAGCTGCGAGTGCTACAAATACGTGCCATATCGCGTGGGCGAAGGGTATGCGGCCGTCTGACTTGAAGAAGAACACGCCGATAAGGTACAGCACCCCGCCGGTGATCAAGTCGCTCATCGCTGGGAACTGGTGCTGTAATTCACCAAATATATTGGTTACAATACAATACAATTGTATGACGTTTACACTGTCCTTAGACTTTAGGTACCGCTAGTACTAGTCTAAATAAATGCAATGCAGTATTATATTATAACATTACATTGTACAATATGTAACATGCGTTTAGAATGTAGGCTAAGATCTAATAATTATTTTGTAATGACCCACTATACCATATAATTACCAGAACCGAATAAGGGCCCCACAATATAATGTTCGATGAATAAAATAAATTTTAATGTCGAAATATATTAAAATATGTATAATATAACATGCGATAAAATTATATATGTGATGCGATAAAAATTTATAATATCGAAAATTACAAGCTAATCCTCTATGGTACAATATTTTTTGTAAAACAATATAATAGCCTAGCTATTGAAATTATTATAGTTAGGACAACTTATATACTATTGGTATATCCATATAATTCTTATACAGCATAAAAGGGTAAGCAAGCTGACGGCTAAGCAGGCTCAATTAATTAATCAGTAAATATGTTACAATTTGTCTTTTCTACAACCTAATAGAAAAGCAGCTACGAGTTAAGTAGACCCTTTGCTTTTAAAACAAATAAAGACTTATTTGGCTTTGCAGGGCAGGCGAAGAGATTAGACTCTTTTTTTTTGTCATATACGTAGGATATTCGGGTAGATATGTACCATAAATTTACGCTTCGGAACGTATCTCATAACATGTACAATTTCATTGAGTAGGTACTTTGTCAGTTCTCGACTCAAACAATCCGAGCTGACGTCAGCTGATCGTAAGGGTCTGTAAAGGACCTCCTTAAAGATTTTTACCTAGATGAATAAAGACATAATGGTTTGGTTTGATTGAGGTGTAACAGATGAAGACTAAAACGTATAGAACGTATACAACTGTCTTTATTGTCGTTTAGTCAGAAGCTTAAGTGGTGTATCTAAGCGAATATACCTAAGGGAAATTACGGATGGATACGTGCTCCGACTATAAATGTATTCATTTCACTAATGACTGTCCAGAAGTAATTAAACCCATTATTGTCTACATCACTGTCTCCTTGAATGATAAGTGAAATGAAACGCAGCGAAACTGGTAGTAAGGGAATTTTCAAAACACAACTCGTGCAGACTTAATTAAAATAAGGATGACCGATGATTTTTCAGATTTCTACTAATACTCTCTATGTGATTTCATAGGCCGAAGTAGAGTTCTTATTTATATGCATTTGTAAAGGATGCAAGTGTACTTAAATTTGAATCTTACTAATGTTTTAGATTCTGATATATTCGTGACAATACCACCAACTTAGAAATATTACTTTTATTACTATTCTATTTAGAGACCTACCTTATATATATATATATATATATATATATATATATATATACCAGTATTACTACTCACATCTATCTATTTTGACCCAATTACAATTGCGTGTTTTGAAACCATTGGCCATTTAATAACAGGACAAGATAAATAAAGGAATCGTGATTGATTTAGTTTGTAAATAGATTAGATAGAATTCACTCTAGAAAATTGAGAAATCTAAATTTAGCGGTAATTTTCGGAGTTGTTAACTTAAAAGGTATATTAACTTATTGAGTTATCTGCTCGCATTATTAACGCAGTCCCATAAAATAGATAATTAAAGATAAATTTCATACATAAAAAGTTTCATGTTCATTATGCAAATCAAAATTAGGATTGGACGTAAAAGAACTAAAACGAGAGCAAATAATAGTATAACTATTCAATCGAGATCGAGAATTAGAATTTACAATTACTTACCTACTACATTTTTAAGTAATATAAAACTATAGAATTGATTTACATGGAATTAAAGTACATATGAACTAGAATTACAATCCGCTTCATTACGGAAATAATGAATCAAAGAGTAGTCGATTTGAGCCAACAATGTGAATACAATGTAATATGAATATTCAAGACGTAATTAATTATTGTCGTCTGTTACTATGTATAATTAGATATTAAATGTGTGTGTTAGATGTTACACAACATTTCGCTGTATATAAAAATAGGTACTTGTCAGTCAATGCTGAAATGTGATCTAGATGATGAGGCAGACCTTTTGAAATCATTAATCATTCCAGGAAGTGTTACTATGGAGTTAATATATTCAATCATTAAGTGGGTCAGCCATCTAAAGACCTATATTAAAATTAGACATGTACAGCTAATTTGAACGATTTCCAACGCGAGCTTATAGCAAAAGATTTTATAATAGTACCTACCGTTATTCATATAATAATGATAATAACCCAGGACAATTTACACAGCGTCATTTAATTCCAAGCTCTGCTTAGCTTGGGACTAAATGACGCTGTGCGAATTGAGCTTATGAGTACTAAACAACTTATATAAAAACTTAAATATTTTTTTACAAATTACAAATACATGCATAATATTCATAGGATTGTCTAAAAGAGATAAACAATAAGACCGCCTTTTGTACCTAGATACAATGTATATTTAATTTTTTTAAAGATGCAGTAAAGAGTAATAATTAAATAAAATATACATAGATAACATTCAGAACAATACAAAAATCATACTCATGTATAAAATTATTTGCACCATGCGCAAAATCGAACCCGCGACCATTAGAAGTAAAACGGTGTGCTAACCCGCTAGAACACTGAAGTCGCCAATAATACCTGCTTTCGTTTCATGCGGAAAACGCAACTGAAAATATTAGCAATGGGCATTTAGTTATTTGCTCTTACATTATTTCATACCACGGTAACTACGGTAATATACCTTTGTAAAAGAAAGCAATCGTTACGCGTACATAAAGTTCTTTTTCATGGCCATCAGAAGGTCAGTACTCAGGCTTACATACATACTTTTTAAATCTATAATATTTATAAATGTTATCATCGCAGCCCGGAAGACGTCCACTGCTGGACATAGGCCTCCCCCAAAGATCTTCACCACGATCGGTCCTGCACTGCTCATATCCAAAGCCTTCCAGCGATCTTGACCAGATCGTCGGTCCACCTTGCTGGAGGCCTTCCCACACTGCGTCTTCCGGTCCGTGATCGTTACTCGAGGACTTTACTGTCCATTGTCTACAGGATAGATGGCCATTGGGCCATCTATCCTACGAGCTATGTGCCCTGCCCATTGCCACTTTAGAGTCGCAATTCTTCGGGCTATGTCGGTCACTCTGGTTCTTCTGCGGATCTCCTCATTTCTGATTCGATCACGCAGAGTAACTCCGAGCATAGCCCTCTGAGTGACTCTGTGCTTGATCATGAGGCCCATAGTTAGCGACCACCTCTCTGTGCCGTAAGTCATCACTGGCAACACACATTGGTCGTAAACCTTCGTCTTGAGACACTGCGGAAATTTGGACGAAAAGATATATCGGAGCTTCCCGAACGCGAGTTGGATTTGACGATTGACCTCTTTCTCGAAATTGGACCTACCTAGCTAATGATCGACAATTTCTAGAAAGATATAAATGTTAAAGTATTTAAAAATACTTATTTACCCACGACAAAAGTGTTGAAAGGATTGGAGTGTATTGGTATATGGTTAGATCTAATCTAGGATCACTTAAGGTCTTTTATACGAAAATGTCATTATTCCTTCTCATTGACTCACCCCATATTGTTTCCTTTTGCTACCATCCAATATGTTGTATGTATTAATATAAAATAATACTCCTATACAATTCATACAATACCATCTACACCCGCTGAGCTTGGGTCTAGATGAGTTTGTGTTATGGGTAACTACTAGACAACTATCAGTTGTTGTTACAAAAGAAATCTATGTGTTTATACCAATAAATACAGTTTTTTTTGTAAATATATACATGATATATACGTAGAATAAGGAAGAGACTGATGATGATACATAATATATACTATCCGAGTTTAGGTTTCCATCACTATTTAATATTTACCACAACTAGCCCAAGGTAAGCAGCATTAATTATTTGGCGTTCTAAAAGCAATATAAACAAAAATAGAAAACTCAATATACAGGGCTGACATTCAATTTTCGCCCCTAACCCATTAGTCTTACGGCTGAACGGACGTGATATGAATATGCCGGCTAATATTAATCCATTCTTGGGTATACACAAACTAAAGCTAAATACTATTGTATCTACCTTAAATCTGAAATGAAGTTTAAATATTCTTCTTTGCTTCATATTTATTTGCGCTGACTATATTACAAATTCTCACCACCAAAAATGTCAGATCGATTATGGTAGGTTTAGGTACAATAATACTAATTATGACTCATTCTAACAGTAACTCACGCATACACCCTAGCTAATACTAGGGACCTAGTAGTTCATAAAAATAAGATAAACGTGTACTCGTATTTAAAAAATAAAAATTAAGTACCTTGCATCACTTGTAAATGACTTTAATCTAATGGACTATTTAAAGAAAACAATTTCGATGATCGACTGTATCATGAAGTTTCAATTGTAAACTAGTGACACGTTAGTTTCATATTGTGTGGTAATTTTAATTAAATAAACATTGCAATCTATTTATTCGCTACTTTTGTCTACAACAATCGTAGATTGTTTTGTAGATGATAATGAATTGGTGATTCTGCGTGCGCCAGAAATAAGCAATTATTTTAATTTGGAGTAGAACCTGACGGTATAATAGCAATGGACATATTAACATCCATCATTAACTTTCCCATGGATTGTAGACCTGAAAATTAAATTTGACTCTGAAGACCGACTTTCAAACATTCCCAAAATTGTGTATTCTGCTAGAGCCTGATATTTGTTTGCTTATTTGAAAAATAATAATTAAGAATAAGGTAGATAATTAACCTAATTATACACGGGTTATTTATATTCGACTATATCAGTAGAATACATGCCCAGTTGTCATGAGTCATGACTTACAGTAACTTAGACAAACGACGCTAACCTCTCTCCCTATCACGTTTGATACCAATTACACTCTGTGATAAAGGGTGAGGTCTAGAATATGGCATTTATCAGTCGAAAGTAGACGACGATCAATGTAGAGAAAACTTTGTTTCAAACCTATTTAGGGCGATAAGAGTATAGCAATAGTTATTACATATAAACCCAGTTACATATATTCAGTTTACTGTAAGAGAAATGACCTAATATTTCAGCAATAATATAACTAGAGCTGCATGATGTATTTCATAATAATAATTGCAGTGACGTCAATGCAGTCTCCGGAGAGAAATAACCATGGCATTGTAATCTTTTATGTACGTTACAAAACGGTAATTAGACAGATAAATTTATTTTAGTTTCATACATAACAGTCAGTTAGTGTATAATGTGTAAAAATAAATTATCCAGCGGCGCCGCCCGCGAGGTATACAACCTGTCTTGCTCGCAGAAAATGTTATCTCTAGGCGAAATATTCTTAAAATAGCATACATATTTTTTTATTCTGTCTACTACAAACAATATAGAACTCATAAAATTCGTTACGAATGGTATTTACCTACAAGATAAATCTTTCATAAGGATTAACATGCAGGGAAAATAGATTTACTGTAAGAACGAATTGCCTTAATACAAATTATAAGACAAACACGGATGTGTAACACGATAGGATATGGGACCTTGTTGTTTAATAAAATAAACATCAAAGTTAGTATGAAAATAACTATTTAAAATGTATACACTGAAATAATAAATTTGCACTTTTGCCCATTGGAATTCTATTAAAAAGACTACGTAGTAATGCTTCGTACAAACCCATTAGATAATCAATTAATTAATTACCAAATATCGGTGCAAAATAGTAACGTTAGTAGGTAATACAGGCCAAAGGGTGTGCAAATATACAGTTTCAATAAAAACGAATACGTGATAAAAGTCAAATAGTAGGAGAGGAAAACATTTCCACATTACGGGCGAACGTTAATATCACTTATCCTGAAAGTTTTATTCGGTTTCTTTCCAACACACAAGGCACATTGAATTTATGTGACGCACCACTGAACCTTCTTCTATCACAAGTATTCATGCACTAGAAAAAGAAAGAGAAAACTATATATAAATTTTATCTACCAAGCACCTATAGTTAACATGTTAATAGAAGACTACTTACTCCTGAAAAGAGGTGAAAACCATGCCCAAAGGATTAATGTTGATACCATGGAGTTTATTTTTAATTATATGAATGATGAACACCAAATGACAAAGTCAAGAGTCTTCGACAACCTCGTACATAGATGATTTATGAAAGTGTATGGTAGGCAGTATGAGCTAGGACGAAGGAGAAGAGACCATTTAAAACCGAGTCTATCTGCGACAACCCTAAGACCCTGGTGCAACGATTACATATGAATTGCAAGCAGTACTACTATGGTGAACAGGCGCTACCCTTCCGTAGCAGAATTACTTAATTCTACATACACAACTACAACAAGCGCATGCAATACTAAGGCAGAACATTAAACGCGTGCACAAAGAGACGTACATTTGACGTGAGTATGATCGCAGCGGGCCCTAGCCCCATGACCAAGTAGAGCAACAGCTCCAGCATCTTGAATCTCTCGTGGAAGATCTGCTGATAGGTGATCCCGAGTACAGCGAGCAGCCAAATCGCCCAACGTAGCTCCCTTAGCATCCAGCAGGAAAGAGTCCCCACCGTCAGCCAGGGGAAATATGAGCTCGCGATGAATATGTAAATCATGGCACGGTCGCAGCGGTGGAGGAAGTGTTTCATTTTACTGTAAAATTAGTACGTTTTTAGCACGATATGCGTGTGTGTTGCTGGGTAAACAATATTAGTAAGCACAAACAAACTGGAAAATAACGACATAATAAATAACACTGTATTTTCATTTGTTTCAATCTAGATTATTCTTAACATTGTAGTTGAATCCTAGAGCAGCGAAATACATATCTGTTGTATTATAACGAAGTACAATTAAAAAAAACATTGTTACAGATATAATAAGGAATGAATGATGTGGAGAAAAAAACATTGATTTATTATGGAGCTGTTGAAACCATTAGTAATGTTATGGAGCAGAAAACCAATGTCTTCTATAAAATGTAAAACTTTATTCCCGTCGTTTATTAATATGAAGAGTAGAGGTTCGCGTCGTATTTAAATTGAGAAACATTGTAGCTAATTCTTGCCGCGATCAATCAATGCTTTGTGAGATGGGATACTTTGTTCCAAGGGTAGGTCACAGCTTAAGCTAGTATAAAATAACTGTTACCTACTGAATCGATCTACTGACTGTTCTTAAATAAATAATATATTTGAAGTAAAATAATATGAACTGCCCTCAATGTGTTCAAGTTAATAAAAATGGACTGAAATCGTACGTTTTACATAATACCCCAGCTTGACGTACCGAAACCGATTTAGCTACCCTAGGGGTTTATTTTGCTCACTTGTCCGTCCCTTTGGGCCGTGCTGATTGGCTACTAGCGCTTACTTGCTCAATCGAGGCGGAAATAAAGCTGATAATTTGATGCGATAACGCTCTACGTACAACTGAAGACGTTTCATAATAGTGTGAATAGGGTCGTAGCATAGATTTGTTATGACAGATTTTTGTATACAGTTTTGTTTATCTCAGTTGTTTTTTTACGTAACTAAAATGGTAAACAATCTAGTTCCCACCTATATACATACATCAATAGCACCAGGATATCACGCTATCATGTGACGCCCGTGGCACCACTCATGCGTTGCCATTCTGGAAGACTAAGACGTTATGTCTTCGTACAGAGTAATTTCACTGCCCTGAACTGCCCATCTTTCAACCGAAACACATCTTACTGAGCTAACTGCTTGGCGGATGAAATAAGTAAGATATGGATACCTACTCAGTAGAGATTTCCGAAGCTATAACGGATCACAGTACAAACCAATTAATTTACAAAGAACACGCCATATACTCTAGTCGAGTACGATGTAATTTTACTATTCATTATAGTACAAGCACATTTTACTTGTAAGATTATAAAATACATATATAGAAACTGTTCAAACTGATCGAGCATTAAATATATGCCTGTTTAGGTACAGATGCAAATGAAATGACCAATCTCCTTCAAAGAGTCACCAGTTGAAATAGCGCAAAAATGTAAATTGTACTTCTTTTATAATGAAACCAGCTGACCATGTGTTCATTTTCAACAGGAAGGAATTTTGGCCGAAATATAAATGTTGTTTCCGTATTTACGGGACGGTTATCTCACACTGTATATCACATAACGCCCATCCCGGCGTTAATGTATATATACTTTTTCTAACGTTATGAGTTTGTTTGTAAGCTTATTGTAGCTCTGATGTAGCTATAAACAACAATATGGAGCGTGTTCTGTAAACCAGATGGTCGTGTTAAGAAACCATTACCTCATTACCATTATTTTAAGGTGTAGTTAGATTAAGTGTTGATTGTGTTTCGTCTATGCCAATATTGAATATAAATCAAAGTTTCAAAACGAATAGTAGGTACTTAATCAAATTGTATCTGCACAATATACTAAAAGGGTCAAGAGTCATACGAGAAATTATCGAAGCATCGCTCGCTAGTAACAAGCTTTGTTATACAATTTCTAGTGTAACCTTGCATGAAGCCTTAAGACGGATTACGGTTATTTTTGTCCGATACCTCTTCCACTCGTGTGTTTATGACTGCATTTTTAGCACGTGTGTAAATAAACACTACCATAGTTCAACTTGGTACTATTTACGTAATTGATCTTGATTTTACTAAAGGCCCATTTCGATTATCAACATGTAGTGTTCTAACTGCTCAAATTAAGTTGTTTATGTGCTGTTGCTGTGCTGTTTAGTGTAATTTTCTGGCTGAAATTGAAACGTCTAAACACATCTTTATTTGTATAATTGACGTTACTAAATCCATGGTGATCCAGCGTAACGTTAGACGTTTCAATTTCAGCCGGAAAATTACACTAAACAGCACAGCAACAGCACATACGTCTTAAGCGTTGACATTTGAGAGGACTAAGATGTGATTCCTAAGTCTAACATTTTCCTACCACTACCCTCCAAGCCGTAATTAGCCAAAATAAGCCACAATTAGCAGAATTAGGCAAAACTAAGTTGTGCTATCAATCAGTAGGTACTAAAGTTGAGTACCATATAGACAATGGTATTATTATCACGATAGATACCTACTAACATAATGACAATTTAAATGGAATTGTAGACCATTAAATAAGTTTGACATTAAGGAAAATAATATTCCAGTTTCGATCCATTAAAAGTACATACAACAAATAATAAGATAGGAATACAACCTCGGACATCTATTATGAATACATGATTTATATCACGATAATTATATCTCGATTACATTCATAACAACACAAAGATTACACAATAATTTATCTCTATTATTTACTTTATATAGTAACACTAAATGTAACGCAACTTCGACACGTTTTTATGATACGACATATAACTCATGTTGTACGGGTATCTATTCCCCGTACTTGTTTGTAAGGTTGCGGGTGCAGGTGGAAACAAGAAAGACAAGTGTAAGTATCCTCTCGAGCAGAGTTCGGTGGTCTGTACTAGCGATGGAAGCGGAATGAATTGTGCCGTTTTTTTTTTTTTTTTCAGACTACTCTAATGCTGTTGGCCGTAGCTGGCCTTTACAGCTTCACCGGACGTTATGGGGCGAGTGCAGATGGCACTCCAAACCCGCGGAAGGACTTATGGAGCGGCTGAAGGCCAACTCCTGCCCGACGGATACGACTTTAGTCTGAGGGCACCACTAGGGGTTCGAACCTCGGCTCAGGCCGTCGTAATTTCGATCCCCGTTTGAATTGGACGGGGGATCGATAGGAGGGGCGCCCGGGGGCGCCGGTGTGGAGCGCCCGGGCGCGCGCAGGCGCCCGGTTGAATGCGCGATATTGTGTGTTTGAGGTCGTCGTCTTCGCCGGCGAGGACGGTGTCGTGTGTGTGTGTAAAAGTGTGGTCGGGGTGGAACGGGTGGGCCCGTGGGGAGGTTACCTGCCGTTATGGGGTCGTCGGGGTCAATGAGAACGTGCCTCGGGCGACGTTGTCGCGTATGTCGGATATTACTCCTCGGTGCGTAGTCGACCGCACTGACTATAAGCGGATTAGGGTGGGATTGGGCAGAGTCGAAGTAGCGTCGAGACGCTTCCTTCATAAACTGCTTGATGGAGGGCAGATTAAGATCGCGGTGGAGATCTACGCTGCGAACGAACCACGGCGCACCGGTGGCTCGACGCAGAAACCTATTCTGAATGACCTGCAGTCTGTTGATTAAGCAGTAGGGTATGTGGGCGAATACGGGACTAGCGTAGGTCATGATGGGACGGATGCATGCCTTGTATAATGTCAGCTTGTTGCGAAGCGACATTTTACTGTGCTTGTTAATAAAAGGATAGAGTCGCCCTAGTATAAAGGCGGCTCGGTCGCGGACACGCTTGATGTGAGGACGAAACGTTAGTTTCCTATCTAGGGTGACGCCGAGATATTTCGTTTTCGAAACCCACGGGATGTTTTGGCCGAATAGTTCGATCGGGTGATTCATAGAGTCGAATTCCCTGCTAAAGTACACTGCTGCACTTTTTTCGGGATTGACTTCTATGCGCCACCGACGGAACCATTCGCCCAGTATCGTTACGGCTTTCTGAAGCCGTCTGGCTATTGTCGCACGGGACTTGGCGGATGTAAAGAGAGCCGTGTCATCGGCAAACAGCGATATTTCGACTTTTAAGTCGGAGAATTTGGGGATGTCGTTGGTGTACAACGAGTAGAGCATCGGAGAGAGGACGGCGCCCTGAGGGACGCCGGCTCGTATGGGGTGCGGGTCGGATAACGCTCCGTTTATACGGTAGCGATAAGAGCGATTCGACAGGAAATCTCGTACAATGAGTACTAGCCTGTCGGGAACACCTAACTGATGAAGCTTGTAAATCAAGCCGTTGTGCCAGACTTTATCGAAAGCCTTAGCCACATCGAAAAATAGGACGCCTGTACCGCCTTTGGGGGACTTGGTGGCGAAGTACAGAGTGTTTTTGTGAATGTGCTCCGTGATGCGGTGCACTTGATGGACGCATGAGTGTTTGGCTCGGAAGTCAAACTGCTCATTGATGAGCAGGCCTTTGGAGTATATAAACTCCTTTAGGCGGGCGAGGAGGATTCGCTCGTACAGCTTGCCTATAGCCTTGAGGAGGCTGATAGGACGATAACTGGACGGGTCAGATTTATTTTTACCGGGCTTGGGGATGCCAATGACCACGGCTTCTTTCCAGCTGTCTGGAAATATAGCGTTGGACAGCGCCGCGTTAAAAATAGCGACGAGTAATAACAAAAGTTGGGATGGCAGACTTTTGACTAATCTATTCGATATGCCGTCTGAGCCGGGTGATTTTTTGATAGGTAGTTGTTTAACTAGCGTTTTGACCTCATCAAGCGTGACTGGTGAGAGGGATTCGGTGGGCGGGGTGGACGCGATGCGTTCGACTTCGGTGTCTATCTTCTCGAGATGACCTGCCTCGACTGGGAGCGTGCTGGGGGAGCATTGGGCTTCTAAGTTGGACGCTAGACACTCAGCCTTGTCTTCGTCGAAGAAGGCTATAGTGTTGTCGGGTCGGACTAGCGGGGGCATGTCGTTTGTCTGTTGGTCGGTTTTGAGAGATTTCGCTATGCGCCAGTACGCGGTGTGGCATGGCGTTATCTCTTCTAGGAGATTGCCCCACCGGCCGTCCCGGATCTGCGCGATGCGCTCCTTAACGCTACGCTATAAGGCTCGCAGGCGCACCCGGTTCGGTTCGGAGGGGTAGCGATCGTACGCTCTAGTGGCTGCGTTCTTATCGCTTATTAACCTCCTTACGTCATCGGGGAGCTGCCAGCGACGGTCGTCCGTCGCCGGTACCTCCCTGGAGCAGTCCTTGACTGCCGACTGCAGGTGGTTAGTAAGCGAGTCGATCGCAATGAGAGTGTCCTCGGTGGACTCTATGACGTCGGGAATACGGTTTAGTATCGGTGTGTCGGTCGATTCGAGAGATTTCTCGAGTCGTTGCCAGTCTGTTATTGTTTTGGTTGGTAGTGGCGTGTCGGGCGGAGGGCCCAGAAGGAGGGTTACCGGTCGATGGTCCGAGTTAAGCTCGGCATGGACTTCTGGGGAGCTCACCCGTAGGGTTACGTTCCTCAGCAGTGCCATGTCCAGTATGTCGGGTCGGTGGTTCACGTTATGGGGATAATGAGTAGGGCGGAGCGGGGCGATTATCTCGAATTCGAGCGAGTCGGCTAGTCTGTCTAGTTTGTGGCCGTTTGTCGTGGACACGTGGCAGTTCCAGCGGGTGTGTTTACAATTCAAATCGCCAGCCAGAATGGTGGCGCTGTTGATATCTAGGAGGGCGCGTAGGTCGCTTTCCAGCAGTAGTGAATTGTGCCGCGTTCGGCACCTATATTTATACTCCGCCCGCTCGCACCGTGTCACGTACTAGGTAACGATTGTGTTATGCACATAGGTGCGAGCGGGACGGAGAGCGCGAAAAGACCACCTCTACTCGCTCCTTTATTTATTAATTTAAACATTACATACAATACTATAATAATATTAATTTACTAATAATATTTAATTCTACCTATTGGGGAATTGAAACTACTACAATTATAAATTTTATTAAGCTAACAATAATCAAATATTTACAATAGTCGCGAACACATGTCTACAAGTGCTATTTCTACTACATTCATATCAGATTTGTGGTGTACTAAGTATAATTATGTACTATAAGTACCTACTATTACTTATAGTAGTAAAGTATAGCAAATAGACAAATTGGCAAGATTAAAATTCACGTATCCTTCGTTAAATGAAGTAAAAATGTATAGAAACTATACGTTTACAATACGGTTTAAACATAATTGGGGTGTAAAAATAAAATACAAATTTCGATAACTCCCAAGTTCAAGGTTAATTAATCCTCAAGTACTATCAGAAATTGACCAATTAATCGAATGTCATAAATTTTTAAAGCAATGTAGGTTGATAGTTTATGTTATCAAGTCAAATTATAAATTCTTACGTAGGTAAGTATAGTAGGCGGTAGCTTTCTACAAGTCTAGAAATGGAAGTAAAACTGTACAAATTATTTATTTATGTCCGTTGCAACGAGCAAAACCAATAGATTATATTCAATAATGAATCGAAACGATACTGAACTTTTCTGTTTCATATTTTATTCTATCAAATGTAGTATCGTTAAATGTTTAAAAGGGGATGTTTATGAGGTACTGCATAGCTACGTTTTTCTTTTATACGACTGGGAGGACAAACAATCAAACGGCCCACCTGATGGCATAGCACATATAATACAATATAATGTCTCAGGACAATTTACACAGCACCATCCAGTCACAAGTTAAGCAGATCTTGTGTTATATGTATTAGACAATTGATAAATATATATAGATACATTTTTGTTTGTAAATACATATATAATATATGTAGTAAATCCCAGACCGACACAAATAACCATATATACTCATGAATGCAAATATATGTACCGTGCGAGAAATGGAACTCGCGACCATCGGAAGCAAGGCGGTAATAGCCTATATATCACAAACATATATAAACACTACAGACATCACATCATTATACCCGTGATATACCTTCCTGAACCCTGAAATTTCGTTGCCGTATTATATCTTTCGACCGTAACACAGCAAGCAATGCAAGTTTATTAGGCGGCTGAAATAGATCAGACAGATCACTTTCTACAAAGTATATTTTTATCATAAAACTTAAATGGTGAAAGTAATTTATTTATGTGTCCTTTTTTAACTCGTATAACAGTTCTCATGGCTTAACTATTAATAATGAAATTCGGCGTATACGTAGCATTTTGAACATGACCGTGAGCTACTTTTTATCCCGGTCGATCTTAGACCAGGCACTAAGTCGAGGATAGAAGCCAATATAAACATTAATCAGTAACCATAACACTGTAAAAATTCTATCTATCTGATTATCAAGAACTAACGCAATTATTAATATACAGAGTTCATCATTGCCTTGCCATTACCCCATTGTTTGGGGTCGGCGCAGTATATCATTCTCTTCCACTGAGCTCGATCGACCGTCATATCTGAGCATACTCTCCTTTTATTCATATCATCTTTCACCGATTCCATCCATCTCTTTTCCTGTCCGTTTCCTGTCCCGTTCTTTAAGACATTATCATCACTCCTCCGCATAACATGCATATACCAGCTCAATCTGTTACCTCGCAAATTGTCTATAACGGGCGCAACTTTCAAACTTCGTCGTATACACCCATTCCTTATTCGGTCATTCCTGGTTACCCCACACATCCAAGAGAGATGTAGGCAGAAATATTTGCGAATATACAAAACCTCTTCAAATTAATTCGTTTATCCACATTTGCATAAGGTACAAATGCGTGAACTTGACACTTATTTGTCTATTGTTATATAAGAGTTGTATATTCATTAAATGACTAGGTGCTGGCCGTCTGAAGGTCGAAACATACATACAAGTAGTATAGTATAATATTAACCTACAGATAGCCGTAATTGTAGCAGTATTTTAACTGCCTTACATACATAGCTACAGAGGCCAACGACGGCAAACGATTTACGTTTCATTGGCTAAAACCAGTGAGTGTAGAAGGCACACTAAATCCACGAGGATTTATGGATCAGCTGAACCAACGGTACGAAAAACCATTTCTCAATGAAAAATGTATATCTTAAACAATATACCACACGGTGTGATTGTGTGGAAATTATTGACATAACTTTCCATCGATAAGGATAAGGAATGTGTACATGTAATATGATGTAAATATTAAGTACTACATGTAGAAGTACATGTACAAGAGTAGTTTTTAAATTGCTATAAATATTACTTAATATTTCTAGAAATTTGACTTAATTTGGCTTAACGAGAAAGGGGTTGGGTACCTAAAAGTGTAAAGGAAGTCGCGACTTTTAGGGACTTTGAAGGACAAGTCTTCTATATGATAAGTAAACATTAACACCACTCACGTATCAGATTTGCAGCAGCAGACCGAGTGGAATGTGGTGGAGACAGCAAACAGTAGACATAGCGCCAAACCATAAACTACCGCAGCTATTGCTTGGGGCGCGTTCACCGAACGCGTCAAAAGCACACGAGCTCCGATAGACGCCGGTGCCACGCATAACGCGTGTGTACACACATTCGCTACATTCTCCACCTGTGTACATGTAAAAAAGTATTAAATATGTTAATTAAAAAAAAAAAGAGGTTGAAGATGTTTTGAATTTTGATTATAAAGAGTAATGTCAGCAGTCGTTAACACCAGAGGCATGCTTAAACACGCAAGTTCATGAGGCTTAAGTAAAGAATCTTCTTATTAATATTTTAAACGCGAAAGTTTGTGTGTATGGATGGACGGATGTTTGTTCTTTATCACGCAAAAACTATTGAACTGATTTTGGTTAAACTTTACAGTAATATACCTACATATAGCTATACATGAGAATAACAAATGAGCTATAATTTTAAAAGATATTATGTAACTTAGGCGAAATATAATGATAAATGACAAGTAAGTGTCTTGCAGACGAAGTTTCGCGGATCAGATAGTATTGTCTATATTGTATACATAGTTCTTATGAATCGCCTAGGTCCATGTCACATTAAACTTAACAAATACGCATTCTGTTTGGCATCTCCTACCATTTTATACAAATGTATAATGTAAAACATGTCTGATGCTAAGCATGTACCATTAGCCGTATACCTATGCGGGATTTATAAGATTGCCGAAACGGAGCAAACTTCTTCAATCATTTTGAAGAACTTTTCAAATATTTGAGATAACCGCAGCAGATCCAGTATTCGTTGTTTCCAAGTTGAAGGTGAGCTGCGTAACTGTATGATGATAATATTAATCGTCAGTATCGTGGGATTTATTGGTGGTAAGTGCTGGTCAACCACACCCTATGTCGATATTCAGGCCAGGCATCGGTGTGGAAAAAAAATCCATTACAATTTATGAAAATAGATGGAATATATCGACGCATCACAAAAATAACAGGTATATCTTTGCGGCTTGTGTGCCCATAATAGCTACAATTATTACGTTGAGCGTTACTTAACCGTTGACCAACATTAACAAGTAGGTAATACTCGTGTGAGCCGTTTCGTTCGTTTTCGTGCGTGTTAGTAAATTGGTAATTAAAGTTCTAACAATCAAGGTAGCAATAAATTTAAGACTAAAGTTAGTTATATATATGGAAAGGGTTATTATTTAGTTAAATAAGCTTGGCCTCGATAATCAAAATCAACCGTTGGCAGAAGGGCGGAGTAAGTGAATCGGTATAATTGATTGAAGGATAAATAGAGGAGTTTGGTAAAAAATAGCCGCAATATCTCTGATGCTTTATTATACTTTATGCAAAATACATTTTTCTATATGAAGGTCACCTAATTTCAGTAAATCCAATAATTAAGTCTAATAGAGTAAATACATTTAGTATTATTATACTCGGTAGTCCTGTTATTTATCCCATTGAAATTTGGATGAAAGTTACATTCCACTGTTACATACATACATAGGTATACTATAGGTACGATATTGTTATTTTTGCGTACAATACATTTTATAATATTTTAACTTTACATTTTTTGCATTTCACTTACTTTTTTCGTCGGTTGATTCCCTCCCTAGCTAGCAATATACCATACCATACATACTCATTCTCCCCTGAAAACAATCGTGATTTATTCTTGGTGAACTTGTCACCATGACCTCATGTTAGGTGCATAACGATTTCATTATCTTCCGTACAAACGGTCATATTCATGAATACATACCTATATATATAATATTTGTATCAAGCGAGATATAAAGAAATACTTGTATTGTGCGCGAAATCGAATCCACGATCACTGAAACGCTAGATTACCGAGGCCGTCAATGATATATTGATTGTATTTATCGTAGATACATTCTTTGAGTCTATTATTATCATAAACCTGTATATAATCATAAGGCAATTAGCTACAAGTAGGTATCTATAGGCACATGTAGTAACTATCAACATCCTGCGCATGCGACTCTATGCATGACTGATACCGTTTAACCACTTTCTAAACCAATGCTTTTATAACTTTATTTATCCATTTATTTATATTATTCACAAATAATAATATGTATCCAATTACATTGCCGTAAATGTTGTTAATAATTTTAATAGGTATATTACATTAATAGGTACATATTTTCAAGATTTTTAGGAATGTCAAAATGTAAGTACTGGTGGTCCTAAACATACGTAATTTTTACGACCTTTTCTATTTTCCTAAGAATCTTTACAATGCATTTCTTAGATAGGTGTTTTTAATTATAATTCGTGTTTAACAAAAAGGAAATTATCCTCATCTCATTATTGTCATATGTAGCTAGGTTCATATAAAATTTATTGGTATAGCTGTTACTTGTGACTTTAGACTATTTATTTGCCATATTCTTCTGAATATGCCAGAATAAGTCTGATACTGATATGAGCATTGCTCTTAAAATATGAAAGACGAAAAGAAAAAAGATTATTAATACTTTATCTGACCACAGTTCATTTATTATCAAAATGCCAACATTGTGGATATTAATTATTAACATTTCAGATTACTGACATTTCTCTCGGCAATAAATATACATACAGATATAGACATACCAGAGACTATACTATTTAATGTGGCAACCCCTTAGCAGAAAAAAACATAATATAATATTGGTATGAGTAGTGATCTAGAAGTACATGATAATACTTAAACCACATTGTGAAATTGAATAAGATATCACCAAGACAACAATATCAAAACCATTAACAGTTTAACTGCTGAAAACATTTGTGGCGCGAAAATAATGTTCACACTTATCGGGCGGCGCGGTTTTACCATCGCTCTATAAAGCTACATCTGTGTGTACCTTAATTAGTAGTAGTAGGCTAGTATTTAGACACTGCTTGTTGCTTATAAGGTAGTACAATTTTGACTCTATATAGAAAGTGTGAGCACCATTTTTTAAATGGACAATAATGGAATGGTGCTAACTGCAGTAATGCTATTTGCTGGTGGGATACCAGTGGAGGATGATAGGATGAGCATGAGGTCAAGTCAGCTAGCCCATCACAGCAAATTCACCAGGAATTTATCACGTTTCCTAGAGAAAACCGTGTGGACCTCTACCTGACATAGTACATTGCTAGCAATGGTGTTATTATTCCATATTACTAACAATTCTCCCCAGCATCATTTATATTATATTGCTCAACAACTATAGTGTTAGAACATAAACTCTGATTCCAATAAACACTTATGCCTACAAATAATGGAAAATAACTAAAATTCACTAATAAATCAAGTTAACTTGGATTGACCTTAAGAACCAGTGTAGAAGGTAGGCGCATCTTTATAAACAAAAAATTATATGTAGGTATGTAGCGAGAACACGGTCTAATTACTATATAAAATATAATGGAATGCGGGATATAGACATTTAGATTTGTATATTATAGGTGTGCGGGATGTACAAGTATATTATGTATAATATAGTTATAGGATACAATTTTAAGACTATACTATAAATGCGGTGATATTTATTATATAAATAATTTAAGATATTTAACAATATTATTCTTAATTTCAAACTTGCACACTAAGTTTACATCATTATAAATGCAAAATATGTCTATGCAGTCACTAATTAATCTATATATATTTTTAATTAATTTCACATTCAGTGTATTTAGATTTAGTATAAAAACAATGAAAATTATGAATTACATTTTACTTTTTAATATCTAACAACTACCCATAAAATAATGTTAATGATATTGTGAATTTATTTATTTGTGTTAAGTTTAGAATATAGATTGTAAATATAATAAATATTATTACTGACCGCAGTTGGTACATAAGCCCTGTTGGATGAGGCTCTCTCGTTCATCCACTTCACCGCATTCAGTTTTTTCCAAGGAAGATCACAGTGGAAATAAATTTTATTCTCATTGAACTTAGATTTAAATTTCATTATTATCACAGAAAATAAGCTTACAACGTCACCCATTTGTCGTGCGTTTGATGGCTAGTAATTGCTAGCAATGGTGTTATTATTCCATATTACTAACACTGTTGAGAGTTAAATATTAAATGGTCATGAGACCAAAAACAATATGCATATATTTATATTAATGATAACATTCATGTTATTAATTCAATTTACGTTTTCTATTCCGGAACATATTTTTTATATTTTACAATTTCACAACCACTCCTTTGAATGTCAATTGTCAGAGTGTCCAATAGTCAGTATCTCACGCAGCACAGATAAGTCAGAGACGGGCTCTGGATAATATTGACTGTTGTCACTCAAATGACAATTTCTCACTTGGCTGTCACTGCCAGCCATAGACGAAAGGTATCGAAAGTAAGATTGTGGTGCTATATTTACTATATGTGCTCTTTGGTGTGTAGTGAACAATCACCAATATCGGTAGTGACTCCACTAGGAAATTAGTATTCTGTGGTGGTAAGTTTTGCGGCCGCAGCCAGACAAAATTTATAGCATTTGTTTTGATGCGAGGTAATATATTATTAAATAATTACAAACTTACGTATGTTTTACATTACTTAATAAAAATAATATTGAATTTTATAATAGTTTATAACATTATTAATAAGTTACTTATTTATAAAAATTAACAACTTATATATTTACAGATTTCCTTATTTTACAGTTTACAATTATAATTATGGGAAGTATAAGCTTAGATGTAATAATCCCTGAAAATACTTGTCTTATTATATTTGAAAATTTGTTTCATATACAGTATAATATTCCAAGTGGTATAGTCTAGGGTACAGTTACATAGTAAGTAATAAAGCAGCAGCAAGTTATATATTCTAAAAGTTATTTTCAAATAACTGTAGAAGTCGCTTTATTTCTGCTATTCTAGCAGCTTGTGCTTGAACTGGTATCATTGCCTGTGAGACCTCTTCACCCTTAGCTAATATTGTATACATACTCTTTATATTGTTATCCATTGCATCACAAGTTTTTCCAACAGCTTCTTTATAAACTTCCATGTTTTCTGCTGTCAATGAAGAATTTGAATGTAAAATACTTGATAAGTTTTCAATTAAATTATCAACAGATTGAGCAATTTTTTGTGCTTCATACTCTAGATCATTCAATACAGTTATATCAATTTGACCAATCTGCGGTGCTAATATCTGTCTGTAGAGCTTACCCGATGGGGTACTAGATCGAGATGCACTGGAACTTCCAAATACTGGAGTTTCACCTCTTTTTGTAATGGGGCTAGATAACTTAATTTTAAATTCAAGATCATCAGCAACATAGTGTGTCATGTCCCCTTCATATCTAACATGGCCATCAATATCCAATGGAAACTTTTCTTGTTTCCGATTCTCTGATGGCAAGTTATAGGGCCTGGAGGGCCCAGGAGCTTTTGGCTGTTCTTCATATATTTGACCATGATCAGAATGGAAAGATATTTCACTATAAGATGCAGTCATACGGGCCGATATTTCATCATCCAAATCAACCTCAACTTGCTTATTAGAAACAGTCTGTGTAAGCTCCTTCTCCTCTGATATTGGTGATGCAGTTGAATCTTGAGATACACTTGAAATGTTCGCCATTTTCTGTGTGACATAAATATCACTAGATATTAATCTTTACTAACAGACAAGTATAATAACAATGTATGAACAACAACTTTTAATATCTCTCTGAACTACTATTTCAATTAGTAATTGGACATAAATCAGTACATGATTAATTCTAAATACAATAAAGTAGTTTTAATTAACTAAATTATATTTATAGTGATAAATTATTGCTGAAAACTATTCAAATAAAAGGTTTATACCTATCACTTTTACAGTACAGTTTCTTCTAATACATTAACTAGTTGCTGACTTAAATTCGTCTGTAACCAGACATTAAAGTCAAGCAGTGTATTATCAACGTTTTAGAATTTTTGGGCTTATATTGCTGGTAAGACTAGCTACATATAATATTTGTTTATTCTTTATAATGATAAATAATCAATACTTACATGAACAATTAGGTTGTACTATTTGGCACTTAGATTCTTGTCTACCAGCAAAACTGGATTACCTTCCTTATATTCTTAGTTCGAACATTTAGTAACATATTTTATAATTGTACTGTAACATTTAATAATTACATTTTATTAAATTCAATTATGATCATGAAATTATTTTTATATTATAGTCATAAAACAATGTGTTTCTAATGAATTTAAATTAATTTTGTTTTTAAATTGATAATAAATAGAAATGGAACCTAAATAAATGTAACAAACAATTAAATATTTAAATACAGTATTGGTTTCATTTATCCTCTGTGCTGTCACTGTCAATGAAAAATGTACGAATACGGTAGGTGCCGCCACCATATTATAATATCAGCAAAAAAAAAAAAACAAATTAAAATAAAACAATGAGGAAATGGTTTTTAGTGAAATTATATACCTGGATTTTAATATTTATTATTAGTGAATATTAAAATAGTATTCAATAAAAATAACTGAAAGCACCATTGTTGTTGCCTTTACTGTCTTATTAAGTATCTGTTTTATTATCTGAATGAACTCCCACTCCACTGAAATCACTCCTTTGTAATTTTCAGATTTAAAGTGATAGGTACATTTACACGAATATAGTTTTCAGTGCATTCTGGTTACAAATTACTAACCGTTATATTCTACCCTTTCTAGATTTTCGAATAAACAACAACGAATTGTGAAAAATGTATAACGGGTGTGGTAAGTTTTACCACACGAACAATGTATGTATCACAATTGATATATAGAGGCGGATACCATCTACTAATTATACTTCAAAGGCGCTCTCTATCAATACAAAGTGTTATAGTTCATTACCTATTATCTATATTACGTAACTGGAAGATACACTAGACATGGATAAATAAGTCAAATTGTCAAATGGAAGTTATTCTTTGACAGTTGTCAACTTGTCAATAAAAACATCATTATTCTTTACCCAAGTGAATTCCATTTGAATTCGGTCTCTTTTATTCTCTTATAGCTTATTTTCTTTAAGTTTAACGTCTATTTTTATAAATAAGTGTGATATAGAAATGCATTAGTTTCATCGGTGAGTTAAATATTTAAAAAGTCCCTGAGAGCATACAGGCATTGTCCTTCCGTTTAACATGGCGTTTCATATCGACATGTGCGGATATATTCGTATAAAAATGTTGTGTTAGTTTATTTTACAAGTGTTGAATACATATTTATTGCTGTATTTTAAGTTCCAATAGGTAGTAGCGTCATTATTTTGTTACATAACGGGTTTATCGTATTATATGTAACATACCAAGTCAAGTATTACAATGGTGAAAACCCGTCGAAGTAACGGAGAGAATGGGGAGGTTGACGATGGGAATTACGCTGTAAACGACGTTGGCAGTATTTCTGATGAGAAGGTGAAATTACGTTACAGATATTAAGTATCTATTAGACAGGTCTTGCATCCTTGCTTTGTTTAGAAATACTCTTATGTGAGTCAACATCCTGTCCCCATTTCCTAGATGGTACTTTCTGCACATAGTTGCATGCGCTTTTGTTATAAACTTAATATCCATGGTTTTTCACAACCAGTTTTGTTATGATGTAATATTCCAATATAGTTGCATATTACTACACAACCCTTCACAAATAGTTTATGACAATGTTGAGTATCACACTTTAACAAGATGCGAATGCATGCCAGTATCCCTAGGCACCCAAGAACATGTTATAGCTTATTGATTTGCTATACCCTAAATAATGTTTTGTTCATAATACATTGTATGTCTGTGTAATCAATAGTAAAACTAGATTAATATTGGCATTGCACACTGTTTAAATTAAATCAAATCAAATCTTATACTGGTTCTTGACACTCTAACTGCTGAAAATTTGGGAGACTTTTTCTTAGTTGAAGTTACACTACATCTGTTGATGTTTAATTCATCTGGCAGTCACTACTATTTACATATTGCATGTGTGTGTACATGTAGTAGATGTGTACCTATATGGTTGTGCATATTACCTGCATGCTAGTACAGCTTTACTGCTATATAACTCAGCAGTTGAAATGCTAAAACTTTGCATACAGTTTGTGACTTATATTTACAGTTTCATGAACAAATAAAATTAGAAACTAATATCCTATTACTATGTACATTATAATTAAAGTAAAGTTTTGTACCAAATAACATTAACAAATTACTTTCATTGATTTTATATAAATTGAAGAGTTCTATGAATATAATCATTGGGGTAACTTAACATACTTATGTTAGGTTACCCTAAGGACAAACTATGATATGGAATATCAGAATTTAGGCATAGAAAACAATTATTGTTATTGATAATTGTCGTGACAATTACCCTACTCAAATATTATTGTATTTTTGCTAAAAGAAAGCCATACACCTAACTTTAAACTAAGAACCATCAATATCATAATTGCTCTATTTATTTAGAAGCTGTTATAGACAGACACAAAGACACATCAAAATTTAAAAAGACAAAATAATATAGTGGACGATTGATATATATAACATATGCAAGAAATATGTTTAAAAGTTGTTAATATATAGTGGAATATTGTTAACAATATAATAGTTCAGTAAAACATTGTTTTTTTTTCTAGTCTTGATGAATTGTGTAAATTTACAACCTTATTCTAAAAGTACTTTACTTTTTTTATTACATATATCTTTCAAAAATTATTTAATGTAGAAGTACCTTCTGTTTTATGTATGGGTATTATATTTTTTGTAGGTGTTATGCATGCCTATTAATCAAATTGAAATTTGCTAGAAATTAAAAATATATTTTGTTTATGTTTAGTAGAAATAATCTTAGCAATACAATAGTATGTTATGTTTTTTTTATTTAAATTTAATGCATATTTTTTTGTTCTTTAATTGTAGGCAAGCAATTGGTCTCAACGAGAGTTGAGGAGTAGTCAGTATAAAGTTACTAGAACAATCCAACACTGGCCTACTAAATGTAAGTTTGAATTGAAACACTATCAGAATTTACAACCTTTGGTCTTTCAACTGTATGATTTTAATAAATCAACTGCATTTACTGATACTATTTTGTTTATTTCTGGAAAATTATCTTATATTTATTTTAAATATGTGTTTTTATATATTTTAACTTTGACATATTTTATAAATATAGATAGTCGCAGACGCTGCACCATCAAGATGCCTCGTATTGTGTTTAATGAAAGTGATACGGAACCCGAAAAATATTCCCGAAGGTAGATATAGTTATATGTACAGTTTTGTTTCATTTTTCTATAAAATATAAACTCAATCTACAATAACATTGAAATAATTATAAACCAAAATTTGTTTCAAGATTGAGTCAGAATAATTTCAGTTTATTTATATAATAAAATAAGTAATAATAACCCTAGATAATTAACACAACGCTATCTAGTCCCACGGTAAGCAGAGCTTGTGTTATGTGTACTGATTTATACAAAAAAAAAAAAAAATTATTGTGACTACATATGTAATATATATAGGAAGCACACATACCGATATAAACAATCATAATCATGACTACAAATGTTTGCACCATGCGAGGAATCGAACTCGCGACCATCGGAAGTATAGCGCTGTGATAAAACGCTAAATCAATGAGACTGTTATTCTGTGAAATTACATATGTAGGTTCTATTCATGTGAAATACTTTGATAAATGATAACTTTTCTGCAGTCAACTGCTCTCTATTTTGTCTGTGTTGTATTTGTTTTATATTAAATTTAAAAATATTTCTTGTATTTAACATAAATCTGTTATTACGAAATTTTTAGATCTAGGCAAGTGAGAGTGTTCTTTGCTGAAGATAATGAGCCCACCAATAGTGTCCGTCGCAGTCGTGGTCCAAGGAAGAATTACGTAGAAGACAGTGAAGATAAACCTATACAAGAGAGTAAGTATACGTTAGTTCTTTGATTAAGTGTAGACTCTACGTTAATTGACTATCTGACAGTCAAATGTGTCTAATCTCTAATTAATTTGTTCTATGTAACAAATGTATTTAAATTTAGACAATGGGTTTTCTATGTGAAAAATGTTGTTTTATAACCACATATACCGGACGAGTTGAAATGTTTTAGTTTAGAATATTGTATAATATATGTATTATAATTCATATATCACTATCCTTTACTTTCAATTTCATTTGCTTTTGAGATAAAAACGCACAATATCGAAATCGAATCTATCCACATATCAAAGTTTATTAAATTCTGTTTAGTTTAACCGTGAAATGGTAACGGACAGATTTTATTTATAATCTTCATTGTTACCTGCGACTGTGTCTTTATTTAGATACAATCTTTCTTCATAATAAATTTCATTCACTTCGTTCAGCCGCTTAGTCGTAAAAAGGTTACAAACAGACAGAATGAAAAGCGCACTTTCGATTTTTTTATTGGCTTATATTGCCACTTTAACGTCAGTTACGGAGAATCTTGCATCAATGTAATTTACTATTTCAGACGTAAGAAGAAGCTGCCGCAAGCGTAAGCTCCTACATCACAATTTCAATGAGAGTTGGATAACTAATGAATTGAAAGTCAAAGGCTATCCAGATTTGTATGGCTTCCACGGGACTAGTTCTTCAGATGAGTCATACTCTGGCGATGAAACTAGAAGAACTCCAAAAAAAATGGTAAATTAAATTGTTGGTAATTGATTTCTTTATGTAATTGCAATCGCAAAGAAGCCGACGGCCCAACTGATGGCAATCAGACGAGGTTAAAAAATGGTGACGTTATTCATGCGTCGCCATTCCAGAGGACTAAGACATCATGCTTTCGATAAACTATTTGCGTCCCTAATTTGCACCCTAAACCTGAAACACAGCTTACTGAGCATACCTACATAATATACATAAAAAACACACAGATTCACACAAATCTGACATAAATGATACATCTGATATAAAACGGTGTGCTAAACTGCCAGACCACAGAAGCCCACAAATACGTGTATCCTTATTGCCTTATTTGTCATTTCCTGAAGATAAAAATATTATGTTTACAGACCAACAACCATGTCCCCACTAATATAGATGAAGATACACAGCTCTCAAGACAAAGACGAACATCCGCACGGTTTCTCAATAAGAAGTCCAATGTAAGTTAATTATTATTATATTTATTTTAGAGAAGTTCACAAAGAAAATAATAATAATAATAATGACCATACTGACATGTAACTCTCAATTGTAATACCAAATTATTTCCAGAACATAAAAGGAAAAATAGAATATAATAAAAAGTTCAGTGGATTAAACAGAGAATAAAAAAAATATGGTATAAGAATATATTCTTATGTGAAATTGTTATGTATACACCATTCAATATTTTTCCTAATAAAATATAGCACGTAGTTTGTTTTAATGTATTTGTACCCATTATAGCGATGCTCAGATGTCCGATATTAACTAAGAAAAGTCATATGCTTGCCCATAGACTTGAAACTAATTTAAAAAATATTTTTTTATATTTTAGGAAGCAACTGAATCGGATTCTGAAGAGGAACCAAATCAAACTGTCATTGAAAAAAAACCTTCAACAGAAACTAAAAAAGAAGAAGAGAAGATGGAAGTCCAGTCCATTGAAGATGTAAAAGCTGAAAGTGAACAAAATATTCAGGCACCAGACACTGAAAGGTAGTTAGATTATTTTGCATATATGCATGTCTAGTGGTTTATCCCAACTTATCAGGCAAAAATAAATATAATATAGGTATAGTCTATGTTCATTTGCATTAATGTAAGATGCAGACATTGAAATAATTTTTCATATAAATTCACTGGCTCCTCAAATTATTCTCTCAAAATATGCAATTTAAAATGGCATAATTGTTGATTAAAAAAATATATACATTGTATTATATGAAAATTTTAACTGTATACAGTAAATAATTTTTAAAGTTAGTACACTTATTGATGATGTATAGTATTGTGTAAAACAAATCCTGATTGGGTTGAAACTGTATTAATAAATTTTATTCTAATTATCTCATTTCGTAGTAATCAAGCTCCTGCAAGATCAACCAGAAGTAGCAGAGGGAGGGGTCAAACAAAGAAAGAAGATAGTCAGGAGACAGGTATTTTGAAATACATATTATTTACTTGTTTTGACTTCAAAATGTTTCCTTTCCATTTCCTTGAATTGATTATAGTTTTACTTGCTGACCTGGGAAACATTGACTTGCCTTTACATGGCTATTAAATAATACGGGTTGGTGTTAGAAGGGTAAAATTTTGGGAGTATTTTTTGACCAACATAAAAAAAAATATCCAAAAAATAAAAACATTTTTTGGGTGGACCATTTTTATCACGTACTTATACATTTCAAATTTCATCAAAATTGGTTAAGCCTTTCAGAGAAGTATGGCAACTAACACTACATGAGAATTTTCATATATATATATGTACATATAGAATAACCTCATTTATTTAATATATTGTGTTTTGTCTTTAATGTAAGGAATACATATTGTCGCAAAAAGGTTTATTAGAGGTAATAATATAATATATATATATATAAATATATTTGACTAGCATCCGATACATCGTCGTCGGAAAGTGGGAGCGAGCTGACGATGGGTGGCCAGCCGCGCCGCTCTAACCGTACACGCAAACCTAAACCTGCTTTCGTACAAATCGCCCAGGGACAGACCCGTAGCAGAGGTAAATCAATCAATCATTCTGTTTTGTATAACATACCATACAAATATTATGATGCGACGTCCATCGTTTAGACGCTGGAAACATCAAGGGAGTCGTGCGCGTTGGCGGCCCCTAAGAAACCTTAATAAACCCTTGAAAAAATCTATACGGTAGTCTCGCGAGAAAACCTCGACAAGTATTTTACTCCAAAATCTAAGTGTATGCGGGATGAACTTCCTCTGAAACCACACTGTCGGAGACCACTTAGGTTCCAGCGTGAGGGGATGAATTCAGTGTATTCTTGTTCACATACTATGTGTATATGAATATAGTAATATATTAGTAATGCATATTCTGAATAGTCAATATCGGATAGGCTTTTCATTGGTGTTTCCTAATTTCAGTGCATTAATGAAATATACTTTTTAGAAGATTAAAGTATATTTTCTATTTTAAAATCCTGATCTAAAACAATTCTAATAGTTTTATTCATTGTTTGCATATAAAAAGAAACCATGAGTTGAATGCATCCTCTACTACACAGATGTTTGACATGGAGGATGAATACACTATTATTCTTGTCTTTAACTTATTGACGTGACTATTTGACATGTTGTTTTTGATATAGTCAAACATGTAATCTGGAAAACGAAATTAATGGATTTTTTAATGAGTTCCTTAAATTCTAGCAGTAATAAAAGTATTTTTAGACATGAGAAAAATTTTAATCCCTTACGCTTTGTAATAAGCATTTAAATATACTAGGTACTAGGATAATAGAAATCTTGTGTGAAATTATAACAATTGTCCATTATTACAGCAAAAACATTTACAATAAGAAAGAAACCATATTCGTTGAGAGAGAGGAAACCAAAAATTTTACGCAGGAAGACAATCAGATGTGAGTATTAATCATTTGTATTGTATGTATTAACTTCATAACTTTAATTATAACGTAAGTTCATGTTTAATCTAAGTGTTAATTCTCATAGTTCTGACTATTTCACTTGTAATATATGGACCTGTAATATGCTATATATATAAAAAAAATGCATGACTACAGCAACATATCTATAAGTATTTAGATACAAATTTGCTTGGATAAAATTGTGCAAAGAAACTGTATTATTACTTGTGTTAATTTATGTTCTAATAGTATGTAGTAGATTATGAGTGTGTGTTTTTTTATATATGGTCATGACAATTTTGTTGTATTGAAATATTTTTAAGAGTTCAGCTAGGTTCAGTTAATAATAATATTCTGTATAAACAGAATATTAAAATCAAGGTTTACAATTATATTAGACTTTATTACATTATATAAGAAACAGCCATTATTAACTGTCGCCATGAGTTAGTTGAATGTAAGTTATATATTATTATTCTCAGCACAATCGCCGTCCAGTACAAGCAGTAGTAGTACAACGAGCTCCGATACAGAAGAAGATCTAAATGTTTCTATGAAAAATAAGACTAAGGGCAGGTAACTACCAAACACCATATTTATATTTATCTATTTACTTTCAATAGGATATGTTGTTTTTAGGAAATATATAGAAGAGAATAATAAAAACCTAAGATAATTCACACAATAACACCTTGTGCTAAGTTAAGCAGAGCTTGTGTTATGGGTACTTAATAGCTGATAGAAATACTTAAATATATTGTTTTTAGTATCGTAAATTAGAAAATGATTACAAATGTTTGTGTCGTGCGAGGAATCGAACCCGTGTTCATCGCAAGTAAGACTCTTTGCTCAAATTATTCCACATACGATTGTATTAAGGTAGAATCTAGATGCTTGCGGTGTGGTGTAACAGTGGTGTGTTTTTATAATTAAATAACTCCATGCATTATTTTATTACAAAAATACTGCAATGCATCTGTATTAGAACGCATGCTTCGAGAAACTACCTACTTGTATTGTTTAGAAATGTATTTAAACTTTTTTCTAAGGCAAAAGACAAAAGCCATGGATGACAAGAAAACAGATAGAGCATTAAGAGATATACAGCCTGTTGAAGTTGATGGCAGTGTGAGATTCTCATCGGTGAGTTTTTGTTGTTTATTACTATTGTTTTAGTATTTAGGTACCTAATTTATTAAATCCAAATTAGAATTTCAATTTTCAAGTCACTGAGTTATCATTTTTTACTTATCAATTAAAAAGAGTAGACTTTTTGAGCAATGCAAATTGTATTTAATGATAATTTTTTATAGAAAATGGTTATTTTTGTGTTAAAATAGTACTAATTCGTATGTCATAAAAGATTTGGTAAAATATTATTTTATTAGATTTTGCAATATGTCATTATTTCATACAGCCTTTTGAGACAAAGAAATCTTATTCAATTAAATAAAAACTATAACCAAAATGTTCTTATTCTTTACAAAGATGTGTATATTCACATTGAAATTTTGGTCATGTGATGTATTAAGTTTTATCACCAGCTTTCTCCTGTACTGATGTTTCGTATTTTGTTCCCTTGTTTGTCTCTTTTGAAAAAGCTTGCTCTCTTTTTTTAATAGACTTTATATCAGTTCTATCTCCATCATCACACAGAGGATTTCATGGTGAACTCGGAATGTTTCGCAATGCGTTTTGATTAAAAGTAACTAATTTATCAACAGGTGGGAGGTCTGGAAGAACATATAAAGTGCCTCCGAGAGATGGTGCTCTTTCCTCTCATGTATCCGAACTTATTTCAAAAGTTTAACACGAGGCCGGCAAAAGGAGTGTTATTCCACGGCCCACCAGGCACTGGCAAGACACTGTTGGCGAGAGCTTTAGCCAACGAATGTAGTCTGGTCGGTGGACGGAAAGTGGCATTCTTCATGAGGAAAGGAGCAGACTGTTTGAAGAAGTGGGTCGGTGAGAGTGAAAGGCACCTCAAACTGTTGTTTCAACAGGTGGGAATATTTTAATTGTATTTAATTTTTCTTAATTGAACACTAGTTTAATTACATCTTGGGAGATGTTTGTCTATTGAAGAAAACAAAAATCCATTCCATATCTCTGTCGTTATTTGCATGTCCGCTGTTTTTATAATAATTTTGTGAAATCCATTCTTAGTGTTTGCCTGCATCGTTAATGAAACCTATATTTAAAATTTCAAGTGTCTAGTTTTTCAACGACATCAGTTAGTAAAAATAAGAGTTATCTATTTATTATAGGAAAACCAGAACTGGTTCTACATATACTATATACATATTATACCAGTAGACACAATTTATATAAAATGTAAAGTGACAGACTTTCACAAACAATAACAGATTAATAATTAATAGCTTTAAATTCAACTCACTATCACTACGTATAAAGATAACACAAATTGAGATAATGAAGTTGGGAAAAGAACAAGATAATAGTAATTAATCATTATTGAGTTTATTTACATATGTATATATGTAAATATTCATATTGTTTAAATAATATAAATGTACGTGAAGTACATTTGCAAGCGAGTGTATGTGTGGTTGTGTAGGCAAACAAGATGAAACCGTCGATAATATTCTTCGACGAGATTGACGCGCTGGCGCCGGTGCGGAGCGTGCGTCAGGAACAGGTGCACACCAGCGTCGTCGGCACGCTGCTCGCAGAGATGGACGGACTCACCGACAGGTACAAGGCAGATTTATATGTATACATAATTAATTGATATTTCGATATAAAATTCACTGTTTATCCGATTTAATTCTTAGAATTCCATACTTATTTCTTGCAAGACTGTTACGTTTAAAATATAATACCTTGTATTATTCTAATAAAGTTTTGTTGAGGTTATTTTGCTTGGAATTGTACTTTAATTTTTACATTATTATGTTAAAATTGATTGAATGATAATGGAATGTGACACATTGACTGTATACGCTATTGGGGTACCAGGGAGGACGATAGGATGACCATGAAGTGGCAGTTAGACATTGTGGTGAATTCTAGAAATGAATCACAGCAGTTTCCAGGGCACCGCGTGGTAGTCCACCAGAAAGTGTATTTTGTTAAGGATGAGTGTCCTATTTCATATTACTATTTACTCCGTCCGAGTAATGTGAGTTGTTTGGTACAGAGGCGAGGTGATAATAATCGGCGCGACGAACCGGCTGGACGCCGTGGACCCGGCGCTGCGGCGCGCCGGCCGCTTCGACCGCGAGCTGCACTTCCCGCCGCCGCACGCCGCCGCCAGGAGGGACATCCTGCACATCTACACGCAGCACTGGCGCCCGGCCCTCGCCCCCGCGCACCTCGACCGCGTCGCGCACCTCACCAACGGGTACGGAGGTCAGTCCTCACACTGATACATTCACTGCGACATCCTGCACATCTACACGCAGCACTGGCGCCCGGCCCTCGCCCCCGCGCACCTCGACCGCGTCGCGCACCTCACCAACGGGTACGGAGGTCAGTCCTCACACTGATACATTCACTGCGACATCCTGCACATCTACACGCAGCACTGGCGCCCGGCCCTCGCCCCCGCGCACCTCGACCGCGTCGCGCACCTCACCAACGGGTACGGAGGTCAGTCCTCACACTGATACATTCACTGCGACATCCTGCACATCTACACGCAGCACTGGCGCCCGGCCCTCGCCCCCGCGCACCTCGACCGCGTCGCGCACCTCACCAACGGGTACGGAGGTCAGTCCTCACACTGATACATTCACTGCGACATCCTGCACATCTACACGGAACATTGGCCGTAGCTCGCGGCCTTACATAAGAAAGAATTCAAATCTACACATAGTTTTTTGGCATTAATGAACATTTTCTCTTTCATAGTTCATAATCATGATAATTTTGTTACAGGTTCGGATTTAAAAGCGCTGTGTTCGGAAGCTGTACTTAAAGCTTTAAGAAGAGTGTACCCTCAAGTTTATGAAAGTGAACATGCATTACTTATAGACCCAGAAAATGTAAGTAAATGAATGAATATATCTTTCCAATACTTATTTACTTTTATTAATATATATATATACTATACATAAATTTATTCCTATAAACAAAGAATTACTTATTAGTATTTATTATTCCATCTCGAATAAATGTTTATATATTAGTAAAATGTTAAAGTAAAAAAAAAACAATAGTTTTCCATAAAAAAATATATATATCGTAAATATGTGTGGTGAGTGATTATTTTAACATCATCATTAGGGCATAATTTCTGTATATCGCAAATATCGACGTATGTCGTAATTTCGATCCCCGTTCGAATCGAACACTGGATCGATCGTAGGGGGTCAGTCGAGTGAGAGTGGGTGTGGTGCAGGTGGAGGTGACGGGCGAGGACCTGGTGTGTGCGCTGGGCTCGCTGGTGGCGGCGGGCGCGCGCGCGCAGCCGGCGGTGTCGCGGGCGCTGCCGGCGCGCGCGCTGCCGCTGCTGCACGCGCAGCTCACCGCCGCCGAACGAGCGCTCGCCGCCGCCGCTCCCGACCGGTACCTACTTCATTCTAATATATATATATATTATATTAGTCCCCTTTGTCGGGGCTGCTTTAAAGCTGAAGAAACGGCGGCTCACGTAATCCTGGAGTGCGCGCCAGTGGCCCCACAACGAAAACAAATCCTCGGAACGGTGAGGTCGCTCCGTGAAGCCTGTGAAGACCAGGAGTCTTCTGCGCTTTTGGGAGGAGCTTGGCTGGCTACTTTACTAGTCTGGCTCTGCACACACGACGGCCCGAATGAGAGACTAATTGCGGAGACTGGAGTCCAACATACAATACAATACAATATATATATACGTATATTTGTTGATTGTGTTAGGGCTGCATTTAGTTTGCCTTAAGAGAAGTGGCCTTTTGTCTTGAGTGGAATTTACTGAATATTAGTAAGTAAGTATATATATGGTAGTGCGCTACATGGCTCATTAGTAGTGCGTACATTCGATGCGGAGTCGTAGTGCAGACTGATTTTATACTCACCTTGAATCTATGTTATCTGGAGAGGTAAACTATTGGGAGTGCGCCGAGTGTTGACAGAAATATTACAAATGTAGGCGCAGTCTTTATACTGACAGTGAAGTTAATGTTGTTCTTATGTATAGCTATTTCTCTACTTCGTTTCGTCAGTTTGTCCTAAGATATAAGCGTCCTCCAATGAAATCCATATTTCTCTGTCCAACGCTTTCCTTCTCTGTGTTGGTCCAGCCACTGCCTTTATATCTTCCTTCCACCTCTTTTTCTGTCGCCCTCGATTTTGATCTTTTGGATTCCATTCTAAAACATCCTTGGTCCATTTTGCATTTTCGTACTTCTTATTGGGTATCCGGTCTAATTCCATTTCAGTTTCTTCTGACTGTATCTGTAAATTTATTCTTTTTCCCTTATATATAACATACATATAAAATAATCTTGTATCTGGTCTAGTGTATATCTACGGTCACTGACGACGACAATTTGCCACGGTAGTTTCAATATACTACCATTATGAAGTATTATATTCCGTTATTTAATTAAATAACGGAAAATAAATTATATTTGTTTATTTTGCAAATAAATCTGTGTTGTCGTAGGTCGGAAGGTGCGGGCACGTTTCTGATAGCGGGCGAGTGTGCAGACTCGTTGTTGGGTCCGGCGCTGCTGGCGCGCCTCGAGCGGGCCACCGTACGAGAACTCAGCCTCGCCACGCTGCACTCTGCGCACGTGCTCACCCAGGAACAGGCGCTCATATCGGTAAGTTACTTATCTTTACTCGCACTTGAGTAGTACTCTTCGTAAAGTTTAAACAAGTTGCAAATATTTGTTTAAGCTCTGAAATTACATTCAAATATTCGTATATCACATCACGAATTTGGTAGTATTTAATGGTGTCTGGCGCGAGATTTATACTTCCATTGATCGGTTGCAGGTGTTCTCTGAGTGCCGGCGTGCGGAGGGCGGCAGCGTAGTGGTGATGCGCGACGCAGGAGCCGTGTGGGCGGCGCTGGGCGGCGCCATGGGCGGCGGCGCCCTGCTGCTGCAGCTGTGGAGATCGCGCGCCGCCGGGGCCCGCACGCTGCTGCTGGCCACCGCGCCCGCGCCGCGCCACCGCCTGCCCGCCGAGGTACGTACTGCTGCAGGCCACCGCGCCCGCGCCGCGCCACCGCCTGCCCGCCGAGGTACGTACTGCTGCAGGCCACCGCGCCCGCGCCGCGCCACCGCCTGCCCGCCGAGGTACGTACTGCTGCAGGCCACCGCGCCCGCGCCGCGCCACCGCCTGCCCGCCGAGGTACGTACTGCTGCAGGCCACCGCGCCCGCGCCGCGCCACCGCCTGCCCGCCGAGGTACGTACTGCTGCAGGCCACCGCGCCCGCGCCGCGCCACCGCCTGCCCGCCGAGGTACGTACTGCTGCAGGCCACCGCGCCCGCGCCGCGCCACCGCCTGCCCGCTGAGGTACGTACTGACTGCTGCAGCACACCGCCGCCCCTGTATGCCGTCGACGCGCTGCTTGTGCAGATGTATGAGCCCCACGCATTGAATTGTTCATTTTACATATGCAATAAAAGAGAATGTTCATAAAATTATTTATTTCATAATTTCAGGTTGTAATTCTTAATAGATTAACATTGAAGAAGTATTTATGTTTTAATACAGCCTAGTATAATTACCTTCTATTAAAATTCATTATCTTTTTTACAGCTGCAAGAATTATTCCCGCTATACAAAGATTGTACATACAATATTCGGGAGCCAAACGTGTCTGAAGTTATTACTTTTCTGAAGCCGGTAATAGCCGAAGCGCTGTTACCACCACCGCCCATTGAGAACAACGAGCCACTGCCTCCATTACCTAGAGGTAATAAGAAATGTTAGGAAATAGACTAGATGGAAACAAATATAAAAAAAAATACATAATTACGTAATATAAAAATTAAAAAATATTACACACTCAATCAGTGAAATTGATTAAAACTGCCATACGAATATTTTAAAATTACTAATCACTACATTTCTGGGCCTGTGTAATTGCTTATTTGCAAGCATATCATAATGGTACTAGGGTAGACATTTACAAGATGCAGATGAGTAATATTAAGACGTCAGCCTCTCTTCCATGTTGCTTTACCTAAAAAGATGCATATTATGTGTGTAAGTTATTATATGATAATTGTGCACTGCGACATAACTAAATAAATAAAATAGATCATTGACCCTTATAGTACCTAGTAAAGCGTACTGTGACTGAAGATACATCAGCAGTTTTTAAAGGCCAATTTATACAAAACTTATTTTCGTTTACTGCATCATCAGCTGCTTTTACATGACACATTTTTTCATGGGCGACCAGGAGCGCACGCTTTTAGAACGTGAAAGCCAGCGCCCGCAGTTGTTACGGAGATTTTATTTTACTATTTTTTGTGTTCACTTTTTCGCGCATGATAGCGAGTATGTTTCAAGTCACTTTCTTTTAAAATTTTATTTTTATTCCACACATATTATTTATAAAGACACGTTTAAAATTTATAAATTATTAATAACTATAGTTATGTCTTTTGGTCTATAGCTAGAGTTCCTCCATTTTGCTATTTTAATTAATTACAAAAAGGCGCTAAAGCACTTACAATAGAATGCGCGAGACGCGGCGTGGTCTTTCTCTTTCTCTTTGTCTACATTTACAGGCACATTTTTGCGTGAAAGCCGATTCCGTGAAAGAGCGTTACATGTGAAGGCAGCTATTATCGTAATGTGTACTCGTATATACAATACTTGGGCATGTAGATGGTAATGCGGATATTTTGGTAGCATCCTATATATAATGGCATTTGGTACAGCTCCACCACCTCCACCGCCGAGAGAGAGCGAGGAGGAGATAGCGCGTCGCAAACGCAAGGAGGACTACAAACTGCGAGAACTGAGGATATTCCTGCGCGACATCTGCCGGAAATTAGCGTCGAACCGACGCTTTTATAAGTTCACAAAGCCTGTCGATCTGGAAGAGGTAAGAATCATATATTTAACTAGTTGCCAGCGTTCCGTAGAGACGAACTTCAGTATTCCATAGATTTACCATGCGGGAGCCGGGTCCATCGTGGCAGAAGCAAACTTCTAACAGATCCCGGGATTTAGACCCTGGTGCAGATTTAAAGAGGCACTTGACGTACGTTAACACTCATCTTCACAGCTTGTTTCTCTCCGTGCTAGGCCAGATCTGGTAGGAGGATCTGGTGCAGCTTTAGATACACGTTCTAGATTCGAACTTACTGCAGTTCTAGACAGGCCAAGATATTTTAGAAAGTTGTAGAGATATTTCGCTGGTATATCTATCGTTCCCCCGTCGACCGCATGGTAAATTATTTAAGTGACAGTGGAAGGCGTATGAAAAGTAATAATAAGAAAGGTTTAGAAGAAGTAAGTGGAGACGCGTAAAGATTACACTATTACTTGGGAAGACAAGAAATAGTGATACATGCTTCAAATATTAGTTTTTATAATTCTCTAGAACGAAACAGAAATTAATTTTCATCTAGAAACTTGACTGATCGTGAGATGGAAAGTGGCAACCGTTGCCTACAGACATGAACAGCCACGGAAATCAATCACGGACCAGTGTAATACTACCATTATTAATATCACAGCACTGTTAATTATTCCAGGTGACTGACTATTTAGATATAATAAAGCAACCGATGGATCTGGAGACTATGATGACGAAGGTGGACATGCATAAGTATAACTGCGCCAAGGAGTTCCTCGATGACATCGACCTTATATGTGCTAATGCGCTAGAATATAATCCAGACAGGTAAATTTTAATTCAGCACAGGTATTCGATAAATATTTTAAAGAAAACCCTGATGTCTCTCACACTAAACTCCTATTTCACGTTCATTGATAAATGAGGGAAATTATTTAATGGTTATTACATCGCATAAAAATATTGTTTTATAAATAATTTTTGTGTATATGTTTTGATCGTTTTGATTTATGATTCTGAGTAAATTTTTCAACTATTTTATTTTCTACTTACAAATTATGTTTGTGTTATATTTGGCAGATAAATTATGTGGTATATTTATACAAATATTAAATTTATCTGGTTAAAAAGCGATATTGAATCTTATTTTTAAAAATCTTATAAATTAATAGATTAACCTTAACTTGATCGAACAGATATCTTAATGGCTTTCTGAATCTGTCAAATGTTATAGTATAAAATTTGTCTGTACCATAGATAATTTCTCTACGCACTCATTTATTTATTCCATAAAAAATATATTCACATCATAAATTTATTTCATAACATGTGCATATTTTTTTTTCACATTCCCCCGGTGCCAATCAAAGGGCTAGAGGGATGTATAGGTATGAAAAAATGCTTGTAATGGTTACAAAGTATTTATTAAGTTTTAATATTTAATGATTGCGGATTACATTGTATTATTATATGTAATTGTATTACATCCTCTAACCTTTTGTCCGTTTATATCTCGGACATTTATATCTTGCACACACTGCATGTTATTAGTATTAAAAGCATGGCTTAGAACAATTAATAAGTAGAAATGACATACAATTATTATGATACTGTATTTACAACCCAATAGTTTCTTTTATAATAGATTTAGTTAACCTTACTCCAAAAACGATCGAAATAAGATTACCGCATAAATTATTTACTGTGCGATTCATTAGGCTAGAAAAATGACAGTTTTGTGTAAATAGTTTATTTTAATATATCTTTTTGTCAAAACTACAAGTTATATTTATACATTTTTTAACAAATTATTGCTGTAATTTAAACAATATGATTGTGTTATTCTGTTTTACTTCTTTATAATAATAATTTAATTAAAAATATAAAATATACAGAACCATTCTGTTATTGCAGTCTTGATTATTTTCTACTTATTAGTTGCATCACCAAAGCAGAGTTGAGTAGATTACGCAAGTTAAATGATGCTACTGCTCGAAATATATTCAATCAAATCAAAATATGTTTGATCATGTCATAAGATCTATTACGACTCTCATATCATATATGTCAAATCTATCGCTAGTTCGGACAATTAATATTACACTTATTTTGATGTTATTGAACATTTAGTAGAGGTGCCTCGTTATAATTGCGAACTTGTGTACAGTATTATATGGCATTATTTATTTTGTTTTAACCCACCCTTTGTGTGCCTAATTGCGAATAGTTTGTTAGAAATAACAAAAACTTGTGTGATCTAATATACATTAAATCATTATTTAACAATTTCACCAATTATTGCTTTGATTAAAATGAACTTGTATTATTATTACAAAATAATAGTATTTTATAAGATTGGATTGAGTTTTTTGTAGAATTTAAGTAAAGACATACTTTGATATTTTTGCAAAATTTTATAGCATTTAATGAGTATGGAAGTGTGAGCTTTATATAAACCGCAAATATGATATTATTTAAAATTAGTAACTTGTTGTGTGATCTTACGAAAATTTATATATCAATTATGTTAATTACTCTTTATACTCAAGATTTAGAGAGGAATAGGAAAACTTTTTTTAAAAAGTGCGAATGACATATCTGATATAGAAGTATAAAACTATCTTGCGAATATTGAAGCCCTCTTTCGAGTTTATTAATTTCAATATATATACGCTATGACGTCATTCATATTATCTTCGGTATATAATATTCTCATGTTATATATTCTTCAATATACTGTCTTTACAATTTATAACTCTTAAAAAATCGATAATACCTACTCAAATATACATTTATAGGTTTCTATATAAAACATAAACATGGAGAATAGTGAAGTTTTTTTTTAAGTTATATATTGTATGCGCCAGGACGTCGTCGGACAAGCAGATCCGTCACGAGGCGTGCTCGCTGCGGGACCACGCGCACGCGCTCATCGACGTCGAGATGGACAGCGACTTCGAGCTCGAGTGCCGCGACATCGCGCGCCGCCGCCGCCGCCTGCCAGCCCAGCCCGACCACGACCTGCCCGACTTCATATACACCGCCTCCAATTTACGTAAGACCACACACAGACTTGTTGTCTATATAGTATATTTATTGAATAAGTTAAACTTGAATGAAACTTACGGGGGAATTAATTTTAGCTTCAAATCAGCCTATAAAGTGTTATGTTAAGATATTTTGCTTATTAATGAGAATTTACTTAAGCCGAAAATCAGATCGTAACCTGTGTTTCAGTTCAATAGTGGTATAGTCGTTTAATTATAGAATAAAGCGTGTGTTTGATTGTTCTACTAAAGACCGACCAGATGTTCTTCGCATGCACCTCTAGTCAAACCATAGGGATTACAGTGTTACTCGAAGGCGCTTTGCATTATTGACATTTACTAATGCTAAATAAAGAATATGCAATATTTAGACTATGTTGTTATATAAACTATATTGTTACTATGCTTTGGCTAATAGCTGCTTATATAATAGGTAAAATATACGTGGAGACAATTTTATAAGTTCAAGTAAATGTTATATTGCAAGCAATTAATATTTAAATATTAATTGAATTAGGCCACGGTTTAGACTCCACAGCGAACGATAGCAAAACGGCGCAAACTCCACAAAACGGCGAAAAGAGTGAGACGCAGTCTGCAAAGCGCAAGCGCAGGCGCATCAACGCGTGGTCTAAGGGGCTCGTTGTTAAACGACAGAAGACTTCACAGAAGGTAAAGCATTTTCTTATATTTAATTGTTTTATGTTATGTCTAATTGTTTTATGAAATCATGATAGTTTATTCATTAATAAACTTGATATCTATATCTTTTTGCTTGACGTATATTTAATTGCTTACCTATCTATATTTTAGCTTTGACACAACAGCTTAAAATAACATTTAGAATTAAAGTTACATAAATATACATATAATTTGACAAGTTAAATCATCAAGTTACTTTAATAAATTCGCATTAGTCTCATAATATATTTTTTCTTTAAAATTTCCTGGTCCTCCGAGTCAAATTTGTCAAATTTTGAGGTTATTATCATATTTTTTACTAACACTCTAGTACTTACATATAGTATAGTATATGTCGGTACAATTTATTGCTACGAGCGTAATTATAACATGCATCCTGCAACAACCGTAAATATTAATATATAGAGTTTGAAGGACACAAGCATGGCAATAACGGACGAGGAGTCGAAGGAGAATAAGCCGATCACATCGACGCCACTGCCGATGGCCAACGGCGACGGCAGCTCGTCCGCCTCCGACGACGACGCGCCGCTGCGTCCGCCCAGCGACGAACTACTGCACATCACCGCGCAGCCGCCCAACAACCACCTGTTAGAGAGGTCAGTCTCTAAATTATATTATATGTCTAGAAATGTATCAGGGAGAGAGAAGAGGGCTCGTTATATCTTACTAATAATATAAACGCGAAACTTTGTGAGTATGGATGGATGGATGTTTGATACTTTACTTTTCACGTAAAAGCAATTGAACGGATTTTGATGAAACTTTCCCGTAATATAGCTTATATGTAAGACTGACATATAGGTTAAAAATATATTATAAATATATTGTCTAAGTTGGTCGAAATATAATGATAAATAACAAGTAAGTGTGATGCAGACGCTTTTATGTAATTGTAATGACTACTAGCGTATAAGCTGACGGGTCACCGCATAGTAAATGGTAACGGCTTAGACAGTTAGATAAAATATTATTATTGCAAATTAAAACAACAAATATTCATGTTAATTTTCTTTACAGTCCAACAAAATCCACAGAAAAGACCACTACAAAAACATCACCAAACAAAAGAAATTCTGGGCACGATACAGCAAATGGAGGTATGTACATTTGTTTTGCCATTGCCTACTTATTAGAGCGATTGAAGCTACATGATGTAAGGTAATAAGGTAACAATAATACAGGTTTTCACAGGGTCTAGTATTATATTTAAAAATATTATTTGAACTTTGAACATAAATCGAGTTTACGTGATGAATGTAAAATGTTTCTAATTATTTAAATTAAATATGGTAAGTATTATTTAATAAAGTAACATTTAATAAAATAACAAGTTTTTTACTTGTTCTTCATTTATGACGAGATAGGAGGCTTTTATTGGTATATCGAATTTCGATTTTGTTGTTTTCAGATGGCGACAAAGTACTGATAAACAAGACTGAGTTAGATAACGTTGTATATAAGAATGCGAAGGCGTTGAGGTCTATAGGTCTCGAGGCGCTCCTGGACCTTGAAGAGCAGCTATCAGCGGTAGTACGATCGTACTCCACAAAGCTGGACCGCACTAAATTACCGCAAGATCTCCACGCCATTGTGAATAGATACCTGCAGTTAGCGAAGAAATGAAAGTAAATACGATGGAGTTATGTGTTCAAGGCGTAAGGACATCGAATTTTAGATAGAAAGGTTCGGTCCATGTTTTTAAAGTAAATTTGTTGGTGTATTTATGTGGATAACGGAGAGTTGGATTGGATGATTGAGACGTGAGGTGTGTCGTGTGTCGATATGACGCCTTTTGTTTACGCTGTCCACTTTGGATGTATTTATATTTATTTTGTTAACCTTTATTTTTGACAGACTATTGTTTACTTTTTGTAGATGTATTTTGACTCGGAGAAAACGAAGTCACCTTTAATTCTCGATACTGCATTAAACTTAGTAAGAGATCTTAATATAATTTTGATAGTGTAAAGTTGTATTACCGTGTTTACCTATTTAATTTTCTTTCCCGTAATCTGTCGGTTGCAGATCTGTGGTAGTCGGTATAACATATCCGATAGTAGGTGTATAGCCCGATATATTACAAAAATATATATACTTGACGAATATTCTACAGAATACCAACACATCGCATATGTTGGTGACAATACATTGTCACCAACATATGCGATGTGTTGGTATGAGAATCCAGTAGATAGTGTATTGGGTAATATTACGTTTGTAAAAGTTTTGTATATACCAAAAACACGTTTAGGGTTTCGTTTTTCCGTGTTATTTCCAAAAATAATCTTAGCTTTATTGGAAGGGATAGACAACAATGCGCTCTGATTGGTTTATCGCGAAAATCTCGAATTTATTATTAAAATGAAGGTATTTAATGGAGTATGTATAAGTAATTTTAATACATTTAATATCAAATTAGTACATTAAAATCGAATATTTATTTAATAGTTTGTTACTGGCATCGCAACGTTTGTGTGTTAATTAACATAAATTTTAATTGTCTTTCTTTATATCTGATTTATTAATGTTTTTAGTACTGGAGTGTCGTAGTATTGAAGTACTAGTGTCTCAATTGTTATCTAATCATTACTGCTTCATATAAAATTTAACGCACTCTATGCCATTCAAAGTGGATAGCCCATATCAAAGACAATTGGGGTCGTTATTCAATCTTGATTTTAGAATGCAAAATAACAATTTTTACTTGATCTGCGTGATTAAAATTATAAACGGTTTCTTAGAGTAGTGGAGTTTCTGAAATTACTTATTTCTCTTTTAAATATACTGCCATAGGTATGATAAAAATTAAGAACTTAAAATTAAGATGAAAGCTAGTAAATGTATTTGATTTTTGAATGAAACTCCGCTAATGTGCGATAATCTGAGTATTATTATTATGTATAAAAGATGAAAAAGCCTTTAATTAAATTTGATAACTACACAGGTATAATTGAATGTAAACCATTCCTAATTAGCCAAATTGCGAGTGAGAAATGTCAATAAATAAATAGTGCTCGGCGATGTGCTATCTGAACAAAGGGATAATATTAATTGAGATTGCTGAACAGAGATAACTATAACTTTCCATCTCTTTCTTAGTACGATGTCGCCGGGCGCTGTGCTAAGTTAGGTTAATCCGGTTGTTAAATTGCCCGCTGGTCTGTGATATGTAGAGGAGGTTATATAATATGTACATACCACTTAATGAAATAATGTTTATTTTTCACTCGTACTCTAAACACAATTTCATGTTTCGCGGTTCCATATGTTCTAGAGAAAATGAATTACAAAAAGACTGAAAATACGCCATATTCAATAAAGGGCATGACTGATTTATTTATAGTTAAGTACAAGACAATATCATTTCAATACTATTAGTATTTATAAGAATTTATTCAAATTGGTTTTAGGGTCATGATAATCTTACTTTGTGAGTGATTGCTATTTTGTTTCGTTTGACAGTTGATTCAAGGGACCGCGATAGATGAAATGTAATTTATATATATCTATAATATATCATTACTTAATATATGTATGTCTATCGTCAGTGCAAATATACAATTTGGCTTTTTAGGTGGGAAAAATTGAGCACTGATTCTAATTTATATCAATTACCAAATATATCTAAATTAACCACCTTGTATATCGTAGCTTAAGGTTGTATGTACTAACATTATTTTGATATAGTTAAATTATTGTGAGTTTCCGAGATCAACAACCATGGTTTTGATAATATCTGAATACATGGTTAATACCTTGTAGATGTCGTTAAATTTTGTATATAAAACAGTTTAGTATAAATTGTATAGCTTTTTGTCACAATCCCGCCAATTTAAACGGGGATCGAAATTACGATTGCCTGAGCCCAGGTTTGAACCCACTAGCGGTGCCCTCGGACTAAAGTCGTATCCGTCAGGCGGGAGTTGGTCTTCAGCAGCTTTAGAAGTCCTTCCGCGGACTGTGAGTGCCATCTGCACTCGTCCCCTATCGTTCAATGAAGCTGTAAAGGCCAACTGTGAGCTTAGTATAGATTGAAAAAAAAAAACAACTCCCAAACGTAACTCTTCGCGGACTATGCGTAATATCGATGTTGGATCGGATTATCATATATATGGGATCATATCTATACTGTGTACAAACTAAGTGCTTAGCTAATTCACATTATCTAACCCATTACCGTTGTTAGTGTTTTGCGTCAACGGAGTTTAAAATGCCACACAAAGATTTTTTCTGTCGACCACATTGGATTGGGTAAATCAAGGATACGAAACCACTACAAGACAAAGAGAAGACACCCCCATACGGAGACTATTTAATTATACCGATAATTACTCGAACTATCTGTCATCTATGTATATATATTCACATTATGTCTCATGAGAGGGTATCTCATATAGAATTTAATTGTGATCGTCTACAAGATATTAATCCAGTGTTATTTCAGTTAAGCACCGTTGTCGTGTTGTGCGACAGTGTTGTTTGTGTAGTTCAAATTATTGATAAGTTGGAGTGGAGTTACGCAAAGTTTGCTCTGAATGTACATACAAGATATGTTTCAACTGCATTAATTTAATAATAAGACTAATAGTTTTAATTTTAAAGTCGATTTTCCAAAAAATGGTTACTTTGGAAGTTAATCCGGTTTAATATTAAGGATAAGGCTCCGGTATAGTAAGCGCAAAATAAACTGGAATATGAATGGTAACTGTGGCTCGTACAAACTTGACCTGCCAATTTAATAACACGTTGCGAAAAATGACAAATGCAATGCAATTCAATTTGTATACTTATACAGTCAAGGTTTAAACCGCCTTGTGTTTGGTCCTGTGTATTAAATACCATAAAGCTCTTTATTGGATTATTATTACTTCATAAAAATGTATGATTAACTTGTATTCATACGTATGTATTTGTTTGTCTAAATTCAGGGCAAACATTGTGTATTACAGTCAGGTTCATATAGATAGTAGTATCATGGATGGTCAATAATGTGTTAAACGGTACAGGTTAAATACATCCTAATAGTAATTGGATTGGATTGATTGGTTAAAGGGTGCCTCTGGAATGAGTGGTATCACAACATAATTTTGAAATATTCCAATTTAATTGATAGCTAATATCTTTATGAGGCCGACTGTACTATTGATGGGTTGTTACGTAATTAAAGATGTCGATTTTTAAATGTATAAGATCTGTTGATTAGAATTAGGGCCGTCGTGGTACCGCACCGTGAGACTTTAATTTCACTGATGACGTTAATTTACACTGGTGATGTTAATTTACACTGGTGACGATTAAAAGGCGTTGTCTATGTTTTATGTACTAAGTACCTACTTAATTTATGTATAAATTGTATGGATTGGGTGAGTCGACACGTTCTAATTGATTTATATAAATTTATACAGTACTATTAATTATTTTTATTTCATAAATTATTGATAAAATATTTTATAGTTTTACCATGGGATTTTCAATAGCTTTCTATTTGTCGAATTGAAGTCTGATTGCCAATACTAGTTCAGATATAACAAGAAATTCTATATAATGTTCACTACCTTGATATAAGAGGTTAATCATAACGTTATTTGACAATCTGAGATGTACTTAAATGCATGTGCAATGCAATGCATACGTTCAAACTTTTTTTTATGCTTAAGGTCCAGTGGAGAGTACATTATATTAGAAATAACTTATAGAATCTTTATATGTATAGCGTATATCTAGATAAAAATACGTAACTTTCTCTAAGGAATATTATCGAAATAGGAAGATATTCTAAAATTATATTACTAATATTGTACAGTTAAAACTTGGGATTAATTGTCTAATGAGTTGAGATAACAATTTCGAAATGACGTAACTCCATTCTCTTAACGTACATTTGTGTACTTCAAGGAAACGCATTAAATCAAATACAATTCTAAAATAGGCCGTGATTCAGAAATTACCATGTTCCTTGGTGAAACTATTTCGTATAAATACATAATGGGCGTTATATTGTCAAATATATGAGATGGTAATGTGCATTTTGGAGTAGTAGATACAGGGTATAAAAGAAAATTGACTAAGTTATTCTTAAGCTTTAAAAGGTATTGTAGAATTTTATAATGATGTTAAAAGTGCATCAACAGCTTCATGATTTGTCTATAATTTCATGTATTTGACAATGGTAAAATCCTATTTATTTTGTTAGTCATGTATATAATAATTATTAACCCCGAAGTAGTGGTCTAATGTCCTACAAACTGTCTTTGTGTTGCTATTTTTAAGAATGCTATTTGTGCTATTCCCAGTCTATGTACACTCTCCACAAGGACCTCTAGTTTTCTTAATACACTTATGTGAATATCATAGAAATATTTATCAAATAATAAAAAACAAACCCATGTGATATCGATATAAGGAATAAAACATGTTCAATGGATTTCAGTAGTTACCTATCTCCAAAATGGAATCAAATTCTATGCCATAGATCACAATGTCGACATATATGTGTGTATTATATGAAACATAATTAATTAATAATCTGCTTGCATTTGCTCAATACGGTGTGTATGTCGGACATTCTTGTAAGCACTCACAATATCCACCGGTTAGTGTAATTTTGTAATAAAATTGTATTTAAATTAAACAAAATAAAAGGGTATGATTAATGTGATATCACATATTGTGTTTTTTTATCGGACTTTCGTTCCTCAGTTTGTTTCAAATATTCTAGTATGTAGTAGTAATCCAGTTGCATTAACAACTATGTATGTTTTTGGTAATATAAGATCGTTGTGGGCGAGAGAATGAAACAGCGCAGTGGTATTTCATATTTTTTATTTTTACACTTTACGTCGGTGACCGTAAACGAATTTTACTACATCGCTCCATCATTTCAATTCAATTACACGATAGAATGATACTAGAACATAAATATTTTTTCGTATTATTTAAGATCAAATAGATAATCTTTTTTACACTCTAATGTAACGATATCATTTAATTTGTCATTATATTAAGCAAAATACAACAAATTAAATTACACAACTTATATTTAATTATACTCTTTATGGGAGAGAACAATTATTTAAAAGCTAAACCATTGCAATTATACATATATATAAATACTCGTAACAAAAATGAAGGAACTAAATATTTGTATCTACTAAATTAATAGAATCACATGTTTATCAACTAAAAATAAGTACGCAATGTCTTATATATATTAACTATACTTTACGTCCTTAGATTTGGCTCCTGATGAAATTCATTTGTAATAATTATCTATGCTTAATGAAAAGTGCCGAGAAGCCGATGATCAAGTAAGTAGTTAGTCGGTAGCGCCTGTCACATGCCGCAGGTCTAGACTTGAGAAGGAAACCATCAATTACTACAGGAACTGAAGCACTAGGCATACAAGTAGAACAACGCAACTCGGACCTAATGTGGAATGAACACGCGGGACTTCCGCCGGGGCGGAACTTCCAATATAACTTATTAATATAATTATTTCTTCAATCTTATTAACAAATAACAAACTTAATTAAAACGTCTCAATTAAAACTTTAACAAAATCACTCTAATACTGCTGAATTTGTACGAATTAGGTAATTGTCCGACAACACAATATACAATCACATGTTCACAACATAAAAATAGAAATAATAGGAAATTATGGTCTAATATAAAATTATATTATAGAGAGCGATTGTGGCGGAGGCTTGGAAACGTTAAAGCGCTTGACCAACATAGATAGCCATCGTTACCCAAACATGGTGCTGATAAAGATATTTTTTTGGCACATGTATTTTTATACAGACATTATTAGTTATTCCATCGACCTTATATATTTTACAATTAAGTAGGTACCTACGTGAGATATCATAAAGTCATGGAATATGTAGCTTCTATAAAAACCAATAAATGCAAATTAGTGAAAGCAATAGTATGCCGATAAACTATAGTTCAATATTCAATAATACGATGTAATTAGTTTATATATAAAATCCCTGTAATGATAATATTGTTATAGGTATGACGTGACACTAGGTGCTCTATTCCTGCTATACGTGCTGTGTGAGGCTAGCTGTCGGTCAGAATTACTGTGTTAATTGTGTAATGTACAAGAATTATACAAAATAGAGTCGTAAATAGTGTTCAGTCTTCTGTTAACGAGTTTTTGCAGTTTAAAATGTGTCTTTGATCATATTTTAATGAAATAAATTTAATGATTCGTGGATTTCTCGCGCTGGAGATGATTGGGTGCGCTCGATTGTTGCGAGACAATAACAAAGAAAATACTGTTACTTATTTGGGAATGTTCATAGCATAGTTATAAAGGAAACATTAAAATTTCAACATAGTTAAAAATCAATAATAGCTATACAAATAAATCGTATATACAATAAGTAGACCGTTTACGTTTCTAGTCACTTGGTACCACTAATCAATATGAAATCATTGTATACAATTATCTAAAGCCAGGTAGGATTGAACCTCGATTTATTCTAACTTTCATTATTATTCACTAAAATCTTGAAAGCTCCTTTTTATTTGAACATTGAGTGCAGATACTTTAATTTGTCTAACCTGACGCGCACTGTCCTTTGGTACGTTGAATTGGTCGTTCAGATAGCTTTTGAGAGAAAAACAATCAAACGCAATTCATCCTGGATTACTGTGAGCCTTGCATAAATTTAAAACCAGTTGACTTACAATATTGTAGGTAATAGTATTAATCATAATTTACTTAACTTTCACTGTAATTAAGTAGTAATCTTAAATGGTAAATATATTATTGAAATGGAAAAATAACAAGTGAAAATTAAGTACAAAATGATTAAGATAACTTAATATATCTAGATTAGAGCAGATATTAAAAAAATAATCTTTTAAAATAAAGAACAACAGTAATACGGAATGAGTTACGTTCAGATTTTCAGCTGAATTATTTCAGCCTCCAACGAAACCTTAATCAGAATCAACATATAATATAGACTTGTAATTCTATACAGTACCTTGACACTTCATTTGCAGTTATCAATTGCAGTGGAATTTGTACAATTGGGTGTCGTGACGACTGAGTTAGATGGTACAATGGTTGTGATGGAACTCAGCGGTTTGTTGGTGTCAGTGGCAAATGTTTGACTAGTGCGACGCGGACCATCTGTATCGTGCCAGCTTCCCTACCAGAACAGTTCACTGTTAATCACTTCACTAAATACTACAACAATTACAAATACACTACTCTTTACCATTTTAGACACTTAATGTCCATAATAATGGTTATTTCTTTATATCCCCATCCCCCCAATTAAATTTATCAATAACTATTTACATTTAAAATTGTTTATCATCGAATATAATCTATTATTACGAAATATTTTACAAACTTTGGTGAAATGCAGAAATGGAATCGCACATTTAACACATAATATCTACATTGGGATTGTAACACAACAGGGACCTTATCGTACCAAGCGAAACATATTTCTTACACTAAACAAAATATGGGCAGTTTACACCACAAACGATATGGGGTAATCGACCACCTAACGTGGAATGTTGCAATGGAATGTTAACAATAAAAATGTATTCAGAAAGTCTTAACGATAACAATCACAACACCTTTCATACTTATTGCACTCCTTCGGAATAAATTATCGCCTATCACTTACGCGCGATATAATATACATTTACAATATTAACACATCTTTAAATATAAATTTAACTAATTTTAATGTGGACGTCGCTCGTCGCGAGCTACGGAGGTGTTCACAAATACTCTCTAAAAATATTGTTACACAGTTTTTGGGGAAACACATAGCAAAACTGAAACTTTTATAGTGCATTTCATAGAGATCATAAGTAATATCCATCTCCGAGCAAATATTGCACATCATACCCACATAACGTACGCGCAGAGAACCCGTCTCATTACAGACTCAAAGAAAAGTTATTTAAAAAATACGAAAACAGTTTGTACCACCCATAAATATATGGTAAAGGTACTGTAGTATATTGAAAAGGATCTACAAAAATAGATAAAAATAATAAAGAACTTCTTAGGTACCCACAAAAGGTAACTTCATTCTGAATAATTTGGTAATTCACTAACCAAATTCCAGTTTTACCTATATCCTCAAGTGTTTCTCATTCGATACCTAATCTAGTTTAGTCCGTAATAGAGCGACCAGCTAGTACATCCATAAGATCTTACTATAAGGTCCTCGTTTAGCAGCCGAAGGTACAGTGAGATTCGAAGACTTTGTTTACAGTTGGAAGACGGTGCAATTAATCTTGCCCGTTGTGATGGAGAAGTGTACGGTTATCAGGCGGATGCGGCGGATGCGAGGGTGCGCGGTACGAGTCGCCCTCCTCGTCCGCAGAGTTCTCCTTCGACCGGTCACTCTTGCAGTCCTCTTCTTTTGTCACGCCCGACAGTGAGTCTAGAGCCATCGGCATGGACTGATACAGTTCCCGCGCTTTATCGTTCGGCGGGAGTAGATGCAACATATTCAGCGGCATCGGGAAGCCCGGGGGAAACTCAGGATAAAACCCTTGAGGGAACGGGTTGAACATAGGATTTGAAGAGATATCCGGTTCGGAGCTCGCAGGTCTTTGGCTTGAGTTTTGATGGTCGTCCTTATCGTGATGTTTACTCGGCGGGTGGTTGTTGTTGTTGTTGCCAGAATTCAGATTAAGTACGTCGAGCGGCCCACCGATGCAGTCTTTCCGGAGCTGCTCTAGCTTTAAACTCTTACCATACTTTCCGCGTACATACATCAATAGCGAATTGTAAGGTATACCAAAGATTCTTGACGCTTGACTCGTAGTCATTTTCTTGTTCCATACGTGTTGCAGTGCCTCTGTAAGTTCGGCGTTCGTCCACGACCTGGGTGGACCGCCTCGTGGTGCGCTGTGTTGCCCTTTCGGTCTCCCTGTTAAAGAATACAAAAGTATTTAGTAAAACAGTCAATATCAAAATTTATATCGCACTGCGTTAAGTAGGTTCATTAGGTACATATGAACAGTGTAAGTAGTGGTATGAGTTACGTGCGAGCAGAGTGCAGGCGGGCGGTGCACGACATGTGCCGTGTGCCGTGCGCCGTGCGCCACCGCGGCATTACGCGAATGCACCACTATCTAATAACCGTGTTTTGGCTGAGCAATAACTCCGTGTACTGAAATGAGCGGGTTGCGGGACATTTTGTTGGCGGCGATTTGTCATTAATTCGTTACGAGCACGCGACTATTATGGTGAGTTTTGTCAAAAAGTAATACGGACATGCATATGCCGGCGATGTCGCCCCACGTAACTTTATAGTTTTATAATTTCGGCGGAGCACGTTAACTCGATTCCGATCAGATAATTCGAAGAACGTTTCGGATTACCTGCGGTATGATGTTTTATTATGGAAATTAGTTTTTCTTTTAATAGTCGTCTTGGGTCACGCGAGTTGTGCCGCGCACCGGCTCAAATTAAAAGGATGTTTTTCATTTGTAGCTCGTTAGCATTTTATAAAGGAGCGAGGCATGCATCAGCTCGTCTCGGGATCGATCGGAGACTATTGTGCCGGGTGTCGACGTGGATGCGACGCCGACGCCGACGCTCGCAGAGCTACCGGCCCCACATTGCATTCAAAGCATACGTTAGAGTCGCCGCCGCCCGTTCTCTTCCCCTATGAGATACGTTATCAGATCGTCTTAATAAACATTGCTCGGAAACAATGGGCGTTTAACATTTGCGCGGAGCGATTGCGATATGAGTCTGCTAGATGTGTGATGGCTTTGCAAAATGCCGATGCATTTTGTGCACTATTATTACCTACATCTCTCATTGTTTGTTACGTAATATTGTACTTGTTCATTGTTTTCGAATATAATAAAATGTATTTACTAGTGATGTTAATAAATAATATTGCATTGAGAATACAAAGATTAAATTCTTTGTATTCTCAAGGCAATATTATTTATTAATACATATAATTCATAGTTAGTGTTTATGATTGTGTATGTATGTATTGGATTAGTCTTTATGATAATTTAATGAAATGGTAGCAAATAATTCGAAAATAGCATGTATCCATATGACCAATTGTAACTAGGTTAATTTGTTCCTTCATAGGCCGCGTTGTATAATAAATACGCGTCAAAAAATTGCTGGTATTATAAAATATTATTCATATATACCGCAACTTTCGCATAACAAAAATTCCTTAATTGTCCGAGATATAAAGTAATGCTATTTTATCCTAAATACCACCTCTATGCTCCACCGGTGCCCTGCCAGCGTAAACCGATAGGCGGGTACATCATTCCATTATCACCCTTAAAAAAATACTTACATTTCTTTTTGACGTTTGTGAAGAGTTGTGTATCTAACGGCGGTCCCCTGTGTTCCACGTCCATCAGTGGGTACATCTTGTGCTCCATCCCCGGCGGGAAAAGGCCTAGGGGCGAATCCAGCCCGAACACTGCAGAATAAACCAATTGCATTATATAAAATGTTTTATTTTATTTACGAGTAAAGTATAGTTGTAGTAGGGGAAAGGGATAGTTTGTAATAGGAATTTTGGTTCAATTATTAGCAATGTATCTGTATATATCGTATCACATCACGTCGACCTGCATGCGATTGATAAGGGTTTTCGGTGAATACCTACTGGAAACTGGGATAAATTTCTGGTAAATTCGCCACAGATGATAGGTTAACTAATCCGACTTTTTTATCACTCCCATCATTTTCTTCTGATGTGTGTACATCATACGAATTTAGTTTAAAAAAATATATGATTGAAATTAAATTATTATACTACTAATTTTTAATATAAAGAGTACTGTTAATTCTTAAAACATACGCAAGAAATAATATATGTTCAATAATTGTAATTTAAATATAAATAAGTCTATTTAGAAGTTTAGTTCTGCTACTCTTTACTAGATGGCGCTTGCAGTCCTTCATTTATGTTGCTGGAATCAATATGTTTAGGTTTGTATGTTCAAATTAACAATAATATTATTACTATTTAGTAATATAGTTGCAAATAAAGTTTTGTTTCTTAAAGAAAAATATTTATACGAGTTATTTAATTGAATATAGGTATAATATTTTATTAGACCGTAATTGCATCTAACAATTATCTATTCTCTGTAAGGAGGTACACTACATGTAAATAACTACAATTTAGTTTACATTATTCATGCAGCCAGTCTATTAGAAGTACCTAGGTAGGTGGGCAGATACATAATAAATGTAGGCAAGATTATTAAATTTTCACTGTAATTTTTAATTATTATTTCAAAATTTAATTCAACAATCAAAGAAACAAGAATCTTTTACTTGCGTAGTACTTACAAATAATTTTTTTAAGAAAAACAGTTTTACATTTATATACTCAGTTCTACTATTCGATACTAGATGGCGGCAGTAGTCTATACATCAGCTCTACTTGCTTCGATTGTTTACATAAACAATATTTTAAAAGTAATCGTTACCATTACATTTACATTGTCATAAATTTTTTAACTGTAAAAACTATCGGTCTAAAAAATAATAGACTAGCTGTCAGTTATGGCACTGAAGCCAGATTGATATATAAATAACTATAGAACTTTGTTGATGTTCCTCATTTCGAATTTAGAATGACAGATTATACAAATTTAAACAATAAAATGTATGCCTCTTAAATTATTTACGTTAAAATATAAATTTTGGCTAGAATATTATAAACGCTGGCAGTAGAGACAACGTAGCAAGTTAATGTAAATATAATAAAATATCTAGATTTAGAGGTATTGAAAATATCGTGCTATCAGTACACGTAGGACCAAAAATAATATTAAGGAAATAAAGATAACGGGAACGTGCGGCAACCCTACCGTTAATAAATCTCGGAAATGTTTCAATAAGATTAAATAAACATATTTAGTAGTAAAACATTATTTTAGTAATTTGATAATATTTTTTGCACTTGAATTTGGCAACATACATATTTACTTTCAACTTATTAATAACACGTTAATTTTCTAATCTTTAATATTTTGACTATTGTGTTTATTAGATACATTGTTAATTTATTTATTAATTATTACATGCTATGCATCTACATACAAAAGTCCTGTTTAATTAGATATTAATTCATATATGTATTACTTAATAGTTTGGTTACAATTACAGTGTATGACTACCAAATGAAAGTCAATAAAAGGTCAAAAGTATAAAACCATTTATACTTTTGGCCTTTTATTGACTTTCATTACCTACATATACCTAATATACCTATTGAGGTATGATGTATTTCACATTTTTCTTAATTAGCTTCTAATTTTTCTTCATTTAAAAGAAAAAGACATAAAATAGAGTTAAAAATATTTTGTAGAATGTGTTAGATTTTGTGATAATATATTCAATCAAATGTTCCCAATGTTTCGACGTGTCGATCGTCTACCAACATGTTTGTAATGGAGTCGAAATATTGGAAGCTCATAAATAATATTATCATGGTAAATATCATTATATAGGTAGTATGTAAACGACAGTGAATATAATAATAATAATATACATAGAAAACACCAAGACTAATATAAACTATTATATTAATTAATACAAATGTTTGTACCGTCTGAAGATACGAACCTGCGACCATCAAAAGTAAATCGGTGTACTAAACCGCTAACCAACGAGACCGTCAGCGAAGAAAAGATTAAAACGGTGTTTAATGTACATACAGTAGGTAGGTGTATATACTTACATTAAACAAGTATAGTTGTTATACAGTTGTCCATTGTGGATTCTATAAGATGTAAAAGGCTAAGCGCTTTCTCGAAGAAGTGTTCACAGTCCGTTGAACCAAATGCGACAAATCGATATCTCGTGTCTTGCTTTATTGCAAACTCTTACCTCGTCCTGTAGCCGTGGATTTATATAAATATAGATAACTATATATATCTATTGATCAAGTATCTAGACAGATGGCTGAACTTAGGTGATGTTAAGTGTCTACCATATAGGTATAGCTGTGCTGTATGACAAACGACAATGAAAACGAAACAACTAAAGATGCCTGCAGACAAACAGGAGGACCGACAGGAGTTTTGTATGACTGATAGTAAATATTGGAAATTTGGAAAAATATAAGATGGTTATCACCAAAGTTTCTAGGTATAATGCACTTTTAATTCTTATAGTAGGTACAGTAATATAAAGTAAATATATAGAAATAGTATAATAATAATAATATGTTAAACCAATAATGCCTCTAAAAATCTAATATTCAATATACTAATATTTAAATTTCAATATAGATATGACCAATTTTGTATTATTAAAAATTCCATTATTTTATCTATTTACTACGATAGTTATTCGGAATATGATAAAATTAATTAAAATTATTAGACATATTTACCAGTTATTCGTATTACATAGTATATTTATTTAAGTTAAAGTAATTTAGTTAAAACGGACATAAGAATTCGCTTATAACAGCTATTAAACTAGCCGACCCGCGCAACTCCGTCTGCATTACACTTACTTAACATTTATCAGTAAATTTCGCCCAATTTATATAATATCTTTTTAAACTAATGCCTATGTGCTATTGCGTGGTATAAGCTATATAGTTGTAACAAAATCCGTTTAGTATTTTTTGCGTGAAAGAGTATATCCATCAATATATATGATACGATATATGATCCATCCAACTATAGTCACATAATTTCGCGTTTAGAATATTAGTAAGAAGTAAGATAAAGTAACGGAATATCATCAGGCGAGGTCCATGGTTTCAATCTTTGTAGTATAAAAAGGTGCTATATAAACCGCTACAAATATATTTGGTGTACATCTACATTCGCTTTAGACAAATGCAATGAATTGAGTGCATTCAAAACAAAAGACCGGTTTAGCAAACATCTGGCTGTACTTCTTGAGCAAGTTATTTAATATAACTCACAGTATTTCTTTGTCGGATAGGAGCGATAGAAAACAAATTGCTTTTATATTATTATCCTGGTTTTTACAACGCTCGGATATATTTTGTGTGGTCACCTTAATACGTGTCTCAAAACCACAGACAGCGAGGTTTTTATTATACTTATGTATATATTTATATGATACTTAACGTACTTTAGGCGATGCCTCGGGTAGAAACTTAATTAATGTTGGGAAAATCGTTTTCATATTCGAACTGAGAGGTATTAAAAATATTACTTGTGTTTATGAATATAATAATCAAGTATATGGGTGTACATAATTGACTGTATTTAAGAAACACTCAAGTTGTCTGTGTATTTTACTGAAAAATAAATTCTTTTATAATTGTTATTGCATATTTGATAGACAGATATATGTAATGATGAATAAAATGATGAATTCATATATATATGACAGGGAACAACCCTATCTAGTGACGATTACCATTTGGGTAAGATTAAGAAAATTACTTTTATCTCTCCGTCCGTAATATTAGCTATACCTATTTGAATGTATGAACTACTAGCACATACTATAGTATACTTATAATAATTGTACCTCTTATCAAAGTATGATAAGAAGATTCACTCTAGAAGGTCTTAAACGCATTATAATATAATGAGCTCCTTATGTCTTTTTCATTCTGGGTTCAAAAACCTAAAAAGTAAAGTTAAATGTTTTTTTTATTTTATTTATGTAACTGGAAGGGTAAAGCTAACTGACTGCTGGCCCGATGGCAAGTAGTAACCGTCGCTTATGCCTACATAATCAGGATTGTCATATTTGAGACGCCTGCGATATGCGTTGCCATTCCTGGGTACTAAGACCATGCCTAAATATGCTGTAATTTCTCTGCCATATCTTGCCAAAAGACAGCTTATTAATTAAGCTGCTTGGCGGTGAAATAGGTGGGACTGAGGTACCCACTTAGACGACTTTGGAGTCTCGTTAGGTGCAATTTCGCCCTATTTATATAAGTTAATTAATATGTCTCATAATTATGAGGATATTAAAATCAGCACGAAATAACTTGGATTGGAAAACTGCAATGTTAAGTCTACATTACGATCGATATATTATAGAAATGTGAAAACGTCGGTATCATGCATGCATGCGCAGCTTATATAGCCAGCCTTAGGTTTTATTACACTTATCGGAATACGCAACCAAGGTTGCCATAAGACCATCTCTGTTTTTCCCCACAAATTTTGCCTAAAATCCCCTCAAAATTCGGATTTAAAAAAAATCCTTAAATAAAGAATTCTGCTATATTAGTAGTCTTTTTGCAATTCTGATAATATGTCTTTTGGCCACCTATTCTATTATAAATCTTATTTTTTTATACTTTGATGAGTTCGCGAAACTAATGACCTTGTTATGTCCGTACTCAAACCTGTGGCTATAACAAGAACTATGAAAGTTCTTGTTATAGCCCACAGGTTTGAGTTCTTATATTTTTTATCTTTAAAACATGGTGCTAAAACAAATCTCCTCTACAGA